TAAAGTCGAAAATTTACAGTTCACTTCCTAAATCTTGTTTTGATTCATATTTTGCAATCTCAAAATGTCTTGTTTTTTTGGAATTTGTTTTTTACTATATTTCAAAAACAGTTTGCGCATATCTCTTTTTATTCTCAAGATACTTAGGTTTTCGTGATGTCCGGTTCACACAACTCTCTACGTCGTTTTGCACAATGAGTCGCTGCGAAGTTTCAAACATCCTTTACTTTTCCTGCTACTTTTGGCTACAAACGATAAAGAAATATTTAATACCATTAATGAAGGGAAATCTGCTCGGTTGAAGTAGCATATCAACAAGTAAACCAGCCGTTTCAAAATTCTCAATATGCAATGCGACGTCAAAAGTTTTGTAAAGCGTACGTTACATAAACTGCAATATCTTGAAAATGAAAAATGATATGAATAAACTGTTTTACAAGATGCGCTGTGATTTTCAAAGTTATGCTCAACGAAAATGTAATATAAATTGCTCGATTTTCGAGTCATATGCCCTTTAAAGTCTCTGTTTGCACATCAAAAAAATACCAAAAGCTCCATATGTATGCATTTTAATAGTGACGCTCAAAAGAAAATTTGTTATTAAATTTTAAACTAATTGTACATAACTTGAAAGGAGCTATATTGCTGTACTTATATTTAAGAAAATTTGACATTTTTGTTGTTCTTACAACGATTATTTTTTGGGATAAGACGATATTTGCGTATTGCTTTGCGTGGTTGTATTTAACACTTAAGAAATAAAAGTGTTACTGTGTTTACTGTGTTTGCACGGGCTTATGCAAACCGAGGAGTCCTTTGGGAGAACTTGAGAGCAGATCAGTGCAAGCCCGAGACCGAAAGTCGAGGGTTGCACATCCCCGAGAGTATGCGAAAAAGACAAACAATTTGATTTTTCCTCTAAAATGTTATTCATGATCGATTACCAAATTCTCTTTGACCGATTGATTGTTTTTATTGATTTGATGGGTTGAGCTCAGATGTGTTTTGCAAAGGCTAATGCGGGCACGGCTCTAGACCAATCAACGCACGCGTTTCATTGTGTTTATAATTACCCACGAAAATTGGTGATTTTTCACTTTTAGAATTGCACCGAAGACGAATTGAAACAAGAAATCACAAGACTCCACGAAGATAAAAACAAATATGAAATGGCTGCAAAGGTCGTAAACTGTAAAGTGTGATTTGAAAATCCACTTACATTAAATCTTGAAACAATTAAATCTTTGATAACGCTAAATTTTGTGAGCCCCCTCCCCCATAGTCGGAAGTGACCTCAAAAAAAACTGCTGCCCCAAGATAGGATATTCATTTTTCTACATTCCTATATGTTTAGGAAGGACTTCGTCGAGTTACGGAGGATAAGCTCAAAGCGATCGAGAGAATAACGATTCTTGAAGTAAGTATCGTCACTTGTGTTAAAAGCTTAAAATTTCATTATTGGTCGAGAGTCATTATCTATAAGAAGACAGACGCGCAAAAGACGTTACGGAAAATTTCGTGTTTTAAAATTACTTACGAATTGCGAAATTATTTGAATATTGACCTGAATTTATTTATGAATGAGCAACTGCAGATATTGAAAACGACCAAAGTGAGGCGGTTGACGTATTTTTTAGCAAAAAAAAAAGAAAAATGGTTTTCTATCGATGATTTGTGCTTCTTCGATAAGGGATTCTTAAAGAAATTGATCAGATATCCCTTATTTATTCTGTCTGTCTATCACATTTTAACACGTGACTTAAGATAGCCAATAGTGATCACTTTTTGTTCTTATCACAAACGATGTCATACCGTTTATTTACGTACAACCGAACAGAAAACACTCAAATGTAGCTAATCTATTTGTTAAATAAAGTATTTTTATTTTAATGATAAGTTATTCAGCTTGCCAAATTCATCTACGAATTTCTTTTTACATCTGTAGAAGTCTTACAACAATGCAGAGGACGAGTGCAGCCATTATCAAACTCTTTATGCGAAAGCTCAAAAACAACTGGAAGATTTATCAACGCAGTATGGTCAGGTTAGTTAAAAACCGTCAGCATTTTTTAAAAGAATATGTACCTCGCCCCCGAATTATTGGCATACACTTACACTCACAGACACCCTGTGAAAATTTGAAAATTCTTCCTTGTTTTAATATGTTTGTTTTAAACAATGTTCTTGTCGCTTTTATTTTTTGCTTTTCCATGATAATCTGGTCTGCTGTTTTTGTCGTCAGTGAGTGATTTTCTCGTTTTTTGTATAGAGATTGGACGAAATGAATGATCTGAGAAACCAGCTGACACAGGTATGATTTTATAATCGTTGCCAATGTATTTTACCTCATTTTGAAACCATTAACATTTTGTCTTTTGTATCTCTCATGTCGTCGGATTGATTATTTTCGGAATATTTTGTGTATCGACTTCCGAAAAAAGTCACATCCGAATCTTCAACATCACTTGCCATACATTGCAGATGAGCGGCGAGAAAGCTGATGCAAACGAGGCTGTAGCGAAAGCTTCAAAAAAAGAACTCGAATATATATCTCGAGTAAGTCTCTGTGTCTCTAGGTTACAACTTTTCGCGGGGAAAATATCAGAAACCTTTCTTTTCAAAGTTGTGAATTTTCTTGCCAATTTGGGCGAATAATTATTTCAAGAAACTGCCGCATTGACCTTGTGACATTCAAAGTCCAAAGTCAGCTCGCGTTTCCATCTGCGAGAGGGTTGCTGAGGTCTATTTTTGATGAACGAACATTTAACACGATGAATTTATTTTCTCCAGTTCCTTGTGTTATTTTGGCGGCTATCGAAGCTTTGCATGCCGGGCGTCATCTTATGTTGATGATCAATTATAGAGCGCTCGCTATAAGCGCTTGAGAATGACGGTACAATATTTTCTTATAGCTCGAATCCATGCAAGCCGAGTGCGATTTCAGAAAGGAGCAGTTACTAGCAATGCGTGGTATGTACGTATATCTGTAACTTATAGTTATATGCAGTTATCGCAAGTTCCCCGTGAGCAAATATTTGTGCCAGTGTTTTCTGGCTTTTGTTGTTGCAAGAGTAAACGAATTGTTGAAGTAAAGTTTGAAATCTGTTCGGAATCCTACTACCGGGAAGCTAATTGTATTCATTGATTTTTTGTTTACCGACTAGCTAATTCTGTTCAATTGAATTAAAGTGCTTTGGCTATTGCTCGCGGACGAGAAATTTTGAAAGCAGCTGGTTTTAAATTGTTTGCTAATTGAGTTAAGCTATGTTTTGAATGTATTTTGTATATTTCTTCAACAGTAAACAAAAATTTTTAACATCCTTCGATGAAAATACCCTTGATTTCGTTCCCAAATAGTATAATATCTTATTTGAGAAAATTTATTTCTTTTTGCAACCTGTCTCTGAGGCCTTGCTTGTGCAAAGCGATTGTTGGTCCAACATAATATTTACCGGTGTTGCTCAGTCAGTTTACAGTTATCATATTTATTGACGTACTGCAAATGAAGCCGATAAAATGCATATCAGTCTAAAAAAGTCCATTATATACCTGAAGACTATTACATATGCACTTTGTCTGGAACATGGTGTTTAAGCATGCAATTCGAATTAATTTATTGCATAAATTATATTTTGATGAAATCTGAAATATTGCGTTAGTCAGACTTGAATCTCCAGCGGGTAAGTCGAATAAATATTCAGCTGTTTATTTGCCTCAGTGCATGTGCATAGCAAATGTCACCTGAAATTACAGATCCTTTCCGCGATCCATTGAGACATTAAAAATTTTGAGGAATTGACAAGAGTTGAAACTTCAGGCGTAAAAGTGTTGGAATTCTTAATTTGGTGTGAAATCGAAAACAATATTTCGAGATATAAACAATTTTAAGAAATTTCTCAACTCTTGGTGAACAAATTGTTTGTTCCGGGCTTTCACTAAAACAACGACAACTGCCTTAGATGTGGCGTTGTCAATATTTAAAATATTTTGAATTTCACACTTGTAACATTGTGCGAAGCCATAATCTATTTCAACATTTAGAAGATTACTTTCATCATTTTCATGGCAAGAAGCTGGTCAAACCATTGAACTAAAATACATGGAACGCTCCTGAAGTAAATAATCGAAGTCGAATCTTACACCCAGACACGCGAGATTACATCCAGACACGCGTGTTTAGTGTTTCGAGATTCTCTCGCCGAGTGAAAATTGATTGAACTACACACGTGTGTCTGGGTGTAAGATTTGTCTTCATAAAATTTTTAGGCTTTTCTATTACAGGTAGCGTTCCGTGTATTTTAGTTCAATGGATCAAAAAACAATCTTCAAAATCCTTCCAAGACGTTATAGCTTGAAGTTACTCGGATGACATCTCCCAAATCCAGCCATCTTCGTTATTACTGTTAATCGCTTGATCTTCGTGGAAACGAGGCTAACACTGACGCATCGTCATGAATGCTGCACGAATGACTGATGAAAATCATAAATATTTAATATCCATTTCACGTATATCACCGTCGTTCAGACGTCTAACATCTTGCATTAAACATTTTTGAATGTTAGTCCGGCGCGTCAAATTGATTATTTAGACGTGGTTCACGGTTAAAGGCCTTGCAGCTACAACCGAGTGTATACTGTATGGCATTTGTATTACTTGATGTTTTATTGATTTCAGCGCAAATGGATAAACGAAAAGATTCGACCAAAGGGAGTTCGGAGAGCGATCGCAAATCTCTGAATGGTATGTGGAGCTGTATTTAACATGTGTGCATACAGTAACGTAGCTGGTCCTCCAGTTTCAGTCCTTCTACGTAAACTTCAGAGCATTGTCATTTTTCAGTTCTTCCGAAATCTGTTGTTTCTCTGTAAGTGAACACAGAAAATTCGGCATAGCATGGCGGGTTGTCCACGTCACAAACATCACGTTTAACGACTATATGACCGTGCAGAAAAAGCAAACTTTCATTTCTTGTCGAGGCTGATAACTTTTTAAACTTCAGGGCATTGCAAATACGATTTCACTATTGGCTTCCTTTTTTTCAAGGTGACTCCGAAGAGTTATGTTCGGTTGAAGAGACGATTCAGACTTTAAAAGGTACATACGTAGCTGTTTACTTCCATTGTTTTTATGAAGCTGTGAAGCTCATTCGAGTGGAACGAGTGTTTTGCTAAGCCGAATCCAAATTTTTAACGTCGTTGAAAAACCCAATTCCAACTGATCTATTCGTTCATTCATATCACAAAACTCAAAAATACAATTTTATACATCTGCTTTGGTGTTGCATTGCATACCTCTTCTCCTCATTCCCCTATCCCCTCCTCCATCTCGATTGTTGTATGATACGCTCTTGTTCTCGTCGTCATAGTTTCGTAAACAACACTTCGGACTGAACAATTCATAAATAATATGGGAAAGCATTACGGGACTGTTGAAAAAGTGAATTTTTGAGATAGGGCTGTGACGATATAATAGAGTGATTCAGCAAACACCACGTTTCGTCTAAGACGTCGTAGAAATGGCGTGGTATGCGCCTTTTAGCTACGTCCGGTTCAATGTACGACGGCAGTCGTCCTGACGACTACGACGTGAAAATATCGTCTTATCGACGACGGCTGAAACAAATATTTAATTTTCAATTTTCGGACAGAAATGCGTATATATCTCAGATATTTGCATCTTGAAAGATTATATAGGCCTACATATACTCATCTAAGTAAAAACTGCAAAGGTTTTGTTTCCTGAAGCGTGAAAAAAAAACAAATAAACATCGCGGGGCCTGCTCTGATATCGGGGGCTTCCGCGGAGTCAAAACAATTTCAGTCAAAAAGCCGTATGTCGATGATTTTGCTTCTATTTACATATTTTTTGAAATAAATATACTGCAGTATATACGTATTTCATATCAAAAAATTAGTTTAAAATGATGGAAAAAACGATCCAGCAGGAAAATGCCGAAATGAGTGAAACTTGTTTCATACTATTCTTTGACGAAGTCCTACAAAAGGTTTGCTAAATCACAAATACTTTACGACTTGGTGGTATCCCAGACCCAGATCCCTCGCGAAAATTTGACGACGTCTTAGACGAAACGTCATGTTTGCTAAATCACTCTAATATCTCTTAACATCTCCAGATAAACTTCACGGATTGAGAGAGGAGTCAAAATCCAAGGAGGATCGTGTCAACGAGATCAATGGTACTGTAAATACAAGATCTCGTGCAATACACAAATTGTTCATTTCGATTTGCCTTCTCCATTTGATTTATGGTAGATTTACAGTTCATGCAACAAGTCTTTCATGCTTGCTGCAATAATGTTTTCTGTGTGCGCATGCCTAGTTAGAATCATTTGCAAATTTGCCATCAAGTCATTCGTGAAACCTTTTGAACGAATGATTTTCCAGATGATTCACCTGGCAAGTTGCCATTCAAATTACTTTGATATTGCAGACAAGGTTAATAATTACGAGCAAAATGATGAGGATACTGACGGGGAGCTTGCAATTTTGAAAAGTATGTTGAAGTTTTTAATATGAACATAACGTGATAAAATTTACGATGTATTGAAAGGTTGTTGTTTTCAGTGGACTTTTCAGTATAATATATATATTTTTTACAGATGAGTTGGTTGAATATGAAAAAGACTTGGAACATTTGCGAGTCGAAATCGACCAAACTGAAGGTCATTAGAAGTGTGTAGTTATTTTTCGTGCATCAGGTAGAATATGTAGGGTCACAAGCACTGATCTGCGGTCACAAGGTGATTATTTGTGTACCATTTTGAACAATGTCATGCTTGTAGTGCCACTTCAGGTAGAATATGCAGGGTCACATGTTGATTGCGTGTGTATCATATTGAACACGGTCATACCTGTGGTACCACTTCAGGTTAAATATGTTGGGTCACGTGTTGATTATATGGTCATCATTTTGAACACGGTCATGCCTGTGGTACCACTTCAGGTAGAATATTTTGGGTCACGTGTTGATTATATGGTCATCATTTTGAACACGGTCATGCCTGTGGTACTACTTCAGGTAGAATATGTTGGGTCACGTGTTGCTAATATATGTACCACTTTGAACACGGTTGTACTTGTAACATCACTTCAGGTTGATTATGCAGAGTCACGTGTTGATTATGTGTGTATCATATTGAACACGGTCATACCTGTAGTACCACTTCAGTTAGGATATGTTAGGTCACATGTTGATAATATATGTAGCAAGGTAAACACGGTCGTACTTGTCGTACAGCTTACATAATTTACGGGGTTTTCAGTTTGAGCTCTTTTCAGTCTAACGAATATCTATTTAAAATTTTTCCATGTGCTATAGAGCAGCTTATGTGCTGTCATCTCCGAGCAGTTGACGATCTCAATAAGGAAGACGACGCTTCAAATAGTCTGATTGGTAAGAATAGAACGAAGGGGACGGTTTACACTTTACGCTCGTAAAGTCTCGTGTACAATTTCACTTTTCCCTTTTCAGTAAATGAAGATGACATTCAGGAGAATATCTCCAATCACGTTCAAGGTATGGACTATGATTTAGGTGCTTGATGACAACTGACTGTCAACGTGATGGCGCAAGCTAGGCACTTACAGGCGAAATAAACACAGTTATATGCCTACACATTAAAGAATTATAAAACATTTGATTTCCCGAACAATGTGTTTGATGTGTTCCAGCTAAGTTTGTTATTTTTTCAATAAACAATAAGTTTTGGTTTTTCCATCCTTCGAATATGTCATAGCATTTCTAGTGTATGTTTCATCCAAATGTATTTTCTAGGCTTGAATGAAGGCACAAACTACGATCTTGATATGCTAGATGACTTAGAAGGTATTTAAATTGTCTAGTTATTATTTTAATTTTGTATGTTTTTTATGCCTGTTGATGATATAATTCGAGTTTTTATTTTACAGCTGAACTTCAAAATGTGAAGAACCAACTGTGTAGCTTTAATGGCCGGAACGAAGAAACTGATCATTCCTCTTTCCTCGAGAACAATGTGGAAACTCGACAGATCGGTTCGTATGCAAGTTTTTCTTTCGAGTAACTTGCACATTCAATTTTTCTCATTTTCGAACGCTCGTATATGCGGCAATTGATGTTGTTGCGCCATGTTCTCGAATACCGTGGTTTCGAACACACAATGTGGAAAAAGACTTGAACGAGGGTTTTCCATTGATTCGACGGAATTCTATGCTATTACTTACAATAATGTGAGAGGAAAAGGACGAGACAAATATTACCTTCGCCGTTTATTACAGAAATTCAATGTATTATATTTCAAAATTTTCTCCGTACACATTTTGTCTGTGTATTGTGGGATTAAATGTACCGAAAACAACCAATCAATTTCGAGTAAAGTTTCCTCTTATATTTTATTGCAAATGTCACAATCATGAATAGAGCCTTTAATCTAGTATTTTTGTGGAATATAAAAAAGGAATGTAGTCTGTGGTCTTCATCGTATCCTACCAAAAAACAAACAAAACGAAACATCCTCTCAAGTGACTTCTCCAAAACCCAAAGTTTTCTTTACATTTTCAGAGGTGATCGTACTGAAGTGCATGAGACACATTCAGTTCATCAAAAGTAAGCATTTCATTTAGAGCGGGTTTATGACCACCATTATATTTTTGCACAGCGCTTTTCTTTTCTCTCTCAGATGAGATGTCCAATTATAAAGAGCTTGTTTCCAGTAAGAATTACACTATCTCAGGTACGCGTATCTTTAACATACATGAAATTGGAAGAAGGAACGGATCGAATAGGGACGATTAAATTAGGGAGGATCGATTGGAAATAAGATAAATAACCAAACGAATAGGGTGCATTGATTCGATAGCACAACGAGAATGAAAAAAATACGATTCGTTGATACTTATTTGGCATATGGGAAAAATTAGAAATTTATAATGTGTGTTTCAGCTTTATCTGATAGTGACTCTGGTACTGAAGAGAAAACCATCCAAGAACTTCGTGGTAAAACTTTTATTTCGCCTGAGTCAAGATCAAACACTCGTCTTGCTTTTCTTTCTCCTCTAGTATCCAGCGATCAACAAGTTTTCTTAAATATCATTTTCAGAGCAACTCCAAACGGCTGAGAGCAAAGCGACCGAAGTGAGACAAGAAATTCTTACTCTGAGAGGTCAGTATAAAATACTTTTTCTCGCTGGATTTTGTTTTCCGTGAGGAGTGTGTTTCCCTTTTCTTTATTTTTTCTCTCTGTTTTTCCTCGCTCCAGATAAACTTGTGGAAGAGCAAGATACCGCCCGAGAACGAGAAGAGACGATTGCCAACTTGCATAGTGAGTAAACGGATGCCCGTTTTGTTTCTTCGAACGCTGCATCTTTTTAATTCTTACTTCATCAAACGTATCGTTTCCAGGACAGATTGGCGGGCTTTCACGAAGTCGCCGCCTGTCTGAAGTGGAAAAGACAGCTGAACATCGTGCCGCGGAGTCGGCGAAGAGTACGGCTAAACACATGCAGCAGCAAGCAGCGATCAGTGCGGGGAAGGCGTCGAAAAACATAGGTTTTTCATTATCTTGTATATCTGTTGTGGCACGTCAGAATTATTTTACCATTGCTGGATCTTTTACACATCAATGAAGCGGAAACACAGTCTTTCACTTTAAGCTTCATCCTGTATTTCTATATCAATAAGAGACGATGTTTTTTCTGGATCTCTAGAAAGGACAGTTTGGTCAGAGCTTAACATTGTTCACCTCCACTTGTTTCCATCACGCAACGTCTTTTATTCACTGAATCACCAACATTTCTTGAGACGACCGGCCTGCCATTGTCGAAAATCATTCACTGAATCACCAACATTCCTATGGACGACAATGACATTGTCGTCGATCATCATGTAGTCAGTTTGCTTTTAGATTCGTTTTGCTGTTTACAAGCAGTAGCGGACACAAGCCCGGGGGGCAGGGGGTTTGAGCTTCCCAATAATTTTGAAATTTTACTCCAATTTCTTCAAGTCACACCTACATCACATAAATGTGATGTTAAATAATGACTATTTGGTAGACTTTGGTAGTGCACACGTACCAGCAGATGCATTAAACCTTGTGTGTGTTGGATTATGTGTAGGAATCCTTATATTAAATTTCTAGAGATCAAATTTGAAAAGTATGCCTATAGGCATGCTCCGCGATCTCCCTAAAAATCTCATGCCTTGAGACGAGCCCCCTCTCCCCAATAATTCATTTAGTGTCTGCCACTGTTTACAAAGGCAATTAAGCTATTTTTTGTTCATAAACCAGTTGAGTCTAGTTACTCATGGTTTGTGCTACTTCTGCCTAAACCAACCGCTCAATTCATTGTTTCAGTTCAATTAAAGACACTGCAAGAGGAGAACAAGTTCCTTCTACAAAAAGTCCAAACACTCGAGAGCGAATTGAAGTGGTAAGATAGTTTGTTTTTAATGCAAAGTTTCCGGGCGACTTTGACTTATCTAAAAGAATTTGCTGTTTCTTGTACCTACCCCCACCCCCCAAATATGTTTTGATGAGCGACTCGTTTCGTTTTCAACGGATAAGCACTCCACCAAGCCTAAAAAATAAAGTAGGCATTAGGCAAAAAACAGCAACTGGTTGTTTAGACTCCAACTTGTAACAGGTTTTATCTAAAATGTTTCAATTTACCATGAAGTCAAAGGATGTTTACGTAATGATGAATAAATCAAAATGAAATGAAAGTTAATGGAAAAATGAAATAAATGTATGAAACATTTTATGGTTGATTCAAACTACGAGTCAAAAGGCAGTGTGTGTTTTTTATACTTTGAATTATCCTTGGCATCCAAGTTTAAAATCTCGCTGTATATGCAAGTCGTGTACTTTACGAGTTACTTATTTTTCGTCTTGTCTTACACGTCATGACATATTTTTGTCGTCGTTTTTTGCATCACTTGCCAACTTATTGCTGTTTCCTTTGAATATGTAGGTCGAAGAAAGAAAAGAAACGATTAGCGTCCGAACGCGAGAGGCTCGATGTAGCGCAATCAAATCACGCTAACAATTCAACGAGTTCATCTCTTAACGAGGTATGTCGTGGTTTTTCTTCTAGCGATGCTCTATGTCGAAAATGCTTTTATCTTCTGTCGTCATGCGTAGATACCTGAAGAATATGGGTCTGGTGACAATGAAGATCTTCTAACGAAAAGTGCAAAAGGAGTCGATCGAACTAACGAAAGTGCAAAAGGAGTCGATAATATAGATGAGCAAAATTCTTATACGGTGAGACCAATATGCGCGACAAGTTTCTATTATTTTGACCTTTGCTCATTTGGTTAACATTTTTTTACTGTATTTACTAAGATAAATTATCCCTAATGTACCACTTGAAAGAAAAGTTCAGTGGTGGTAGAGTTATTAATTTAGGATCAGTTGTTTCAGTTAATATATCTCCTCCTTCGGTAGCGTTTATTGGATGAGCATGAGATTATTTTTACTGGATCACTCCGATCACCTTGGATAATTTCAGTGGCGTAGCCAAGCCGCATATTTACTCCTGTCAAGCGAATTCTTCTGTGATCACTCACCGTGAGAACTATAATTTTCAAATAAAATAAAAAATTCTTAACGCTCTGAAATTCGTACAGCAGGACTAAAACTTGCGGATTGGCTACGCCAGTGTCTCAAATATATAAAAAAAACCCTAACAGTAAGAGATTATTTCTACTTGGGACCACAGTATAGGGAATACACAGTAGGTCTGCTTCCCTGTGCAACTGGTTGCTCTACATTTAATTGGATAGTTGGCGACCGTTAGCCATTTCATCATTCCTATTGGTCCAAAAAAGGGAATTGATTTGCTCCATTAAGGTATTCATAGTGTGTAATAAGATATGCGTGGCACGAAAAAATTCAATGGAGTGGCTCTACTGTGTGTTCACTATACTGTGATAGGAACGTGGGATGATCGATAATTGGGGGGAGGGGGGGTATAATCATATACACATCATCTGCCGTCTTAAGCTCCTGTAAAGTCCATTGTTTTTTACGGATTACAACATGCCCATATGAAGGTACCCCCCTCCCCATATTACTTTTCGCAACAGAACCTCGCTAAACAGATAGGGTTATACAAAACGAATAATTCTTTTTCTTTTAGAAATACTTCTTAACTGCCATGTTTTATCTTATCCTGGCATTACTTGTCTCCTTGACTTTTCGAGTAATGGGAAATAGAAAAAACAATAATCAAAACTCAACAACGTAACGTTGCAATTTGGCATCACGTGTCTCCTTGACTTTTCAAATGATGGGAAATGGGGGGAAAATGAGCAAAACTCAACAAGGTAACGCTGCATTTTGGCGCAAAGCCCTGTATTTGTGAGAGTTGGGACTCGTATTGTTCTCTGCATTTTGGATTATGATCATGGTGATTGGGTAGATATGGTCACGTGGGCATCTAGCCGCCATTTTTGCCCCAAAGTGCAGATTATGACCATTTTTTACATAGGAAATAAATTCTAAAAAAATGTTTTCAATGATTTTATGTTGCATTATAATAGTGCCAATGAAAGCAATGAAGAATAGAAACATACGCGCTCCCTTGTGGCAAAAACAACATTAAAGGCGTATAAATTACATCTACTGCATGAAATAAATGCTTTTCTATTATTATGACATCTATAAACAACTGAGTTTCAAACAACTGGGATCGCTGTCCATTCATGAATTAGAAAAACAACAGAAAATTTGTCTTTCCACCATTTAATGCTCTATATTTGCTGGCTTTGGAACAAAAATGGCGGAAACTTAGCAATTTTACTTCCGGTGTCCCAAATCTCCTAATACAGGGCTCTGTTTTGACGTCACTTGTCTCCTTGACTTTTCAAATGATGGGAAATAGAAAAAATAATGAACAAAACTCAAGAACGCAGCATTGCTTACAAAGTCTATTGTCCATCTTATAAAGTCGAGAATCGCAACGGTCTACTTACATCAATAAAACGCCGACTGTATATATTCAACTGGAGTTGGCGGCTCGTTTGGATATACATTTGGGTCGTCACGTTATTTGGATAAGTTTAACATTGAAGTACAAACACGATTTGTACCGTTTATTTAATTTTAAGGATATGTACTAAAGCTTGCATATTATATTTTTCAAATTGTATATTTACTATAGTAATTTTTTCATTAAAATGATTCGCTATTTGACCATTCGGTAAGAACCTTTCCCCGTGGCATTTGAGAAGCATGCAATCGTGATTATTTGCATTTCACACGTACAATTCGAAGCCTATTTGAATTTCCAGAGGCTTAAAATAAATTGTGCTTATTGGACAAACGGCCATTTAGAACAATGACGTCCTTTTTTATGGATAGGAATAGACAAACAATGTCTTCCAAGTTGATTTCCGATAATAAATTCCATATATCAACGCCACTTTTTCCTGAAGAGTTATCAATATTCCCTCTTAAAAACTGCTTAGAAAGTAATAGAAATCACTGGACGTATTGAACAAAGATATTTTCTTGAATAACGACTGTCGGCGCTTCTTTCGTGGCACATTCAATTTGCATTTTATACTTGAAAACACGGTCATAAACAGATCTTTGAGATACAAGTAAGTTCATATGACTGACTGGCAATCTTATCTCGAAGTCTTCGCCAAAGTTTTTGGATTTTTCACGTCTTCATCACGGCTGAGATAGAAAGCATCTGTGCGACGAGTTTTTCTTGTGTTTCGAAAGAACTTGATAAATTGATTATCTACTGTATCAAGACTCATATATTCTTGACTTGCAACCGTTCTCTCGAAATTTACCAAACAATGTCACTCGCCCACGTCGGCTGGTACCAACAATAACACTGATAAATTATTCTTTTGTATCATACCACCAACATGGCTGACTTGCAAGTCAAGAATATCTAATGTCGAGGAATCTCTGACAGAAGTTACCGTTTTACTATCGCTTTAAGTGCATTTTTATTCTTTTAAACTCGACAAAAATGACGTTGGGTTCTGATGCGATTTCAGCGGATTCTGAATGGAGGGTAATTCAAAAAAGAACGTTTACAAGATTGTGCAACGAACATTTAAAGCTCGCCAAATTTATTTTACATGATTTAGAGAAGGATCTGTGCGATGGTATGAAGCTGATTGTACTACTGGAAGTGTTGTCACACGAGTTGATAAGTGTGAGGAAAAAACCTAAATTGAAGTCTCGCAAGCTCGAGAACGTTGCATTGAAATTCATTGAGAGCGAACGCATTTATTGACTGAATTCCAATGAACGATATTACAACCGATTGGAATGTTGGACGTGCTATCGCAGCACTGGTTGATGATGCTATTGTACCAGGGGCCAGTTACACGAAGGTCGAATAGCGCTATCCACTGGATAGCAATTTTTTATACGTTTAAAAAACGTCTTAAAGGGGAAATATACGATTTGAACTGAGCAATCGCTGAAATGAAATATTGCTTCTAAGATTACTAAATTTCTTTGTCGTAATGAAAATATAAACATCTTTTTAAAAAGTTTGAAAATTTTACCATCCAATGGATAACGCTATCCAGGCTTCGTGTAACCTGGCCCCAGGCCTATACCCAGACGCGAATCTTATAGACTTGGATCCAATTTGCTTGAATCCTGAACAATGAACTCCATAACAACTGGAAGGCTAACTTGGACGCAGTGAACTCCATATATATATATCTGGAATGATAACAACAATACATTTTATAGATATAAAATTGAAGCCAAAGTCCTAGTCTCTTGCGCGGTTTGTACGTCAGTTCCAGTCCTTCAAAGTCGAATATTCACGCGGTTTGTACGTCAGTTTCATTCCCCTGAGTGCCAAACATACACGGCCAATATAAATTTGAATATAAATTGCAAAAGCATAAACATATAAACAACATCACGACAAACAACACACTAGGCCAACTCCTCGCAAAAGGTTATTTTTTACAGCTGAAACTTTACTACAGTGAGTTCGTTGTAACTTACAACTTGTAACGAGGAAAAGCCAACTGAAAATTACACTGTTTGCTAAAAAGACAATACAATAGAAAATATGACGAGAAAATATTCAAACATAAATTTTTCTTTCGTCGGAAGGTAAACTTTCAAACGTTGTCAGACAGCGTTTGTCTTTTTTGTCATTTAAGTGGATTTAAAGATCTGTTTTTCCGAATAAAAAAGAAACTTGAATATCCAGTTTCATAAAAAATATGGAGTCTATAACTCGCATTTTTACTTTTTACAGAGCGATTGTATTTTTCATCGATTTTGATAGCGCTTGAAACTTGAAATGAATATCCATTTATATGTTTGATATCTTTTTATGATATGTTTTAAAGGAAAACCGCAGCGTAAGAGCAGATCGACTAAGTTCACCTCATCTTGCTTCTCGATTTATCACTTTGATTCACTTTCCGTGAACCTTTTCATTCCAAAAATTTCGTTATTTTTACGCTCTGATCAAGATCCGAACTCTACCATTACCAAGGGACAAATGATTTAAAAAAAATAAAATGAACACGCGAGGACTAGAGCCTGACGTGTGATGACGAATGATGACAACAAATATTTTTTTGGCTTCAATTTTTGGCTTCGGTTATCATTCCAGTTATTCAAATGTCGAGTTCACTGCTTGGACGCCATCTTTGAAGCCTGCATGAGCGCCGCCATTGAGGGTACGGAGGCGAAATACATCACTTCGAAATTGCCGGATTTTTTGCAAAAAACAGTGGTCTTCGAGCCAGCTTAATGTCTAAAAACCTTAAACAATGTTTGGACTTTAATATAAAACAAATTTGAACGGCATTTGTGCATGTTTAAGCTTCTTTTTAGAAGGATGAAAAGCGAACTTTGTTTTGGCACGTCAAAACATGCCTTATAACTTGAATACAAAACTGACACCCCTCGTTTTTTTTCATTAGAAGGATGTAAAATACACTTGTCTATCCTTATAATATTGTTTGAATCTTTGAAAATGAAGCTGTCAGGGCAAAAAACGCTGTTTTTCGGTAATTTTAGTGTTTCCGAGCAAAATTAGCTCGCCCCAGTCCTTTTTGAAAGTTCAGAGCATAAACAAAAAGAAAAACACTTTGCAAAATATTTCAAAAAGTTAGCAAAAAAGTATTTTGAGTTAGTTTAAAAAAAAACTGTTATGCCATATTATTGTGTTATCATTAATTGCACCATTAAAGAGTCAAAAGGGTCAATACTCACTTAAAAAAAAGACAAAAACACAATTGACACTCCATATTCATAACTTTTGAAACACTTAAGTAAAAATTGTAATGTAATACAAGTATGAAAAAGATTATTAGTCTAATATTTTAGAATCATATATTTTCACAAATATGACCAAACATTTTAAACACACATCCTAAAATTTAATATATTACATATACATTCATCATCATCTGTATTACAAGAAAAAACTAATTTTACAATCAATATGCTATACTATAAAATTTTGATACAGGATATAGCTTTGCTTGCTTTATAATCATTTTAAAACCCTGTTTCAAACCACTGAGGATGAGGGTTGCTTTTTGACATTTATGTAGAGCAGGTTATATTAGCAATACTTGTCATAGTGTGCACTTGGCTATTTATTTATAAGCATGAACTTGCTGATAAAATGCTCAATACACAAATATGAATGCATGTCAAATCTTCCACCAGTTCTTAAGAAGTGAGAGAAGTAAATGACAAGAACCAACAATCACTCACAATTCAAAATTTCAAATCATCACTTTCACACATTACAAAAAGAGCATGTGAAATTCTTACAAAGCAAGTGTAACTTTGAAAGCAATAAAATTGTTATGAAACATGTTATATTAAGTGGATTGTGTGTATTCTGCACAGCATTCAAAGATACAGACTACCTGTTATCAGTTTTATCTTAAATTTTTGGTCTTTCGACGACAAATGAGAAATTCATATTTCGATGTGTGTTCTCCCTTTTATGTTTTATATAATACAGCGTTACGTATACAAAACATGTCTTGGAACGTCCACAATGCATCTTAACACATTAATAACAAAATTGTGCTAACGGTTTTGAAAAAAATAAAGCATTTTGGCTAGCATTCTCTTCCCAAGTTAGCAGTTTTCGCAAAACAATCCGTCACGCAAATAAAACAGTCCACGCGAGATACACGCGAAGCGGCAAATCAGCTTCTATGTGGCTTCAAAAAAGTGTAGGTTTGTTTATAATGAGTTAGCCTTCCAGTTGTTGTAGAGTTCACTGATCCTGAATGATGCCATAACATAAACAATTTCAAAAAAGCGATGGATAATATCTTGGTGTTCCACAAGTAAGTATAACTATCTAACGTTGTCAACTCTTTTTAAGCAATTTTAGTTTTTCAAAACGAAAATAATGTTGAAAGAAATGACTTGTAAAAAAATATTATGAAAAATTGATAATTGATTATCCAAAATGGCGGCCATCAACAACTACTAACAATTGCTTTCGTTCGTGAACATCTTTTTTGATAACCGAATGATATATTTGAAGGTCTAGAAACTGACAATTGATAGTGCTCATTGAAATTCACAATAAATGACAGCAAGAAAGGTGACCACGTTTAGTTTTCATTCAAATTTCTGTTACCATTTATGGTTGAGGTCGATGTGTCGAAAATGAATGGGGTGCACAAATTCATTTATATTTTTCGCACTCTCGTGCAATTTACATTTGCGTGATCATTTCTGTAATGTAAATAATTTTTATGGAATATTTATCTCCAAAACGATTCAAGTGATTGAACTGATCAGATATGCGGTAAAATCTTACAGCTGATCTAAGTACGAGTGACAACTTATAAATATTGATAAAGTCATAGCTATTCAAGTGAAAGCCATTTAAAAATGATTTTCTACTCTGAAAAGTTTCAATAAATCTACTAGACAACACAAAGTGTCATCTTCTACAGATTTAGGGCACTTTGTGTGATCAATGTTAAGCAAATGCATTCGCTGAAAGATATTTATCTGCTTCAACAAATATTTCAATCGATTGAGGAACTAAGGGTAGGAGTTCTTAAGGTATTCTTGTTTATTTCATGGCGTTGCCGTATATACATTCACCTATATGCAGACTCTCCTGGGAAGATCATTATCTACATGGCAGATATGACGTCTGCGACTTTTGGGCTCAAGTAATGTACCATTTTAATCCTTCAGATCCCCGATGCACCTGACATGTGTAATCCGATGTGCGATGCGTTGAGCATTGTGACGTACGTTTCATATTTCGCGAACCTGGTTCATCTCAAAGGTGGAGCAACACTTTATGAAGAAAATTCAAGTGCGTCGTATTGCTTTCATAGTCAATTGCTGATTTGCCGAGGAACTTTGTTCAGTCGCTGATCACGTCAGCATTTCAGTAGCTAATTACGTAAACATTTCAGTAGCTAATTACATCAACATTTCAGTAGCTAATTACGTAAACATTTCAGTAGCTGATTACGTAAACATTTCAGAAGCTAATTACGTAAGTATTTGAAAGAATGCAATCATTCCTGCTTAAAAACAACGATGATAACTTTTTTGGATAAGGAATTTTGTTCAATAACTTGTCACAGAAACTTTTCTGTGCCAAGTCATATGTCCATGCTTTGTGAATTTTTCAATTACGTTTTTGCAGTTACTGAACACCGAAGTATTTACATAGCCTGAGCAAACTTGTTGGCTAGCTACGTCATTATACACAAGTATGAACTACCATGTATACGAATTTGAAAGGAATCGAGCAAAGACTGCAATTTCAACATGACAATGAAAAGGTTATTTACAAATACAAGAAGTTTTTTTCGCGAAAAAAAAGTTTTGACGGAGATCAGTGATTTTCCGTAAAAACAGCCCTACGTTGTCCTAAACTGCCGACTCTGGTAAGTATCTGAATGCTCTTCGTGATCTTTGAAGGTAGTCGTGATGGTTAAATTGGTTCACCTGAACTGGTCTGAATCTCTCCTTATCACGACTCAACTCAAAATGGTTACTATATAAAGTGTGACATGCGTATGTGCATCTTTTACAGCAGCTGTTCACATTCACCTGTACGTAGTGGTCGTGCACGCCATGCTGACGTGTCGAATGGTATGTTGGCGATACGGGTTTCTGTTCCATAATGACATCTTCCATGTCACGTGTGTTCAGCATGTGATGTTTGGTGCAAGGAAGCTGTTTGTTTCGAACTCGGTATATCGTTGATGAGGAGTCTGGGGAGGAATGTGAGTCGGAGCTTTCCGTGGTGCATGATGGGATATCATTTGGGTGAGTTTGACGTTGTCTTTTTGTTGGTGTATGTTGTCCGCGGGATTCAATAGACTCGTTCAATTTACTGAAAGATATCAAATCGATTTAACGTAACATTACTCTTAAAATTCATCGTTATCTAATGTAATTACAAAATTTTCCACTGATCCATCTTTGTTCGTCTCTTACTACTTACCGTCTCTTATTGTTGTCGTACTGCACGAACAAATAGGCGATTACGTAAAGAAACATGAACATGAGAGGTAAAAATGTTTGGTAGATTGCATCAACCCTTGGCTGAGTTTTTCATTTGGAAAAAGCGAAAAAACTTCTTCAGTTGGCTGAGTTTTTCATTTAACAAGAATTCATCATTAAATGTAGATATGATCTTCGCACTTTGTTGGACAATTTAAGCAATTGTCCTAACAAAGTCAAAAAGACATTGTCTCAATTGTCTAAATTGTCCAACAAAGTGCGAAGATCATATCTACATTTAATTTCAAACACCGCACTGCATAAAACATTCTTTCGTAAGAATTCATCATATCACCAAAACTCTCCACTTAAATCAAAAGCAGCATCCAGCTTAACCGTTAGTAACCAATTACACTCATATAGATGTAGATCACGGAGGGGGTGTGAGAAATGTTACTGAGGGGACTCACAAGTTTTGCAGAAGTTTGTGATGTCTATTGCAGTAATTTTTTGTCAAAGTAATGCAGCAGAACTGTCTGAACTATTCCTTTCTGCATGCTGGAGTTATGCAAATTTGTCAACTCTTAACTCCTCATCCTTTCGCAAAACTTTAGCCTTCTTTGACAAAAAAACTCAACATCAACGGTCAATGTATCAATTTGCTTGTTAATTATCCGAATTACGAGCTCGTGTGAATTTCGTTTTACCTTGAACTCTTTGAAAACATCTTGCAAGCTCTTTGTATTGTAAAAACATGAAAATTTTTGGTCAATCTGCAAAAAGAAAACGCAATTTTCCATTGGTTCAGACCCCTAACTAAATCAACGGGTTTATGAAATCAATCAAGCTGATCACCTTTCCAAAATGGTTATCGAAAGATGTCAGACACTTCGTGGGATTTTTGCATACGGCAGATTTTTGAAACATGCTCCCTTTTCCAAACGTATAAGAGCACTAACAACAAAATCGAAGACATCCTTTTTGTTAATTTTTATCAACAAATAAACAACCAATACTGCATACCATTATATACACTCCTCAAAATTTCATACTATTTTTAATTGAAAAGAGATTGTCCAGTACCTGTAATCAGGAGCGGATTATCCAGTAGGCTGAGTAGGTTTTAGCCTACAGGCCTGGGCTTTCGAAACGCCCTTTGTAACTGGACAGAATTTGGATTTGAACGTTTTTTCTATTCTGGGCTAGCTAAATCTGCTTAACTTATATCATTCATGCTGTTGAAAACCGATGGCTTTAGTGCTATCTACTGTTCAAATGCGCAATGCTCAGAACTTATGAAGTATTGGCTTTTGCTATTTCCCTGACCATGTCAATGATTTTTGAAAGTTCGTTTTAAATTTAAAATTAACCTTTCCCATTTTTTAACCTATGGGGTGCAAAAGTGAAGGAAAACTGAACTTAGTGGAAGGAATAGGTATCGTTTAAAGGCCCTTAACTTTGTCTTAGCCTACAGACCCCGTAATTAGCTATCAGCCACCGCCTGTAATGTTCGCTTGCATTACCTTTTCACAATGGTATAAAGTTTGTTCGTTTTCCATCAAAACAGAGCGACTGTACCCACTTGTCGTGTTGTATTTCACCTGCAAATGACGTCGAGATCATATTTGAATGTTGTCTTAGATACATAGAGATATTTTACGATGTTCGGAAACAAAACGAGGACATTGTTGTGTTTCGTCTCAGCCAGGTCAAAGAGCATTTCACTCACCAGAATTCTGTAGCATGGACTAAAGTGTTCGGTTGAAATGCTGCAACTTCCTTTTTCGAAGATCTCGACTTTTTCGACTCGACATTCTGTCGCTTTGTAGCTTAAACCTGCAGGTTGTTAAAGCGATTTTGATCATGTTGGTCGTCATTAGAAATTTTACTCCATTTCAAGTTATGTCGAAATTATGTATTGCTGCAATGTTAATGAAAGACTCACTCACCTTGTATATAAGGAAGTGTAACGTACATCAGAATTGCCACAGACGCGAAAGTAACGGCCAGTAAACATGGTATACAAAAAAATAACGGACATTTCAGTCTATCTGCAAGATTCTCTCTCAGAAGTTCACTTTTATTCAAACGTATTCGTCGTATTCTTGCTGTTTCTTGTTTGGTTATACTGGAACGGTCCGTTGTCAAGAATGACTTTATGCCTGGAAAAACTGGCATTTTTATCTTTCTCTTCTTAAAATTGGGAGCAACTTTGAACTTTTAGGACACTGTGTAGTTTAAAGTGGTGCAATTAAGAAGGCGAGATTTTATTGCTGAAAGTGAAGTTAAAATGTTACTTTCCAAATTGACTTCAATATCTGTTGTAAACAAACACTTTTTGCGTGAGTTAATCTTAACCTTAATACTTTAGCAAACAAGTGCTTCTTTATAATGGAAATCTATTAGCTGCATGATATTTCATTTTGAAATCAAAGTGAAAGCCGAGACGTTATTTCTATAATGGATGGTGAACGGTTTAGTTGGACGCCTAATAAACTTTCATCAACGCGCAAACTTTAAGTGGATAGAAAAAATTAGAGATCTTGGCAACATTTGACGTTTAGAATTTGCACTCGTGTGTTATTTTAGCAATAAGTCTTATGTAATTTTTTGACCGTGAATGAAATTATAATTTCCTCTAGAGAGAAAATTTTGTGGTAGATCAAAATCAGCAGAGGCTTGAGCTACAAAAGTGAGAAAACTAAAAATGCCAAAATGTTTGCTGTCGCTGAAATATATGCTTGTGTAAAATTTTGTGTTTTCTTTGATTCAGATATCATCTAGTGGTTTGAAGAAGTCTTTCGAAACAAAAACTTTTGGGAACAAGGTATGGACATCAGTTAAACTCCATATTGTGATCCGTACGCGTGATTGTTTTCCATGCATTGTTTGCGTAGGTAAAGATCACGGTGATCCTTACGTTCCCACTGTGATCCATACACTGTTGCGTAGGTAAAGATCACGGTGATCCTTACGTTCCCATTGTGATCCATACACTGTTGCGTAGGTAAAGATCACGGTGATCCTTACGTTCTCATTGTGATCCATACACTGTTTCATAATGAACGATCACAATGATCCTTACATTCTCGTTGTGATCCATACTAGACCATACACTCTTTTATAGTGTCAACCTGTGCTATAAGTTGACACAGCGCTAAAACGTTGATGGGGAATGGGGGAGGGCATTTGTTCAAACAATCAGTTGCGCCAGACTTGTTTTTTTTTGAAAGTAAATGGCTACATAAATTGAATATAAGCCCATCAATTCACGTTCTAGCACTTACCCTGGTCATCGTGTCTGCTTTTCTAAGCTGAGAACAAAGCACAAGTTTGTCAGTATCATAAAGTACTTATAAAAGCACTGTCGTATAAATTTTAAACAGTGCATGTAATATGCATATATTGATTTAAAACTGGACGATGTAGGGGAAGACGAGTGAACACGGAGGACACCAAGTGCCAGCGATATCTTCATCTACATTTGTAAAGACATTTAAACATTAGTTGCTATGTTTGGAAAATTATAGCATATTAAAATACTTGCTCTTGCTAAAAACAACCAAGCAACTGAAGCAATTTAGTGTCTGAGAAAATAAGAGAATCAACGTTTGTTTACGTTGTTTACCACTGTATTATATTGTGTTTTGTAACTTTTCGACAACATTGCACAATCTTATTGTGAAATTTTTTACGCTGTTGTTAACATACTTTACATCATTTCATCAGTCGTCGGGTACTTGACATATGCCTAACTTAATATCGTATTTGATATGGCTTGAGCCTTGAAACTTGTAAAAGAAATTTGATTATAAGATAAGCAGAACATTCACCGAGCTATATTTACTACTTTTTTTCTATATTGTACTTATCTTTCACCACAGTATAGGGTATGTGGGTAGAGTTAATTTGAGCTTTTCTTGTATTTTATGTGTTCTCGATCATCTTTGATGTTTTGCCAGTACTTTCTGTTTTTTGTTTCTACGTCCATTTGCATTGGCTGGTTCTGTCTTTATACATTTGAATAATTTCGCATAATTGTGAATGTGTGATGCTTGTCGACAGGACGCGCACAAGGAGGTGCAAAGATGTTTCAGAAAAAAAGATCGCATAGTTTTTATAGACTTTGCTTTGAGGTAAGTTGGCCGTCGAATTGCTACATATTTTCAAAGCAAAATCTACACCTACGAGGATTAAAAAGAAAATAAAGTGCCTTCCATATTTTTTAATCAGCACCTGCTCTTCTTGCTTCGATTACATTTCTCTTTATGCGTGCTTTAGTTTCAGACGTGTTGTGAAAAGTTGCACACTAATTTTAGTCAAATGTATCGGAAAGATGAACTTATTGTGGAGTGTAAAAGCTAAAGATGCTTCCCATTTTGTGATATGTTAGTCTGGCATTGAGCGGATCTTTGTGTTTGTTTTTGAAAAAGCTAACTGTCGTCGATGTTGTGTTACGTAGAAGATTGTTTTCAAATGATGCCGTTGCCGTATTTGATAATCTTTCACTAATCATGATATTATGATAAGCTATTCCAATAGCAATGAGCTTTGCTAAAAAATCATTGTGTTATTTTTTTGTCAAGTATAACATAGTGTCATCACAAGTGGTAAACTTATTCATCATTTTTAGACTATTCATTCAGATCCAATGTCCTTAATCTTCTTTCGATTCTTTTTAAAATAAATTACAAACACAAACAATCATTCACTCTGGATTTCTCGATTGGTTTATTTAAGCTGTTCTTTCAAGATATCCAATTGAATCATCTCGATCTTTTCAATTTGGTATAATTACATAAAAACCTGTACGACTCTCACATTTTAAGTATCATTTTTTAGGCATTCCGCGTAAATCATCTTACAGACTTACATTGTTCCAAAATGTAACTGCAAAAGGTATTCTAAGCTTTGATCGAATAGTGTTAGACTAATAAATTCATTTTTTTTATCAAATCGCCATGCTAACTTATGCAGTTTTAGATTCACCCTTGGAAAGAGTTAGCAGGAAATCTAAGCTCCGTGAACTATTTCTGTTGTGGACGACAAACATGTTGTCAGACGAAGAAGATCATCTGACAAATCTGGTGGCTAAACGAGTTGATGAATTTGATGGACTGGAAGGTGTAAGTTCATTGATCTTCTTTGAAATCCAAAATTAAGCTTATTATCATCAATCAAATGTCACAATGTGCTCAATGTGAATCAACGAATGCCGTTAAATCTTGGAGCAGAAAATGTAAGTATATGAAGTGCATCGTATTTAAGAAATGGTGTTTATTTTTCAAAATCCACGAGAATTATCTCTTGAAAAATCGTCAAAAGGCGGAAACATGTCTATAAAAGTCAAGACAAATCATGCATCAAAGGTTTTGCAATTGTTTTGTGTACAACAATTTGAATATCATGAACCTGTGTCAATGTGTTTCAACGCATAGAAAAAGCAAAACCTGCTCGTCTTCAGGTAGAAAAAGACCATTTTTGTTCTGCGCTTGTTTTTTTTATAATAGATGCAATTTTTAAACCCTTGATATATTTGTCTTTTATTACATTTCTTTAGATATTTTTGTTGCAAGATTTTATTGCAATTGTTTACTTCACGCTTTGAGCATTGGTTACTCGTGATAAAACGTATTTAAAATGTTTCACAATCGGATTTTATGATTCCATTGACGAAATATTTCACGTTAATCCCCTCGTGCAAGGGACATGCCCAAGTCACTCAACATTGTAGACTCAATATGTTGAGCGCATTTGCATAACTTGTTGATAGGTGTTGAGCGGCGTTGAGAGAAGTTTGAACTTGTTTAAACATTTGACTCAACGGCGCTCAATATTTTTCTTCGTTCCGCGCTCATCGATGCGTGTTTAAACATTGTTTAGTGCGTTTGCGCCATTGGTTTGCATTGCTCGCTCGAGAATGTCAAGCTAACGCATGCGTACTGTGCGGCGTATATGATGGTAAAAATCATGTAAAAATGGCGTCACTGAACTGTATATGTATGTATATAGTTCCCACCGTTGCTAGGCATCGTGAAATATTTCATCTCATATCAACACGTTGAGAGCGTTTGCACACATCGCTAAACATCACACAACAAGAGCAAGACAATGTTGAGTCAACATGTTGAGCGCGTTTCCACATAGCTTTAGGCTCACATCATGAGCCGGACTTTATTAGTGGCGAAGCCAGTTTCAATCCTGAGATTCCTGACATGTTGGTTATCATTCAAAGCGTTATCGTTCATTATTCATTTCTTAGAATTGTTTTAAGCAATTAGCGCAGACATGCTTGCAATGCAGGAAGCATGAACTGGCCAGCGCAGACATGCTTGCAATGAAGGAAATATGAATTGGCTGGCTACATCACTGCCACTGTGTTGACGTAGAAAAACTTTACTGATAATAATCGAAAAATCAAAACTCTAGGCAAGTGATTCTATTGAAAAACGTCATTTTCTCAACAAAGTTTTCTATCGATAGTTTCCTATCGATAGTTTTGACAACAAGCTGCGCACTAAAAAATATGACAAATTGAATGCTATGTTACACCCAAATAGCCATGCGCAGATCAGGCTCTTCTGGCGTCGGAACCACTTATATATCTATGGTCGGAACATCCTATCACTCCGGACGAAGGCATTAAGGCAACATTTTCGAACTTTTTTCGGGTTTAATAATAAAAGTAAAATTACTCGGTACAATAATTACGTGAAGTTCCACGAAGATACTGCATCCTCGGCCTTGTTTTACTACAACCTTTACTAATGTTGTACGTTCAACGTGTCCATTACAGAAATTTGAAGGTCGTGGAATCTCATTTATTTCATTATAATGATCGCATTTTTGTAATTATTTTCTGTTTTGTTATTAATTGCAAACTGGTTTACAATTCGACGCAAATGCTCGCTCATCGAGCCAATTCCCTCGATTCCGACCAACGTCAGTCGATAAAATGCATTTGTCTCGAATTCACGAGACGATAAAACCCAACTTTATCCCCTTGGTTGGAATTGCACCATGTCATTCTGTAAGCATGACCGTAGTACAGTATCAGCTGTTTATCAATCAGAACTAGATCGCTGATCATTCTTTGGATGACCTTCAAGGTTAAGATATTCATAAAAAATCAGCGGTAGTTTTTTTCTATACCGTGTCAACGTGTACACTGCAGCTGCATTGCATGTTGGAAAAGTGAGCCGAGATCACAGTCTCGAAAATCGCTTCACACGTTAATCTAAAGTGCCTGGTCTGAAAAACATACATCTACAGTAATATGATAGCTATAGTTTCATCAAATATTATTTTTCGAAGCGAATCGTCAGGAATTCGCCAAACATTAAAGTATTCCTGCGCGATATGGTCCATTGTAAAAAGTCAAAAATGGAAAATTTTGAAAGTGATGCAATTTCTCTGACCAAACTCGCTAATAAAGATTTCACAAAGGCTATATTCCTGCTAGGCAAACTCGTCAAAAAATCCTAGCATTCATTAACGTAGCAAAGATTAATTCCATTTATTGTATTTTGAGTGTATTAACATAAAAATATTTGTATAACAGAAGCAAAAATATGGGGCAGACTTTTTCAAAGGAAGTAGACCCGTGTCTCTTGCGGTAAGTTACAATGACCTTTCGCTTTTTGTACTTCCTGTGCTCCTGCACGTAGTTAAAAACAAAATTAACAAGAAAAATAGAACGGGTGCTTGAAGCCCTTCTGTAAACGTCACAGTAAAAAAGATGGGAGTGGTGACGTCATTTAGGACAAAGCGTTTGAACGGACTTATTCGTTAATTACTAAAAGCTATGTACGAAATTGACTGTTCTTTGTAAAATTTTATCATTACAAAAGAGAAGTTTCTCGTTCATTTGTTTTAAGTTATGCTATATCAATACTCGGACGCTATTCCATCGCACAAGTGTCATCACATCTTTAAAATACACACGATTGTTTTGACTGGCTCCAATATCTCATCATTGGTCCATCCTGAAAACTAACACTTTTAGGTCATCACTGCATGTATGTGTGTTTGGAAAAATATACAATCGTCTGTACGAAGAAATACGTTGACGTGGTATGAAGTTATAAACGAAAGTTCCCTATATCTTATGAAAGGATTGTTAGAAAGAATTTTTAATGATCTTTAGCAAAAAATATTCGAAAAATTTAAGGCGTATCTCCATCTTCTCTCACAGTTAGTTTTTGACAACTTCAGCGCACATCATGTAGAACGAATGATAAGCGCATTCGCCTCTTCTTGCCTCTCGTGATTGAAAAACTTACATTTACACTTGGCTCTGTTGCCCAAGCAAACGAACGAGCGCGACCTTGCTTCCGTAAATTTTCGCGTTACCGGAAAACTAACGCCTTTTTGAATTCTTTCTAAAAAATCATGTATTCAAAACCATATGTAGACAAACATGAAAGGCGTCTGTCAAAACGCCGGAAATGACGTACTAATGCTTCCGCCCTCTTCTAACATTAACCAGCTATAAATAAGAAAACATCAACGACTAGCATCCATTTTTAAAATACATCTTATGATTTATTCCCCATAGAGAAGCACAAACCAGTCAAAGAAATTTCATCAAAAAAGCGCAACGGACAACCAAGGTTCTGACGCACAGATTGCATATATAAAGGTACGTCCGAGGGTGTCGACCGGTCGATGTCTCGAGGAAGGGGCTGCCCAGCTGATTTTGCGATTCTATTTGAAATGAACCAGCGTCCTTTTGCAGAGTAGTCACCCCTCCCTGTGCTTGACTTGTGAGCAAATTAATTTTGCATGTCATCCGATGCGACCCGCTATAAAACGGACGATTTAATGACAATAGCGGTCATTCGGATTGGAGATAAAGAATAGATAGTTAGCTAACGTGGTCGAGGCTGTACAACAGCCTTTGCCTTGGAATAATTAAAGATGGCTGACGCGGTAAGTCTGTATCATGTTCGAAAAAAAAGACACCCTCGCATGAGTTTGCAGATTCTGCACTATTTATAATTGCGTAACCAACGAATAAAAAGTCCTAACTGCACTTTTAATTTGCATTTCAAATAAGACAGCACATTTATAAACAGATCTTTGTCAAGTGTTCACCAGACTGGTAATCGTAACGCGAAGTTGTTATTTTCGCTTAATATTTTAAATGTTTCACGTCTTTGTCACCACTGAGACTTAAAGTGTTAAAAGAAGGATCTGTGAGACGGGCTTCGCTCGTTTTACGTTAGGTAAACAGTATTGTTTCGCTGCATGTTCAGACATATAATATCTCTCAAGTTGAGGATTCCTGCCAAGGGTGGAGTTTCTATGATTGTATAGAGTACGCATCTCTCTGACTGGAATTGCTCGCTTATACCGTATTCAACGCTGTTTCTTTTTTACTTTCAAACAGGACAAAATGCCGTTGGACAACGATCCAACTGCAGCTGATGCCGAATGGAAGAAGATTCAACAAAGAACATTCACAAGATGGTGCAACGAGCATTTAAAAGTCGCCAACATTGTCATATACGATTTAGAAACGGATTTATGCGATGGTATCAAGCTAATTGTACTTCTGGAAGTGCTGTCACACAAGCGAGTGGGCAAGTACAACAAGAAGCCTAAAGTGAAGTCCCAGAAGCTTGAAAACGTTGCTATTGCATTGAAGTTCATCGAGAGCGAAAACATCAAAGTTGTGAACATTGGTAAGTGTACATTTGCATACGTACGTACAAGTCTGACGCGACAGTTAAGAAGCGTTTAATGCTATACTAAGTACGTTTCGTTTTCTGCAAAAATAGCTATGGTCGGCATATTACTTTGGTATTTCGTTGTCTCGTTCGATATTTGATATAGTGTTATTCAAAAGACAGTCATATGTCTGTCGTTAATTTTTCCCAAAGACATGACTTATGTACCGTTCATCCGCCCTTTCATACAAGTGCATTCTTGAATAGACGTCCTTTTCACTCATTTGTGACATTCTCGTGTGTTTTAGCGAGGTAAATTTGCGACAGAGTATAATGCTTATGCGGGGCGCCAATTGCCCTTAGATATAGTGATCCGAATGAAGTGATTAGCGATTGGGATCTGAATCGCCTACTAATATGTCCATGGAATGGCACTTCAATTTTTGAATATATTTTGTGTTTTCGTTTGTGAAGACCCTTTATGGAATTTTGCTAGAACGATCGCTTGTCGTCGGGGTCAATTAATATGATTTTATTCTTGTTTGGTTGATCTTTCGATTTTCTTGACCCGTGGGCGTATCGAATTCGGACATTTCTTAATTGTGGATATAAACTGTGAATCAAAGAAAATAGGAAATTCACGCCTTTAGAACAAAAAGTTTTGGTTAGCTTTTACTTGAATATTTGCATAGTTTGTTTTTGTTTTATTCGTCAAGTTCCTTGAACCCTGTGGTTTTATGTTAAGTAATCAAATACGAGTATTTCTCGAATTGCTGAAAATATGTTCGCTAGGCGGGTCACTCGACTCGAGCTGCGAGTGATTATTTAATGGATAGTAAAACAGCTGACTTTTTGAAATATTCGACGTGTACAATTTCTCTTCAATGCAAATATTTAAAGTGTTAAGCTAGTTTGACAGCAATATATAATTTGTAATAACCGTTTCATTAACCAAGTAAAATGGCCGACGAGTGCAATTGCTACAATATTCATAAATTGAAAAAGTATTCGATTTGTAAAACATTGCGTTGGCAATGGCTATGACAGAGTAAGGCTTTAAATAATTGCTTCTCTTGTAATTGCCTATCGCCAATTGTCATAACAAAACATACTTCGCTTGGACAATGCAAGCTAGTGTTTGGTATACAATATCAACACTGTTGTTGTCATTGCCATACGATTTTCTACATCAGTGATAAGGTAGAGCACAATTACTTTAGCACATTTGTTACAAGTTCGTATGGGGTTCAATTCAAATGTTGATTTAATTTATGGAGTGACAAATTTGCGTCATTCCAGTTCAATGTTTTCAAATTTGAAAATCCGAGGCATGGATGACTTTCCTCAAATAACAACAAGCTGCGATTGACGAGGTGTCGCGTTCCGATAATCTGCTTATTAAATGACAAAGTTAAAGCGATTGGATTGCCATATATAGTCAAACGTGCTTCAAAAAATGTCAACTATGTACTAATTTTTGCATAAAATTCAACAGTATTATTGTAATGTTTTTGTTTGAAAAAAGTTTAGTGCCTTTTGCGAATTGTGTTTTGTACTTAATGATTAAATCATAGACGTAGGTCAAAATTATCGGTATTGTACAAGTATTGATTTGATGACACGACGAAACGATGGTTTGCGCATGCTCATTAAGGCGTGGAATACACAGAATTTTCTAGAGCGAAGGCGAGTTATACGTTTGCAGTTTTATGCCATTTCATCAAAAATATTTTTATTTCCTCCTTATGTTCCGTTGTATTGTTTGGAAAGAAAAACAAACAGTTTTTGAAGTGGTCACATTGAATTATAAAATCATTTTTCTGCTTGTTTTGATTATGCCCTACGTAAAGATACCTGATATTGGTTTGTGAAAATGTAACTTGTTGACGTTCCTAATTCATATTCCATTTTCCTATCTGAGTTGATCGAAACCTGAAATTGCGTTGCATGATTGGTTAGCATTTGAAAGTGCCTGCATCGTTCAATAAGGTTTGTCTTGTGACAAACTTGACGTCTTTTGTCTGTCTTTAGACGACATAGTATTTCATATTATTTATCGTAACATATTGTTCACAAAATTCATTAGCAAAACGACGTACAATTTCACCGCAACTCGCCATAACGGCAAACATTGAGTGATAAACTCTGTTTGAAAACAGAAATCATGTTTCAGTTTTTTCACAATTTTTTCTCTTTTTCTTTATATTAACTGTGCACAACGGGTGGCTGAGGTGTATTTATAGCATTCTTTTGCAATAGGCAACACCGACTTTTTTGTCGGTGTTGTTGGGGTATCCTCGCGAACAATAAACTCATGCTGTGACAAATTAAACATTGTTTTAAAAAACAGGAGCAGTTTTGTTTTATTAAAGCATTTTACTCGTCTCACTGTCCATCCCCGTTTTTTTATTCAACAGTCAATTTTTTCATCTGTCACACTATGCAAAGAAAAACATTTCGCCAATGAACACATTGTTGTTATAAATTACACCATCGTTGTTATAAATTGCATTTTTTTTTTCTTCTGCTGATTCGTAATCATTGTGACACACGCGTACGTATTTTTTTTATTCAATAGTCAATTTTTTCAACTGTCACACAATGCAAAAAAACATTTCGCTAATAAACACATTTTTGTTATAAATTACACCATCGTTGTTATAAATTGCAAATGTTTTTTCTTCTGCCGATTTGTAATCATTGTGACACGGGGATCGTGATCAAAACACTCTAATTTATCTAAATAGATGCAAGCGACATTGTAAAAGGTAATCTCAAACTAATTCTTGGTCTGATATGGACGTTGATTCTGAAGTATCAAATCTCAATGCCGATGGGTGATTACGAGCTCGATGATGACCACAAGGACGATAAAAAGAAAGACAGTGGTATGACGCCGAAACAGGCCCTGCTCGCTTGGGTGAAAAGCAAACTCCCCCCTGAAATTCCAATGAATAATTTTACGACCGATTGGAATGATGGACGTGCTATTGCAGCACTGGTTGATGCTATTGAACCAGGCCTATACCCAGACGTGGATCCCGAAGACTTGGACCCCAATGATGCCTTAAACAATGCTAAAACAGCGATGGATACGGCTGAGAAATATCTTGGTGTACCACCAGTAAGTATAAGTATATTAGGTGATGAAATCTTCTTAAACATCTATTTAATTTTGAAAATTAATAGTAAGATGGAGGAAACGACCAGTGAAAAAATTGATAATTCATGATCATCCAAGATGGCGGCTTCCAATTTACCCGTGATTCCTTTCGTTTATAAACAGCGCTATTGAATGATACGTTGGAAGGTGTAGAAATTGACCGTACAAATTTCTTATAAATATTTTGAAAAGTATTAGGTCAAATTTGTGAAAGAAGTAGCATCCTTTACGCTAGTTGAATTTTTTTTAAATTTTATCATGCTTTGACTGGCGTCAGCATATTCATTTCTGTTTTATAAATCATTTTCAATCTCAGATCGATTGAAAACTTGTAAATGTTTATGCAATTTATGAATTACTTCTATCCAAAATTTCAACAAATCCACGATACAACAAAGATGAAACCTTTGAGTTATCTCTTTCTGGATACAGCACTTTGTATGATAACTGTTAGGTAAACGCAATGAAAGGGACAGGTTTGTCTACAGGAATTTAGAAACGATTTAACGAATTCATGGACTCGAGGGAGGAGTACTTCGTTCAACCCTAGGTCATAAAAACATGGCGGCTGTGTACAGTCAACTAAACATAAACCATTGTTTAAATCTGGTATGATATGCACGACTTTTTAATCGAGTATGAAATGCCGTTGCTTCTCCTCCAGATTTTAGATCCAAAGGACATGTGTAATCCCAAGTGCGATGAGTTAAGCATTATGACGTACGTTTCCTATTTCCCGGATGCCAAAGTCAAACCTAACGCGCCACACAGGCCTCAACTTCCGCCTGCTGCAAAATGCTCTGCCGAGGGACCAGGTATCACACCTCAAGGTCTGATTGAAAAGCAAACTGCACCGTTCACCGTGTTCGCTGCACATGCAGGAGTGGGATCCCCACAGGTTAGCGTTGTCGGACCAGAACGTAGAAGTGTTCCCTGTGAAGTGGTTGATAACGGCGACAAGACATTTTCCTGCAACTATACTCCGCCGCAAAAAGGTTGGTTTCTACATGCGTGAAATAAGTTACTTTTTGCTTGTTTGCACAGGCATTGGGAACCATTGAACTGAAATACATGGAACGCTACCTGTAATACAAAACCTTAATAATTTTTTGAAGCCGTGATTTTACCCCAGACACGCGAAATTTTACCTCAGACACGCGTGTGTAGCAATGAATTATTACCCCGCGAGAGAATCTCGAAACACTACACTGTCTGAGGTAAAATCTCGCGTGTCTGAGATAGGACTTGGCTTCAATTAATTGCTTCAGGTAGCGTTCCATGTATTTTGGTTCAATGTTTGGAGCTGAAGAAAAAGTTTTGACTTTGTAAGAGCGCCAGAGTTTACAGTGAAGCATATGCAAAAATAAGAAAGCATCACTTCATGATCATATGATCATCTGTGACCATATATCGCATTTTCATATCTTTCGTTTAGGTATCTACGACGTTCACATCAAATGGAAGGGTCGTCACATTCCCAAAAGTCCATTTCGCGTTAAGGTGGCGTCTGATCTTGACTCGAGTAAATGTTATGCCGAAGGACCCGGTTTGAGTTCGGGAATTGTTGAGCATCAATGGACAAACTTCACCGTCTTTACGAAAGGTTTGTGCAATTTTGGTATGAGAGCTGCTAATGGTGTGAACTTAGACTTCAAATAATAGATGTGCTTTCTCACGATGTCACATGAAATGGCACTTTAGATGAAAATTGTCTACATCATTTCATTCGCATAGTTTTGTATCAATCAGTATTTTTCTTTATCACCAAGGTGCCCCATTGTTTTTCGCTTAACATCTTTGAATTTAGTACCGCGTAGTTTTTCTCCTATCTTTCATTCGGGCCTTCCAACTCTATATATCGTGTCGTTGTTATAACTAGTGGCGGATTATCCAGTAGGCTAAGTAGGCTTACTGACCCCGGCTTGCGATAGGCCCGTTGTATCTAGACATAATTAGGATTTTGTTATTTCGGGCTAGCTAAATTTGCTTATCTTAGATCATTTATGCTCTATAAAACCTTTGGAGCAATTGAATGCAGGGGAAAATGGCCCTTTGTACTATCTACTTTTCAAATGTGCAATGCTCAGAACTTATGAAGTATTGGCTTTTCTTGTTTCCCTGACCATGTCAATGATATTCGAAACTTCATTTGAACTTTGAAATGAACTTTTCCCCATTTTCTACCCTATGGAGGTACAAACAGGAAATGCAAAAGCAAAGGAAAACTGAACTTAGTGAGAGGATTAGATATTGCTTAAAGGCCTACAACTTTGTCTAAGCTTACACGCCCAGTAGTAATACGCCAGTCGTTATAATTCAAGAATTTTTCTTGCAAAGGTGCTGGTGAGGGAAAACTTCATGTCGACATCATTGATCCTCACTTGAGCAAAGTTGAGATGAAAGTCGAAGAGAAAGGGGACGGGGAATACTACGTTATATATAAACCTTCTTTGCACGGTAAACACACGATCAATATTAAATTTGGCGGAGAGCATATTGCCAAGAGTCCGTTCCATGTTGATGTGGTGTCGTCGAAGAAAGATGCGATTCCCTCCAAAGTGAAGGCATATGGACCAGGTAGAGTTACAACCTTTGTTCTTTATGGTAAAACGACTAATATTTTTTTTCGGGGGGGGGGGACTGGGTGGGATGCCTCGTAATAATGATATGAAATATCTTTATTGTCAATATCGTGTTCAAGTTAACATGTTTCCAGACAATTCTTCTTTATGTTTCAAATGAACGGTTAGAACATTTAAAGTTTGTTTAAAACAGTGACACCGGTGATATGTTTAGAAGAATTTCTCGAACTTGCGTTATATGTTGCAATGATATAAAAAAGTGCGTTTTCTCGTTTTCTTGATATGAAAAAGTGTGCTTTCTTATTTGATCTTAGGTTTGGAACCAAAGGGTGTAGTTGCGACTACCGAAACTACTTTCACTGTTGAAACACACGGTGCCGGAGACGGTGATCTTAAAGTGGTGATTAAAGGACCAAAGGGAGAGATCCCTTGTGAGATTAGAGATAATGGCGATGGTACATTCACGTGTGTTTACAGTGCTCCAGCCGCTGGTAGATACACCATCACAATCACGTGGGCTGGAAAGACCATTCCCAGAAGTCCTTTCAAAATTGACGTGTCGCCATATGTCGACATCACCAAGATAAAAGCGTACGGACCTGGATTGGAGAGAGGTATGACTATCATATGTCCGGAGGTTTTTCGTCATATTTTTATACGTACAACAAGAATGCATACAAGCTCTTGCCGTTGGTATTGTAAAAAAGATATTGATGATCACGGCTCTGTGAAATAGTACAGACAAAAAATTTTATCTTTTTTTAAACATCAAAAAGATTTGACGTATTACGATTTGAACATATCGTACAATATTTTCATGTTCTTGTTTCCTACATCATCGCATCGATTTCAAAGCTCGTTTCTTTAGGCGTTGCTGGTCAACCATGCAAATTCACAGTTGAAACGAACGGTGCACCGGTCGACACTCTTGGCTTTAAAGTTGAGGGACCACATCAAACAGAGATAAAATGTAAAGACCTGGGCAACGGGAAATGCGAAGTTATTTATTATCCCTCAAAGCCTGGTGATTATACAGTCCACGTGACCTGCAATGGCCAGAATATCCCTAAAGGTCCTTTCGAAGTTCCCATTGTCCCTGGTGGCGATGCCAGCAAGTGCTACGCTGAGGGTCCGGGATTGGAACCAAATGGTGTTGTTGCTGGTAGGAATTTTATTTTCTCTCCCCCACGTTTATACCTTAATAATAATATCAGGAGCTTGTAGACAAGTGAAGTAATGCTATTTGGTTTATAATGCGTATTCTTGGAATGCTTGTGTGGTCGCCCATATTGCTGTGACAGACGTGAATGTGTAAACAGAGCAATTGTTCATGTCTATATATATTGATTTTTTCAATGGCGTAGGTGTGCCCGCGGAATTTACCGTGTACACCAAAGGAGCTGGTGTCGGTGAAGTAGTGGTAACTGTTAAGGACGACAAGACCGGACGAAGTATTCCTGTTGAAACAAAAGACAATAAAGATGGCACGACAACTGTCGTTTACAACCCGGATAAACCCGGCAAATACACAATTACGGTGACGTTTAACGGCAAACCGATTCCCAAGAGTCCTTTCAAGGTCAACATATCTTTAAATAATCCAAACAAATGTAAAGCATACGGCCCGGGACTCGAGAAATCAACCGTTGGCGAACCTGCCAAGTTTACGATCGAAACAAAGGTGCTGGTGAAGGTGGACTGGGACTGACTATCGAGGGACCAACCGAGGCAAAGGTTGATTACAAGGATAACAATAATGGATCCTGTGATGTAACGTACTATCCCGAGACACCAGGAGATTATAACATCAACATTCTATTTGCCGACAAACATATACCTGGAAGTCCATTTAAGGCGAAATCGTCTAAACCACTTGATGCTTCCAAAGGTAGGAATTTGAAGTATTTAATAGCACAGAGATTTGAACTTACTTTGAGAGAGCGTGTATTTTATGCACTTGAAGTAAGACTTTCTCAAATACGTGCTTAGTAAGGTTTTTGAATAGCGGCCGCGACGGTTTCTAACTTTGAATTTTAAGACGTTGAAATCCGCAAAAGGTTTTTCAGTATGTTGTCAATCCACCAATTTGGCCGTTCAATTTTCGACTTTTTTTTATAAACATCCACGAATCTAAATTGGTGCTTAACGCAAAGAAGGACAGCACTAAAGCAAAAACTTGTATTAAAGGAATCTGCAGGATTTATGAAAGGGGGGAGGGGGCAAGTCACTTAAGACAAGCCGAGAAAAGCATCTTACATAGCTGTTAATTTGAAATTGTCGTGGTAAGAGGTGCTATTGCATTCTTTGCCCCCCCCCCCCCGCTGCGCCCCCGGATATCTCTCAACAGTGTGTTGATGCTTCATTAGTATTTTGCCCGTATGTTTGCAGTTGTGATCGGAGGACCAGGCCTGAAACCCGGTGTGAAGGCAGGTTTACCTGCAGACATCGACATCGACACAAGAGAGGCCGGCGATGCTCCTCTGGAAGTGGAAGTTTTGAATCCGCTGAACAAGAAAGTTAAAGTGGATGTTGACGAGGAGGAACCGGGAGTATTTGCAGCGACGTACTACCCGGACAAACCCGGAAAGTATACCGTGAACGTAAAATATGGCGGTAAGCACGTGCCTAAGAGTCCTGCAAAGATTGATGTGAAGCCTAAAGCAGATGCAAGCAAGTGCACTCTCAAAGGACCTGGTCTAGAATCTCCTTTGTTAATGAACCTACGAAATTCGACGTGGATTGCAAGCGTGCAGGTATGGAAATCGTTTTGAAACTTGGTCAAAGAATAATGATTATACAGAAGGTCACCCAGGTGTACAACACGTCCTCGTGTCGGCCATTATTCCAGCCAGATAATTAGAGTTTGTCACTTGTTTTCAACCATCAAAATTACATTACTTCATTATTGAATTATGAATTTGAGATTAAGAAATGACTTCAGATCATTGCAAAGGTTGGGAAAAGTAAAACCCTTATCAACTAGCTGGAATAATGGCGGCCGATATGTGCGACGCAACATCATAGATGTGTATAACAAACTAGAAAGCACATTGCATTATTACGCCCAATCAAAAGTTAAAGCCAAAGTAATCGGGTGCCCCTATTGTTGTCACCCGATTACCAGGTCCCACTCTAGGAGTGAAACCCAGCTTTGATATACGACAGAGCTTTGATGACGACGTATTTCTGTTATTTTGGAACTTAAAGCCATGTATAAACATAGCAGATTTTGTGGAAATAGGGTTATGATTAATATTATGATTACTTTTTCGTATCAAGTGGGACCTTCCAATATGGAGGCCCTGGCTTCACAGAAATAGCGGAGTGCGTTATCCAGTTTATTTTCATATCAGTGTCCGACATGCGCGAGGACAATAACATCAAAGGCTCCGACACGAGTGACCCTTCTGTATATTCTTATTCTAAGACTTCGTGTTGCTAGCCATAATAATTTGTGTGATGCAAAGGGACAAACGTTATACTTGGTGTAAGCTGCCCGTAGTTGCCATCAGACTTTTATGTAGTTCGAAGTAGTGAGCTATTTGTGAGTGTGAGTACCCCTTGAGTTACACGAAGTATTAATACAATCACACGAACCGCTAACTGTTTGCATGTCGCGTCAATATTTATGTATCTTATTCTTAACGATAATTTCCTCTCTTTTAAGGAGAGGGTAATCTTGTTCCAACAATCACAAGTCCTTCTGGTGAGAAGGTTAAACCTGAAGTGAAAGATAAGGGAAACGGCACGTATTCCGTTGAGTACACGCCCACGGAAGAAGGACCCCACACAATCGATGTAAAGTACGACGGGGATTCAATCCCCGGAACGCCGAAAAGGTAGATGTCTTACCTAAAACTGACTCCGGCAAAGTGAAAGCTTTTGGTCCCGGACTGGAAAATGTCCTAACTGGTGTGAAGGCTCCGTTTACTGTAGACACGCGTGAGGCTGGTAAGTTTTAGGCTACGGTTTTTTTACGAAGGTTTTACAAAAGTATAATGAAGGTTATCGATGAAACAAATTCAATAAGCTACAAATATAAAATATGTGTTGTAGACAGTTTACAACATTTAGGTCTGAGCATATTTTAATCAAGAACAGCATAAGTTTTGTATCACCTTCTTTATATATGACTGTGGTTTTCACGCTCCTAAGTCATAGTCGATTTTTGATTGAAGGAAATGCAGACATCATTTTTCATTGAATAAGACTTTAGATACGCTGTGAATTCCCTAATTTTGCTAAAGATACGTGAAACATGACCTTTTTCTCGTATAGGACCCGGTAACTTAAGTATTGCTGTAGAAGGACCCTCGGAGGCAAAAATCGTATGTAAAGATAACGGAGATGGGACATGTTCTGCTACGTACGTCCCAGAGGAGCCAGGAAACTACCAAGTTCACGTCAAATATTCTGATGAGGACGTGCCTGGCAGTCCATTTACAGTTAAAGCGACGAGACCAGTTGACGCCAGCAAAGTTAAATGCTATGGGCCTGGTGTCGAAAGAGCTCCTTTGTTTGAAACTGTGCCCACCAGCTTCACAGTGGATACTGCCAAAGCCGGTGATGCGCCATTGGATATTACCATAGAAACACCAGACAGACGAAAGATAAAACCAGATGAGATAAAGAAAATTGATGACGACAAGTTTGAGGTGAAATACACGCCGCCAAAAGAAGGTAGGGAGAAGTTGAATAGTAGCTGCCTGTGGCAAACTTGAATGTCGGAGAATGGTTTCCTGAATGTCTTAAATGGTTCTTGTCTTTTTAAGGTCGTTACGCAGTAGATGTGAAATATGGCGACAAGCCAGTTGCCAACAGTCCGTTCAGAGTTCGCGCTGGCCCACCTTACGATGCCAGCAAGGTTAAAGTCACCGGTCCAGCTGTAGAAAAGACTGGTATAGTTCCTGATGAAATAACCAAAGCCGTTGTTGACACTACTGAGGCCGGTTTGGGTGATCTCTCGGGTTCGTAAAGCTTTGTCTTATTGTACATTGTGTATTTGTGTTTAAGTCAAAAAAATTTTAATCATTATATGAACGAAATTGCTATTAATATCCACTGCGATCCTTTTTCACAACTAGCCTTGCTTGAGACACCGTCTGGTAAGAAGATTGAGCCCACAATCACACCGATCCCAGAAGAGCCGGGAAAATACGAAATTGCTTACGTGCCCGAGGAGACTGGTAACCACAAACTAAACGTAAAATATGGCAAAGATCACGTCAAGGATAGTCCTTTCCGGGTTAAAGTTGCCCCAACTGGTGACGCAAGTAAGGTGAAGGTTAGCGGTGATGGTCTGAAGAAACCTCCTGTTGGTCAATTGGTTGATATAATTTTTGATACTACTGAAGCAGGAAAAGGTTGGTTAGCTTAAAGTAACTTCAATGGTTCTTTCAAAAGTTTCTTTAAAGTCTGTAATTGCGATGTTTTGCGGTCGGTTATGGATTGTGTTTTCAAATTGAAACGTATTCAATTGCTCATAAACTTTCTTTGATTTCTTTTAATTACTTCGTGACAATTTTTCAGAAAATCATCAATCATGAAAATGGACGTTTTGATCCATTCTGTCTTTCACTTCACTTAGCTTTTGTATCGATTTTCCTAATCGCAGGTAAACCTCGATGCACCATCAAATCACCTTCCGGAAAAGATGTTCCCGTCAATATGATCGACAATGGCGATGGAACGTACACTGGTCAGTGGACACCAACGGAGGAAGGTGTGCACGATGTTGATGTGACGTTTGGTGGCGAACCCGTGAGAGGATCACCGTTTAAGGTCGAAGCTGTAAGACAACCTGTAATGGAAGATATCCAAGCTGTAAGTGCTAATGATGTCGAATCGGCTTTACCATCTGAGGAAGGTCCCGACAGGGTTATTGCATTTGGTAAAGGACTGGAGAAAGGTATTGTTCAGGAACCGTGTGAATTTACCGTCATCACAAAGGATGCCGGGCCGGGAGGTTTATCACTCGCAGTCGAAGGACCCAGCAAGGCTGAGATACATTGTGTGGATAATGGAGATGGATCCTGTTCTGTTTCATATTTACCTGAAAAACCAGGTATGTTTATTTCAGTTGTATAAATGTAAAATATAGGTTTCGCTATATACATTCCGTACGTCCTGTGTCCCAAGTGCAGGAGTCACCATTGCACTGTGGTGATAGCCGGGAGGGCACATTGTATGTACAGTTTGTATATATTTATATATTTATTTTACTAATGCAAATGATTTTACAATTTGTAAGCAAATGATTTCGAAATTTACAAATGTGTTTATCGTGGGTATAAATGGGTTTGCTGTCGATAAATTGCTAAAGTATTTCCATTCAGGTTTTATTATTTATAAATTGGTTTTACCATATATCAATAGTTTTGCTATACGTCGAACATAAATAAGCACTGCGATTTCATTCACTTACAACGGAAGAGACAGTTTCTTAAAAAAGAACATTTGCAACATCGATATTAACCTTCCAACTTTGAACTGCAGCAGTTTCATGTGGAATTAATTTGTCGTATCGATGTAATTACCAGGCGAATACAACGTTGTCGTCAAGTTTGCTGACAAGCATATTCCCGGAAGTCCATTTATTGCCGACATCTATCCGAAAGGAACCGATCTTCGCGATTTCAAACGAGATCGTCCCGTCGTCGGAAAACCGTGCGATGTGAAACTTGACATGCCAGATGTTGATGTCGAGCGAGATTTTGATGATCTCACAGGGACGCTTAAAAGACCAGGCAGCGATAGAGAGGAGCCAGTTGAGTTGACCAAAAACCCTGATGGTACCGTTGGTGTCACATTTACACCATACGAACCAGGTGTGTGTTCCTGAAGCACATTTTTTAATGCTGACTTCGTCCCTTTAATCAGCCAGAGCTGTGGTGTAGATGTATACCATAATTGTGGTGTAGATCCCAGTTAAGATCCATCTGTATTGACTTTAATTTCATTAATTAATACGCAGTGGAGAAAATATGCCTAACGTCGAAATTCTTGTTTTGTAGGTGAACATATGATTAGCATAAAGAAACGTGGCAAACACGTGCAGAATAGTCCGTTCAGCGTGCTGGTTCAAGCACCTCGTCTGGGCGATCTGTTTTCCTCAGGTCATCCTGCGGATGTTGACCTTAGTGAAATCAAGGATTTGAATCCTGAAGACTTTGATAAACTTACCGCAACTCTTCGCAGACCCAAAAGCAAAGTCGAAGAGAATGTTCGTCTAATAAAGTATCACGACGATGCCATTGGCGTGTCGTTCGTGCCACGTGAGCCAGGAGAACACTTCCTGACTGTGAAGAAAAATGGTCGTCCTATCCCTGGAAGTCCATTCTCGATCCTAGTTGAAGCCGAGGAACCCGTCAATGCAGTTGGTGCACCCGTTGATGCAGTCCTTGATCTACCCGATTTGAATCTACCTGATGATTTTAAAAGACTTAAAGGTATTTTGCATTCGTAGTATGTTCGGTGTACGAATTTCTTCAAAAGAATTTCCCTGGGATACCGAAAACCTAATAAGCTAAGAAAACAGAGAACTTAAGTACCTTAAGAAAAAGAGGAAGTGAATATCTTTGGAAAGAGAGAACATGAATATCTTAGGAAAGAGAGAACACAAATACCTCAGGAAAGAGAGAACATGAATATCTTAGGAAAGATAAAACATGAATATCTTTGGAAAGAGAAAATATGAATATCTTAGAAAATAGAAAACACAAATATTTCAGGAAAGAGAAAACACGAACACCTTAAGCACTTCAAAATAGAAAACATAACTATTTGTTCATAACTGTGTAGCATCACAGCAGAGCTACATTCAATGATATTTTGCAATTCCTTTTCAGGCACTCTAAAAAGACCATCTTCAAATGAAGAAGAACCTTTGAATCTCGTCCTCAACTCTGACAACACTCTTTCGGTCTCCTTCATTCCTCATGAAACCGGCAAACATTTGGTTGGCGTGAAAAAGTTCAACCGTCACGTGAACGGAAGTCCGATACCAGTCATGGTGACATCACCGGAACCTGTGAACCGTGTCGAAGTACCTTGTGGTGTCGGACTGGAAGACATTCCTTGTGAGGAACTTCCGAACTTGGAGGCAGGTCTTCAACGACCTGGTTCTAATGTTGAGGAACCAGTTCGAATAAAGAAGAACTCAGACGACACCCTGTCTGCTTCATTTGTTCCACATGAGAAAGGTCCTCATAAGCTACATGTTCGGAAAGACAAGAAACCGTTGCCCGAGAGCCCGTACATTGTGGACGTGTCCGATAAAGATGATGTTGAGGAAGTTTATCCAGTAGGACGAACTTGCGATCTCGGTCTCGACATCCCCGGAGTTTCCCTCCCGGAAGATTTCAACAAACTTGAGGCGACTCTCCAAAGACCGAACAGCGATAAGCAAGAGCCTTTGAATGTTGAGCTGTACCCTGATAATACTTTAGGTTTGCGAAGGATTACACAAAAATTTATTGTATTTCATTAAGATGGATAGAAGTGTAGTTTCTTATGTAACATACAAATAGGTTAACAATGGATACCATTGATCACAATGCTCACTGTTATTTTCTTCAGGTATCTCGTTCGTACCCTTGGAGCCTGGTGAGCACCTTGTCCGTGTGAAAAAAGTCCGGGGAAGAAGTTCCCGGTAGTCCTTTTTGCCATTATGGTGGAAGCTGCTGAAGCGCCAAACGCAGTTGGTAAACCTTGTGATAGCAAATTAGATATTCCTGAGCTGAAAACCCCGGATGATCTACCAAAAGTAAAGTCAACATTAAAGAGGCCTGGATCCAATGTTGAAGAACCAATCAAATTGAAGGTCTTATCGGACAACACTATCAGTGCTTCTTTCGTTCCTAAATCTCCCGGAGAGCATCTGATCTCAGTCAAGAAAGATAACCGCCACCTGACCGGAAGTCCTTTCCCAATTATGGTTACTGCTGATGAGCCCGTGAACAGAGTTGGAAAGCCAGTTGGAGTAGGTCTCGAAGAGATACCAGCTGAAGATTTGCCCCGTCTTGAGGCCGGGTTACAAAGACCTGGCTCCGAGGTCGAGGAGCCTGTCAGAATAAAACAAAATTCGGACGATACGTTGTCGGCTCAGTTCATCCCCCACGAGGAAGGAGTTCATAAACTTCATATAAGAAAAGACAAAAAGCCGCTTCCCGAAAGTCCTTATTTGATCAACGTTCTAGGAAAGGATGCAGTTGAAGAGGTGAGTGATTGGGGTGTTTAATTATATCAGAAGCGTCACTTCCGGAAAAATGGCGTGCTTTTGATTGGCTCAGAAACATTTTTGCCGGTCCATTACTTTCCCAGCGGTCTAATACACGTAATTCTACAATTAAATGTAAACAAACTTCGTAAATTAAACAGCGAAGGAAAAAACTCGGAAAGTGAGTTTTTACTATCCAGACGACACCATTCCAAACGATTTATTTTTTACTGACAAAAACTAGAGAAATAAAAGCCAACGTATACAAAATTGCCAGAGCAAGCAAGGAAAGAAAGCTTTGTTTCAGGTGAAATAATGCCATCTAATAAACCTTTTATTAACCTCGCTTTCTCGGTCTTCAACGTGAAATATAGGACTTTTTTCTTTTTTTGCACAAATATCGCGCTACGGGCTCGGTCTATACAAAAAAAAACTTCGGTGCGATATTTCTCCGTAAAAACCTCGCGCTCTGTAAATAATTGCTTGTTCATCTTCTAATTATTGCAGACGTAACACCTGCAGCTTTTAACGTAAACTGCTATGTACGTGCATTCAATTGAGCAAACATATGTCTTCTAGGTCCATCCCGTGGGTCGTACGTGTGATGTAGGTCTAGATGTTCCAAGTATCAATCCTGCAGAAGATTTCGACAAGTTAACTGCAACATTACAAAGACCGTCGAGCACCAAGGAAGAACCCGTCACTTTAGAATTGAATCCCGACAACTCCATGGGTACGTTGCATTATTGTTTCTTACGTTTATGTCATTGGTCGTGTTTGTTTCTGTGGCAAGTACACCGTCTCCTCTTTAGCCCACTTCTCGGTTACAACTTTCAGGGTTTCCTGTTTTCAAGATGTACACCATTGATCATTTAAGTCGTTTCGTATAGTTTTTGTTTCATTCAAACAATTTCAGCACCGTTCAAATATTTATGTCATGCAAATAGCATCCTCAGCGATACGCGTACATCTGTGTTGAATTATGCATACATGAATAATTATATCTTATTTGTCTTGATTAAACTTGTGATACATCCTTCACTCATTGATCAACTCACGTCAAATCTACTTAAACTGCGTCTTTTTCCTCTTCAAACTTTCCTCGTCCATTCACTCATCTTTCTCTTGACTAATAACGGCCCTGCGCAATCGATTTGACGATGATCCCCCAACGATGATTTTACTAACAATTTGTCAACAAACCATAAGCTAGCATTTATTTTTGTGATTCTCAATCAAGTTTCGTCGGTCTTCGCGGGTTTGTATTTGATTTATGATCTACTAACATGTAATTTTGCTGTGATTGGATATTATAAGTGGCAATTGTAACAAATTGTCAATAATCTTTGCTACTAACCGCTTCTGCAACGCATTACGTTTTAGTTTAATATGTGAAATAGTTCAGCCATAACTGATTGTAAATTTACTAACATGTTGTACATTGTAGTTAGACTGATCTAACTTGTAACCAACCAATTGTAACCAATAACGTTAAGTAACATTCGTGTGGTATATGTAATTTATGCAAATCATGTGAAATCAACTAATCCATCCCGAAATGATCAACCTTTTGGATCTACTTATCCTACTCAATCAATCGATGGATTCATTCGTCATCCATCGTCATTCGTGAAAAAAGGTTTGCATCATCACCATAACCCTATTTATCCTGACTTATCAACACATCAGGTGTGACGTTTGTTCCAAAGAGCCTGGTACTCACTGGTTGCACGTGCGCAAGTCGGGCAAGGAAATTCCCGAAAGTCCATTTCCTATCAAAGTTGAGCCAGCGAAACCAAAGGATGTGGTTGGTAGTCCATGTGATGTGCCAGTTGATGTTGAGAACGTGAAACCGGAAGATCTTCCAAAACTCACTGCCACGTTGAAGAGGCCTGGATCCAAGACCGAAGAGCCTGTCGAGCCCAAAATTACTTCGGATGGTAACCTAAGTGTGTCGTTCATTCCCAAGTCCCCAGGCGAACATTTGATCACGGTAAAGAAACGAAACAAATCCATACCAGGTAGTCCATTCTCAGTCATGGTGACAGCTTCTGAACCCGCATGCGACATCGGTAAACCATCCAGCGTTCCTCTCGAAAATGTACCATCTAAAGATCTACCTAAATTAGACGCTGGCTTACTACGGCCAGGCTCAAAAATCGAGGAACCAATCACAATCAAGAAGACATCGGATGACAATCTCTACGCTCCATTTATTCCTCATGAAGAAGGACCGCACCAAATAAACGTTCGCAAGAACGGAAAACCCGTTCCTGACAGTCCCTATACTGTAGACGTTCCACCTAAAGATGAAAAAATCCCCGTGGATGAAGTATACCCGGTAGAAAGACCATGTGATGTTGCGTTGGACGTTCCAAGTGTTAACGTGCCGAAAGACTTCAAAAAGTTAACTGGAGCGTTACAAAGACCGAATAGCACAGTGAAGGAGCCTCTCAACTTGGAAATGAATCCAGACGATTCATTGGGTAAGATTTCGTTGCTAAAGACGAGTAAGTTATGCGAGTTTTTAAACTAAGCTAGATGTAAGTATGCACTGTAATTATATAACGACTTCGCTAACGTATGTTAGATAAATTATTTTCACCAGAAGGATAGATGTGACTTGTGCATGAGTTCGAGCACTCTAAATTTACATTTGCTTTGTTGTTTCCTCAAAGCGATGAGGGGTTTATTTCGTTTCAATTGCAGTTCATTTTGCACTAAATTAGCCAAGTGCATTAGTTTGCACATTGATGAGGTCATCTTAAATATAACACCGTAAATTGATATCTTGCTGTATATATTCTGAGGTCAGTCTTTTCTTGGCTGATAAACCATCCTCAGGTTCATAGAGTTTGCACTAAATAGATACACGTATAATTGAGAATTCTGCCCTGTATATTTCTAAGTGCACCATTGATATGCTTCGTTAAAAACTTTCTGTTATGCGACGTTCAAATTTTTCTGGGAGCTAACGGTATTGTTTCAAAGACATGATCTCGTCCACTGTATTTTTTCACCATTATAAATATCACAGCACCTTCCTCCGTAATGCTGCACACCTGCACCTTTTGAACTCTCAACTCACTGTAAATATCTACACACTCGCAATTGTCCATTGGTTGTACGTGTCTTCGTGTGCTGTTCACGTTTGACATCCCATTTAATCTCAACGTAATCGTTATAAACCTAGCATTTCTATTGTTAGGTGTCACATTCGTCCCGAAGGAACCGGGCGAGCATTTCATACACGTAAAGAAGTCTGGAAAAGATCTGCCAGAAAGTCCATTTTCCGTGATGGTTGAGCCTGAACAGCCTGAGTATGCGGCTGGTGCACCATGTGATGTGCCACTTGATGTAGGTGATCTCAAACCTGATGATCTACCGAAACTCACAGCCACGCTTAAAAGGCCTGGATCGAATACCGAAGAACCTGTAAAGCCTAAAATATTGTCGGATGGTAACCTTAGTGTATCATTTGTTCCCAAGTCTCCTGGTGAACATTTAATCACAGTCAAGAAACGTAACCGTCCCGTACCAGGTAGTCCGTTCTCCGTCATGGTAACAGCACCTGAACCAGTCTGTGAAATTGGTAAACCATCTAATGCTCCATTAGAAAACATCCCATCCAAAGATCTTCCAAAACTGGACGCTGGTCTATTGCGACCTGGCTCCACAAAGGAGGAACCAGTTCCGGTTAAAAAGACCTCCGATGATAATCTTTATGTTCCATTTATTCCTCACGAAGCTGGACCTCATAAAATCAATGTAAGAAAGGACGGTAAACCAGTCCCTGATAGTCCATTCATGGTGGACGTCCCTCCAGTTAAGTCTGAAGAAATTCCTGTTGAAGAGGTGTATCCCCTAAATACACCGTGTGATCTAGGCATGGACATTCCTAGCGTTAAACAGCCTGAAGACTTTAAGAAACTAACTGGAACGCTACAAAGACCTGGTAGTAAGAAAGAGGAACCAGTTGAACTAGTCCTAAATCCTGACAGCACCATAGGTAAGATTATTTCGAACATTGCTTTACGGAAATTTGATCCGAAATCTTGTTTGATATTTTGAAAGGGGGGCTTTAGAAAATTAGCAAAGCCAGCCTGAAGTTGTTAGTATTGCTATATAGAAGGAGAGTCATTGCATACCTCCGTAGCAAATGAATTTCTGCTGCTTTTCGTGTAGCATGAACACATTATTCACAATGTTAGCAAAGGTTTTGGCGGCTTCAGAATGTCTGTCAATAAATGAATTGTTTAGCAAAAAACTTTATAAGAAAGAATGTGTTTGGGGCAAATACCAACAAACTTTGATATACATAAAGTGCTTTTGAAACGAAAATTTTGCGAACTGAGTAATACTTTTATTGAAGAGGTATTTCAATATGACAATGGACTTTCTAAGCCAGTTTACGCATATCACTTTTAATTCTTGAGATAATGAGGTTCTTGCTTTGTCCGATTTATCGAACTTGTGACGTCACATTGCATAACGAGAACTAAAATTATTAGGTATATTTACTGATACTTCACAAGGACAGAGTTCCCTTCATTGTAACGTGTTAATGGTAAAAGATGTTGCCTACTGGTATCAACCTAAAGTTGTCAGGAAACTGAAGAGTATTTGAAACATTGTGCGAGCTCATTATGCAATATAACGAAACAAGTTGTATAATTTGGAAAAAACAAAACTTCAAAATCACGAGAATAAAAAGAGATGTGCATTTACTGTTTTAGAAAGTACACTGTCATTTCAAAAATTCTGGTCATTGCAAGCATAATTTAATATACAAAATTTTCGTTTCGTAGGCACTTTAATGACACTCTCGACCTTGTCTTAATTGTTTATTGCTTTCCTTATTTTAGGTGTGACATTTGTTCCTAAATCACCTGGAGAACACTTGATTCGCATTAAGAAGTCTGGTAAAGAGATTCCTGAAAGTCCTATATCTGTGATGATTGAACCTGTTGAACCTGAGAAAGCCGTTGGTGCTCCATGTGATGTACCCTTAGATGTTGATGGATTAAATCTTCCTGAAGATTTACCAAAGTTGACTGCAACTCTAAAGAGACCTGGATCCAATGTTGAGGAGCCTGTCGAACCTAAAGCAACGTCAGATGGCAACCTTAGTGTTTCATTTGTTCCCAAGTCTCCTGGTGAACATTTAATCACGGTCAAGAAACGTAATCGTCCCGTAACAGGTAGTCCATTCTCCGTCATGGTAACAGCGCCAGAGCCAGCATGCGAAATTGGAAAACCATCTAATGCTCCTCTAGAAAATATCCCATCCAAAGATCTTCCAAAACTGGACGCTGGTCTATTGCGACCTGGCTCCACGAAGGAGGAACCAGTTCCGGTTAAAAAGACCTCCGATGATAATCTTTATGTTCCATTTATTCCTCACGAAGCTGGACCTCATAAAATCAATGTAAGAAAGGATGGTAAACCAGTCCCTGATAGTCCATTCATGGTAGACGTCCCTCCAGTTAAGTCTGAAGAAATTCCTGTTGAAGAGGTGTATCCGTTGAACACACCATGTGATCTTGGCATGGACATTCCTAGCGTTAAAGAGCCTGAAGACTTTAAGAAACTAACTGGAACGTTACAAAGACCTGGTAGTAAGAAAGAGGAACCAGTTGAACTAGTCCTAAATCCTGACAACACCATAGGTATGTTTATTATAATATTGCGTTACAGAAATTTGATCGTAAATCTTGTTTGATATTTTGAAATGTAGGTTTTAGACGATTTGGAAAACCAGCCAGCAGTTTTAGTCATGCTCTTTATGAGCAGTGTCGTTGTTTTCTTCCTAAGCAAGTGAATTTCGGCTTGTTTTTCTCTTAGCATGAGCACATTAGCATAATATTACCAGAAACTTGGGCTGGCTTTACACTTTTTATTGATCACATGTTTAGCAAATAATTCTATCAAAGAGAATATCTTTTGGCAAATACAAGAGAACTTTGATGTACTGTATAATGTTTTCAAACTTGCCTTAATGGTTTATTTTTCTTCTTTTCTCAGGTGTGACATTTGTTCCTAAATCACCTGGAGAACACTTGATTCGCATTAAGAAGTCTGGTAAAGAGATTCCTGAAAGTCCTATATCTGTGATGATTGAACCTGTTGAACCTGAGAAAGCAGTTGGTGCTCCGTGTGATGTACCCTTAGATGTTGATGGATTAAATCTTCCTGAAGATTTACCGAAGTTAACTGCAACTCTAAAGAGACCTGGATCCAATGTTGAGGAGCCTGTCGAGCCTAAAGCAACGTCAGATGGCAACCTTAGTGTTTCATTTGTTCCCAAGTCTCCTGGTGAACATTTAATCACGGTCAAGAAGCGTAACCGTCCCGTACCAGGTAGTCCGTTCTCCGTCATGGTAACAGCACCTGAACCCCCTTGTGAAATTGGCAAACCATCTAATGCTCCTCTAGAAAATATCCCATCCAAAGATCTTCCAAAACTGGACGCTGGTCTATTGCGACCTGGCTCCACAAAGGAGGAACCAGTTCCGGTTAAAAAGACCTCCGATGATAATCTTTATGTTCCATTTATTCCTCACGAAGCTGGACCTCATAAAATCAATGTAAGAAAGGATGGTAAACCAGTCCCTGATAGTCCATTCATGGTAGACGTCCCTCCAGTTAAGTCTGAAGAAATTCCTGTTGAAGAGGTGTATCCGTTGAACACACCATGTGATCTTGGCATGGACATTCCTAGCGTTAAAGAGCCTGAAGACTTTAAGAAACTAACTGGAACGCTACAAAGACCTGGTAGTAAGAGAGAGGAACCAGTTGAACTAGTCCTAAATCCCGACAGCACCATAGGTATGACAAATTTTTGCACTTGAATTAATTGAAAACCAATGTTCAGCCCTTCTAAAATTCAAAATAATCATTGCTGGAGTTTCAATCGAATATTTTTTCGTCTGTCTTTCTTAGGTGTGACATTTGTTCCTAAATCACCTGGAGAACACTTGATTCGCATTAAGAAGTCTGGTAAAGAGATTCCTGAAAGTCCTATATCTGTGATGATTGAACCTGTTGAACCTGAGAAAGCCGTTGGTGCTCCATGTGATGTACCCTTAGATGTTGATGGATTAAATCTTCCTGAAGATTTACCAAAGTTGACTGCAACTCTAAAGAGACCTGGATCCAATGTTGAGGAGCCTGTCGAACCTAAAGCAACGTCAGATGGCAACCTTAGTGTTTCATTTGTTCCCAAGTCTCCTGGTGAACATTTAATCACGGTCAAGAAACGTAACCGTCCCGTAACAGGTAGTCCATTCTCCGTCATGGTAACAGCGCCAGAGCCAGCATGCGAAATTGGAAAACCATCTAATGCTCCTCTAGAAAATATCCCATCCAAAGATCTTCCAAAACTGGACGCTGGTCTATTGCGACCTGGCTCCACGAAGGAGGAACCAGTTCCGGTTAAAAAGACCTCCGATGATAATCTTTATGTTCCATTTATTCCTCACGAAGCTGGACCTCATAAAATCAATGTAAGAAAGGATGGTAAACCAGTCCCTGATAGTCCATTCATGGTGGACGTCCCTCCAGTTAAGTCTGAAGAAATTCCTGTTGAAGAGGTGTATCCGTTGAACACACCATGTGATCTTGGCATGGACATTCCTAGCGTTAAAGAGCCTGAAGACTTTAAGAAACTAACTGGAACGCTACAAAGACCTGGTAGTAAGAAAGAGGAACCAGTTGAACTAGTCCTAAATCCTGACAACACCATAGGTATGTTTATTATAATATTGCGTTACAGAAATTTGATCGTAAATCTTGTTTGGTACTTTGAAATGTGGGTTTTAGACAATTTGGAAAACCAGCCAGCAGTTTTAGTCATGCTCTTTATGAGCATTGTCGTTGTTTTCTTCCTAAGCAAGTGAATTTCGGCTTGTTTTTCTCTTATGAAACATTTGCATAATATTACCAGGAACTTGGCCTGGCTTTACACTTTTTGTTGATAAAATGTTTAGTAAGCAACTCTATCAAAGAGAATATCTTTTGGCAAATACAAGCGAACTTTGATGTACTATATAATGTTTTCAACCTTGCCTTAATGGTTTATTTTTCTTCTTTTCTTAGGTGTGACATTTGTTCCTAAATCACCTGGAGAACACTTGATTCGCATTAAGAAGTCTGGTAAAGAGATTCCTGAAAGTCCTATATCTGTGATGATTGAACCTGTTGAACCTGAGAAAGCAGTTGGTGCTCCGTGTGATGTACCCTTAGATGTTGATGGATTAAATCTTCCTGAAGATTTACCGAAGTTAACTGCAACTCTAAAGAGACCTGGATCCAATGTTGAGGAGCCTGTCGAACCTAAAGCAACGTCAGATGGCAACCTTAATGTTTCATTTGTTCCCAAGTCTCCTGGTGAACATTTAATCACAGTCAAGAAACGTAACCGTCCCGTACCAGGTAGTCCATTCTCCGTCATGGTAACAGCACCTCAACCCCCTTGTGAAATTGGCAAACCATCTAATGCTCCTCTAGAAAATATCCCATCCAAAGATCTTCCAAAACTGGACGCTGGTCTATTGCGACCTGGCTCCACAAAGGAGGAACCAGTTCCGGTTAAAAAGACCTCCGATGATAATCTTTATGTTCCATTTATTCCTCACGAAGCTGGACCTCATAAAATCAATGTAAGAAAGGGCGGAAGGCCTGTTCCAGATAGTCCATACATTGTGGATGTACCTGAAAAGGTTTCGAAAAAGCCTCCAGTCGAAGAACTTCATCCTGTCGGTAAAGCATGTGATTTTGGTCTCGATATACCTGGAGTAAATATTCCTGGTGATTTCAAGAAACTAAGTGCGACATTGCAGCGTCCAAGCAGCAAGAAAGAAGAACCATTAAATCTGGAGCTTAATCCCGATAACACCTTGGGTAACATACTAGTTCGCTCTCCTACAATTTTCCTCAAATTTCTTCAAGTGATTTTGTCAACGTTATTTAACGGAAATAATCAAATGCAAATCCCAATGATCATCGTCAATGATTAATCGTCAATGTTTGCAAATATTTATCACATAATGAACTATCGAATCATCGAATCACTAACGCTTCTTCTTTGATTTATCGTGCCAATATTAACGTGTTCAGTTTGTTTTTAGCATGCTGTTTTCATTTTTATATTTGTCCAATAGGGATATCATTCGTTCCAACGGAGCCTGGAAAGCATCTTGTTCACGTGAAAAAATCGGGAGAGGAAGTTCCCGGCAGTCCTTTCGAAGTAATGGTAGAAGCTGCTGAAGCAGTGAACGCTGTCGGTAGACCGTGTGACTGCCATTTGGATATACCTGGTTTGAATTTGCCCGCAGATCTTAGTAAACTAAAATCAACCTTGAAACGGCCTGACTCTGATACAGAAGAGCCAATCAAATTAAAGGTACTCTCCGACAACACTCTTAGTGCGTCGTTTGTGCCCAGATCCCCAGGAGAGCATTTGATAAGCGTGAAGAAGTTCAACCGACACTTAAGCGGAAGTCCATTCAGGTGAGGGAAAATATTGATATTGTTAATAAAATTATCCTATTGTATTCTGAGAGTCAAACTACAATCGTAAATTTACTTAAAAATTTCCGAAAACTTTTGTCATATCGATTAATGAAAGCGTTTTCATTGGCAGATCACTTTTCATTTAATTATATATGCCGCTGAAGCTACTTTCTATTTTGTTCTAGTGTCATGGTAAGTGCCCCGGATGCTGCTAGCCAGTCTGTCGGTCGACCGTGTGGAGTTGGTCTAGAGATACCTGGTTTAAAACTTCCTGAAGACTTCGACCTTCTGACAGGTGTTTTGAAACGCCCCGGAAGCACTGTGGAAGAGCCGTTGAAGCTCATTCTCAACTCAGATAACACGCTCAGTGTATCGTTTATACCAAAAGAAACGGGGGAGCATTTTGTAAGCGTGTTTAAGAACAAACGTCACGTGAGTGGGAGCCCGTTTTCAGTGATGGTAAGCGGTCCCGGGCCCGCCAATGCATCTAAAGTAAAGGCCTACGGTCCAGGTTTGTATGTACGCTGCTTGAAACTTTTGCCTTTCAAAGGAAGTTTTCCAGATTTGTGTTAAACGTTTTCGACTGTTATTTCTTCATATTTTCTTTTATATTTTACATGTGCCTTGTAATTTTGTTTGCTGTTCAAATAACACCTAAACGAAATTATTTTACTCAAAAAGTTTTCATTTTGAATGTTTATTATGATATTGATATGCATTTTCTCGCAATTGATCCAACATGTAGCACTAACGACGACTTCTGTCACAGGTTTGAAATCCGGAGTGGTTGACGAGAAATCGGAATTCACCGTGAATACTCGTGATGCCGGATACGGAGGATTGGGCTTGTCCATCGAAGGACCTTCAAAGGCAAATATCAATTGCGTGGATAATGGGGATGGCACGTGTGCTGTGGACTTTGTTCCTACAGAGCCTGGTGATTACACCATTCACGTACGTTTTGCCGATGAAGAAATTCCCGGAAGCCCATTTTCGTGCAAGGTAGCTCCAAAGGGCAGCAAGCGTCCTGTTGTTGACGAAGGGATTACGAGGGAGATGGTTGATGGTGTGGAGAGTGCACCTGCGCAGAGAACCTCTCAGCTTCTGGATGATCTAATTTCCTTTAGTCCTCAAGAACCGCACGACTTTGATCTGGACCTTGCGGGTTACGATCTGAAAAACTTGAAAGCAACTGTGGAAACACCAAGTGGGAAAACTGAACCGGCCGAAATTGTCGAAACTGAAAACGATACTTACACCATTCGCTTTGTAACAAAAGAAGGTGGAATATACAAGGTTTGTGAAAAGATATTCTCTAGTTGTTTGTAAATTTATTGTAGTAAATAGTTTGTTACACTTGCAAAAATACTAGATGAAAAAATGTTTGTGCTCAAGTCAAGAGGAGACTTGCCATCGAAGCACATTTCATGCTCTTATGATCACTGTTCAATTTTCCTAGATCTATGTGAAGAATCGCGGTCGAGATATACCTGGAAGTCCTTTCCGAGTAAAGGTGGAAGCACCGAAATGGGGTGGCGCAAGTAAGTGCTCAGCTGCGGGGCCTGGTCTTGAACGTGGCGTTGTGAACCAACCGGCAAACTTCACCGTCTGGACACGTGACGCTGGCCCAGGAGGCCTGGCGGTTGCAATCGAAGGTCCAGCCAAAACGGAAATTAATTGTAAAGATAATGGAGACGGCTCGTGCAGCATCACTTACGTTCCAACTGAACCTGGCGAGTATGCCGTGCATGTCCGATTTGCTGACGAAAATATCCCGGGTGCACCGTTCAATGTCTTTGTAACAGCGGAAGAAGACGAGCGTTTCCGAGATTTGAGTGTTTCCGACATGTTGGAGAGTGGAATTATAGTTGGTCAACCTGCTTCTTTCTCTGTTCAAACAAACGGCCCAGTTGGTAAAGTCACCGCTTCTGTTATTGCACCTTCCGGTACCGAGTCCCCAGCGACCGTTTCAGATCGTGGTAATGGTAGCTACGCGATAAGATTTGTCCCCAAGGAGGTCGGCATTCATTTTATCAATGTTCGATTCGATGGTGTGCATATTCCCGGTTCTCCGTTCAAGGTTAAAGTTGGTGGAGGTGAAAGTTACCCCAGTAAGGTAAAGGCATACGGTCCCGGATTGGAAGGTGGTGTTGCCGGCGAAGAAACCTACTTCACTGTTGATGCTTTACGAGCTGGCACCGGAGCATTGTCGCTGTCGGTTGATGGACCTGCAAAGGTACGAATGAATTGTACGGAAAACCCCGATGGAACGTACAAAGTAACGTATCATCCAGTTATTGCCGGCGAGTATAAAATTGTCATCAAGTTCGCCGATCAAAACATCCCGAAGAGTCCTTACAATGTTACAATATCAAGCGACGGTTCCTCTGCATTTGCCGAAAAGTGTAAGCCGGTCGGATCCGGATTGCATCGTGCCGTTATCGGTGAGCCAAATGCGTTCACAGTCAACTGTAGTGATGCAGGTCGAGGGTCTTTGATGGTCGGCGTAGAGGGACCAGCTATTCCTGCTAAAGAAATCAAGATTAAGCACACTGGTGGAAAAGTTTATGCCGTTAACTATACCTTAGAGGAACCCGGAGAATATGTTTTGAAAGTGTTGTGGGGTGAAAAGCACATCCCTGGCTCGCCATTCCATGTAACTGTATAATGACGCGGTTGAGTAATTGTGTTTGGATCATGTCTTACATGAAGTGAATATGTAGTTTTTCATATAATTTTGCCAAATGTCAAATTTTGCAATGTCGACTGAATTATTTCTAATTCTACTCAATCATAAATACCATTTCAATACTAAATGAATTTTGGAGTGACGATTGGAGTGTAGGTACTATTATAGTTTTGTATTTTCTCTCTTGGCTAAGAGTTTTGGCTTTTTGATATAGGATGATTTTTTGTAATAATTAATAGGTGCGCAGGTCTTTAATAGATTAGCTAGTCCTTTGTTTTCTATAAAATTTGTATTGAAAGTGTTTTTTGAATAGCGAAAATATTAAAAGTAAAGTTTGTTTAATTTGTCGTTCCGTTTCTAGTCTCGTTTTCGATACAGTGTTTTCAATACTGTTTTTGAATCCTCAATTTACATGCAACGCAAGACGGAATACTGGATCTAGCTCAATTCGTTTGTTTTTTTGTTATTTTCATGTCGGCATCACAAGGCTGATGAAATACTTTTCCATACTGATTGCTTTGCAAGCAAAATAGCTTTCTTGTGGTTATTTCGATGTTTTGCTTTGCACTTGGTAATCTTTTCTATGTTACTCTGCGGGCACCAAAATACTCGTAATTTTATAAAATTTTCTCACGCTGCTTGGAAAGCATATCATATTTGCCATACTGCTAATGGTTCGAAAATACCAACAGGAGTTTAAAATCTTTCGTGACCCAGGTGCCTTGTTGATGAAAATTATACTCTTACAAAGTGACTACGAACAGCGTAACTGACAGCTCGTAATGCCACGTAACCAGTACAAATATAATAACGAAATTGGTTGGTTATTGGTATCCAATAGCGTGCACTAAATGATTCGTATCATTTTAAACATTTCCCACCAGCATGTGTGTTAATTACGTACAGTAATTACACACCTAGCCTAACGGTATTGACCATGATTAGTGGCAGTCGTACACGGTGTCATAAAAATACCCGTCTAGTGTCGCGTACATTAACCTCTAGTTGAGCATTTCATGTCCTCTCTCAGATAATCTGCTGGTGGTCGTGTGTCACATTAGCAAATTGCAGACAGCAACATAAATATATTAAGGTTTTGATAGCAATTAGGTTTTCAAGTCTTTATTCTTTGTTTTTGTAATTGAGTTTGAATTACCATAAATGCACGCTGTTTGGGTTTGAAAAACTGCGGGGTGTCTCGCCTAATTTATATTTTCTCTGAGTCAAGGGCAATTAACTGCGGTTCTCTTGTTCCTTTAGATAGGTCATACCAATAATAATTTGGAATTTTTACTCGTTCAAGAGAATACGACTTTGGTATTGTCGAAATTTCGAAATTCGAACCCGTTCTTCTTCGAGGCTTTTACGAATGGTGCTCGTGTAGTTTGTCGTCAAGAAGTATTCCTAAATATTCTCGAACAAGGTGAAAATAATTGTGAGTACGTATCTGAAATACTTCTTTTCTCTTATAATGTGCAATAATTACAATTGAAGAACGCATCATTTCGTTATGTAATACAACATCAACCTAGCTATATTCAAGCGTTTAATTGTAGCTAAAGCAGTTAGTGTGTACGATCGTTCGTCGTTTTTCAATTGGCCACTTCAATCACTTTATATATAGCTTGATGAAGTGATTGTAATGATGTCAACCTATTGCTCGCTCCTGACTTCGATGAAATCTAGCAATTTTGTCAAAATCTTTTACTATTGATACTTAGACACTCTAGAAAAAAACCTTGCAAGCATTATGAACTTGTACTTCAGATCATCCAGAAAAAAAGCCGTTTATCTATTCAACTGGCGTTCGTGGTTTTGATTTAGATTAAAGATCTTTTCAAATAACTAGGAATTTAAATGAAATTTATGAAATTTAATCAAAAAGAAACGTCGAAAGGTTTATAGGAGACAAATCTTGCATCCTCATTTTGCAGTTGTGAATGTATGTTTCTGTATGACGTTGATAAAGTTCTTAGATGACTCGTGCTTACACACCATTAATTTCAAGCATTTCCTATCAAAAGTGAGACTAGCGAGAGGGATGTTTACATTTCAGACTTCCAAATTCTATAACTCCTTTTGTATGTAGAAGAGAATCAAAAGAGATTCTAACCCAATATACAGTGCTGTACTGTTGCTATAGCTTCTACTTTTCAACTATTCGTGAAATCAGACTTTACAGCACTTAGTTCATTATATCAACCACCTAGATCATCGTTAGCTTGGTAAACACCGGCAGTTTTTCTAATCCGGTTTAACTAGCTATGATACATTTACTGAAAATTTTGCATCTTGAAGATAAAGTTTGCTGTGAAGTTTCACATACATGACGTGCTTCAAGGTATTTCGAACATGCTAATATTCTTTATGAGTTTTTTTATGAAATTTTGTCTTTGTTGCTTACGTTGTCTCTTTAAAGCTTTCGTTGAACTTGGCTTGTCTTAAGTGGCTAGCTTATATGTTATTGTAGTTAACGCTTGATATAAGTGACGCAGTTGGCAACTAAACGCTATACTTTGTCTCGCTTGTTTTTGTCCGAAACTCATAATATACAGTTTGTTTTGACATGTCTGCATGCTTAATCACAAAGAAAGTTTTCATGTGTTTTGACAAGAGTTTGCATTCAATATATAAGAGTTGATAGCTTGATTACATGTTAAAAATATGTTAACCTTTATTTCGTATCATGCCAAGAATACCAAACAAAATAGTTTTATTGACTACGATTAACAAATTTTATAGATAATTATTTAAAGTGATATGGCCTCCAGCATTTTAAACGATACGGGAGTCGAAGAACTTTTAAATTTCGATTAATTTCGATGGCGAAGGTCTAATCCGTTTGATAAATTGCTACCTCAGCTAGTTGACTCACACGTCTTAACAAAAAATCACCTTTGTCAGTTTTAAAAACATTGGACTAACGTACCGAGATAGAACGGTAAACAAAAACGCTTTTAACAACAGGTATTTTTGAAAATGCGTGACATCCCATCGAGTCTTTATAGCTACATAAGTGATATTGAAATTAAGCTCTGTAGAAAAATGGAGCGGAATATCGTGAAGAGCAATGTGTAGGCTACAAATCTAAATACGTGGGAAAGCTATGGACTATAATTTCCTGTGCATTATTGAACACAAGAACTTGCTAGGGATTGCTATGCTTTTTGAAATATTGTAAAATTACGTGTGCAAAAACCGCAAAATTAACTAATGAGCTGGAATAATTATTTTGTCTGATGTATCCGGTATGCTGGGATAACCTATTGAGGAAACCTATACCCAACGTGAAAACGCTTCTAGACATATTCGAACTCATTACTGATTTGCTTTTCTTGTGTAAAGTTATGCTACAACCTTAACTTAATTTGGACTTTTTCAGTTAGTAGCTACATCGATTTTTATGCAAAAAATCAAAAAGCAACAAAAAAAGAAGTCGAAAAAAGCAATGTTTCACTTTATGCCACTTTTTTTTTTGACGTACTCATCCAGGCTTTATGATCGATGTCGAAAGACTTTTTGAAGATGCTTGCTAGATTCTATTGCCATTTCTCAAATACTCCTTCTGTAACGCGACACGTCAACTATACGTGGCAAATGTATCATATTTGTTTGTTTGTCAATTATTGTCGTTTTTTGTGCGGTTTACCTCCCTTAATATTAATATATTATTATCTATTCCTCTACGAACAAGCGGTCCTCCTTGGGGTGATTTTCACCAATTATAACCGCTGTAAATTTTGATGAAAAGTTTGCCAGCGGCAATATCTGTTTAATTTTAGTAAGAGGACGGATGTATAATTTTGTAACGTTAGAAACGTGTTTATAAATGACCTAAATAGCTCGATGAACATTAGAAAGGACCGTGATGTTATTTTTTTTTATAGATACGATAGTCAGAAGACATAATGTTCGTTATACTTGTTGGTCTTATTTTGTGCACAACGTTTGTCACTTCAAACGGTGAGACAAAGATTTTTTTAAAGCAGGGCCACTTCTGACAGTTTGAATTTTTGCATGACGTATTTGTGACGCGTAGACATCGCTAGGGAATCCAGTTCGGACTAGAAACATGAAACAAGAGAGTGCGTGCTTGTGTGGTCTGCTGTTTATGGCTGTTTCTGTTTTGGTTTTTCAGCACTTTTGACATTATGTCGAACAATGTCGAATCAATAAATTTTTAATGTAATACATAAGTAAAAACACTCATATTCTAAATTACTCATTTTCCAATCAACTCTGCTAACATGCGATCGCTCACTCTGCATGAGATAAATGTGTGCCATATCGATTCAAAACTGCTTCATCTAAACATTCTAAATATTTTGAAAACTTCAATAACTACTATAATGCAGTGTACGCAACAGGTACTTATTAAAATGAGCGTGTTTTTTACACTTTATGTCCGGGTGAAGCAAAAATGTGTCCTTTTTAAACGAAAGTATGTGTCCTTTATAAAGAACTAAAATATATTCTGTCGTGATCACATTATAGCTTTTGATTTTGGACTAAAAAATCCTCCAATATGAACTGAAAATGAAGCGATTCCTAAAATCATCCCAATTTGATTGCTCACACAGAATGCTCGAAAGCAAAAAAAGTAGGAAGCATAATTGCGAATGAGCTGCGCAAGTTAGTGGTGTGACACTGGTGAGGCAAATGTAGAACAATATAAAGAAATCAACTGAAACTCGTTGGGAAAATATTAAGATCTTAATATGTGTCATTGTGTGTAAAAAAATATTATTAAAGTAGATCTGCAATTATTTACATGTCTTTTCAGAAAATTACGAGGGTCCATCGATCCTTTCAAATCCAGTAGACACCATAGCACAGCCAGGGATTGACATATCACTGTACTGCATCACACGTGGTCAACCCACACCCTCCGTGACCTGGGAGAAGGATGATGTTCCCTTAAAAGGCAATCATTTTGATGTATTGCAAAACGGTGGTCTTCGCCTGAAGAAAGTGGACGAATATCGTGATAGTGGAAATTACCGCTGCCGTTCGAGTAATCCAGTTGGAGTGATCAAAAGTCTTCCAGCCAGGCTCGACTTTCCTTGTAAGTTAGGCTATCTTAAAAATTGGCTTTAATACCTGCTATGCATGGGATGGAAAGTCAGAGTTCCTTTTACGTGCATATATTATCTTAACTTAGTTGTGATTGATCAATTTACCTCGTGTTTGAAGCTATGATCTCATAGACTCACAGAAGATTAAGTGATTAATGTCCGCGTTTTCATTTTGTTTTTCTTTTGATCTTTTCATGTACATCTATTGTTTTATGTATATCTTGCTTTAACGTCGCATTCTCAGTCGTGACGATTAACGTTATCGTCAATCAGTCTTTTTTCACAAACCTCATCGTATAAAAACATTGTGTCAGCATCCTATATTTATTGGCAAAACGGATAATATAGGAAGATACTACATTTGTGTTCAAATCGACATGTAAGATGAAGTAATATCCTTCATTTATACCTACTCCAAACGTGCTTAAAATGACACATGAGCCATCAATATACACAAACAATTGCGGTAATTTCTCTCTCGTTGCTATGCAGCTAATTGTTTCGTACTGTTGTCTCATTCACTCAGTTCTAGATAAATTTTCCCAACCGTTTCAAAAAGTAAAGGCGAACAACGCCGATGCTGTAATTCTACGATGTCAAATTCCTAACATGAAACCGCGGAATTTGCGAACTGTTCGTTGGTCAAAGAAAGATTTTCAGTATACCGACCTACTCCCTCCTCTGGAAGATGCACCCCACTACACGGTGGGTTACAACGGCGATCTCTATTTCTCTTACGTCACAACAGCCGACTCGGGAAGTTACGTGTGCGTAGTTGGGAACACAATGCTTGGTCGCACAGAGAAAAGAACTTTAAAGCTTGCTGTTGCAGTTCCGATAGGTGATCGACTAATTAAATTTAAATGACTAGCATCCATGCTGTTGATTGCGTCGCAGAGCGTTTTCGCATGACGTTGTTACCGCCATGTTGGTTTGCCAATTGAAAAGAATTTTAATGAAGTTCTTTCGTTTGGAATACCAATGTTGCTGCTTTATCCATCGTCTTGCTGATCTCTGGAGAATGATTGAAAACGATTTGTCAGATGCAAATTACACTTAAGCATACACGTTTTGACTATTGCTTACAGTATAAAATTAACTTTTTTCTGACACATCATGACGTAGTTCACTTTATGATACACCATAGAAAACGCATTCCTTCAATTGATTCCAACACCAAAAAATGCGGCTAACTGTTAAACAAAACTATATTTCCAGTGTAAGCATATAAACTTTAAACCGAAAATGGTTGAGGTCAACTTATGTTGATTTTATTTTTTCTGTACAGAACAAAGATACGAAGTGAAAGAACCAGGTATCTTCAGTGACTTTAAAGAACCAAAATACGCCATTAAAGGGAAAACATTTGTCTTGGAATGCATTGCACATGGCAGGTTGGTTTATTTATAAAGATACATTCGGGAAATTTATCGAAAAAAGCTGTCAAAACCCGTTCATCAGTAATGCAAATCTTGAGCTCATTGTATGTAGCCAAATGAATCTTGCATTGAAAATAAAATGGATAAACTATATTTTGTTAGACCTGTTCCTCTCGTCTCTTTGACGCGTTTGGGCCAAAAGGAAGAGCTGGGGAAAACGTCGTCGAACAAGAGGCAATATGTCATTTACAATTTTGACGCAAAGAATGCTGGGACGTATGTTTGCAGAGCGAGAAATAGTTACGGTGACTGGTACGAGGCAACCACTACAGTCACAATGCTAGGTAAGAGTTGACGACTAACATGAATTTTCCTCTGAGCGATCCATGGATGCCCAAGAAAAAATAAAATTATCTTGTGCAAATGAATGCACCACCGACAATAAGCCCGGAAAGGCAACCTGGTTAAACTAGGAACCTGTTGTCAGAAATTTTACAGATCTTTCACATAAAAACTGCTCTTCGAATGACATGAGAAGGTGTAATGTTTACTTACATGAAAGACGTTCCAAAAGTGTTATCAATAGCGGATTCAGCGCTCGTCAAAATAAATTGCAGCTGCTCAATTTTAAATTCTTTCACGAAATTACTATTGGTTTTGCATTTCTAAAGAATATAATTTTATCGATGACTTGTCTCTAATGAGGCCTAAAAATGTAAATGTATTCCAAAATGTGCTGCAGTAATTTATTTTGACGCACCCTAGATCCGCTACTGGGAGGGGGGGGGTGTTAGGATGACTCCGAAAAGTTATCTTAACATAGTCGTTGAGACTATTTTTGTTAATGTTTCTTTATATGGTTGCTTTAACGTGATTGGTTACCGTCCATCAATTTTTAGAATAATATCATAGATCAATGTAAATGATTTACAAAGCAATGAAACCAGACCTTGCATCAAGCTTTCTACTGCCGCATAGAAATTCATTTCTTATCGATTTTTTAAGGAAAGATCCATTGGTAATAAATTCGTTTCATTTAAACTTGAATAGTCTACAAACAGTAGAAATTCAGTAAATTAAATTTTAGTAGATTTCCTCCTGTAATGCAGCTTGAAAATTTATTTCAAACGCAGTGCAATTAGGAAAATCGTACAAAATATTGAAAACAAAAGGCTTAGACATTGGTCAAAATTAGCCATCCGCCTTTCTTAATATTTCCAAACCGTACACAATGCAACTAAAAATACATTTGTTTCGGACAAGGATGTTCTTCTGTAATGCTGTTCTATATTCAACAGAGGAAACTCAGTGGATTAAACGACCTACAGACGCTTCAGTTGACGTAAATTCCAGCTTGACATTGCAATGCGAGGCTAAAGGTGTACCTCCCATCACTTACGCATGGTTCTACAACGGAATAAGAATGATGTCATCGGGTAACAAGATGAATTGCGTCATAAATGAGGGATCGCTGTGGTTTCCCAGCGTGCAAGTTGGCTACAGTGGGATGTACCAATGTGAGGCGTCAGACAGCGTAAAAAGGTTAATGACGTCTATGAGACTTTCTGTGAAAGGTAAACGTTATGAGGACAAAATTTATTTTTGGATGATTTCTCGTCGGCAGCAACCGAAAACAAACATCTACGGGAAACACAGTTTAGAACAATAACAAATAAAGTTACAGCTGTTGAACGCTTTCCCTGTGTCCCCATAGATCTCTATACATCCTGTGAACAGTGGCAGATTACTAATTACGAGGCCTGTAGGCTAAGACAAAGTTAAGGGTCTTTATGCTATATCTATTCCTTCTACTAAGTTCAGTTTTCCTTTGCTTTTCCATCTCCTGTTTGTAACTCCATAGGGTAGAAAATAGGAAAAGTTTCAAAACGAAATTTTGAAAATCATTGACATGGTCAGGGAAATAGTAAAAGCCAATACTTCATGAGTTCTGAGTATTGCGCATTTGAACAGTAGACAGTACTAAGGCCATTTTCCCTCTGCATTCAATAACTCGTTTAGGTTTTCATTAGCATAAATGATCTAAATTAAGCTCGTTCAGCCAGCCCAGAATAGCAATAACGTCTAAATCATAATAATGTCTAGATACAACGGGCCTCTCAAAAGCCCAGGCCTGTAGGCTTAAGCCTACTTAGCCTAGTAGATAATCTGCCCCTGCCTGTGAACACTTTGAAATTGATAGAGCTATCCAGTAAAAATAAACGTAAATCATAGTTTAGGTTTGCTCCTTGTTGTAAAAGTAGCACTGGAGCAGCGACAACGAAAGATCTCCTTATGAAGCCAGAGGAAAAATCTAAAGTTTACAATGTTATATAGCATGAAAGAATTCCTAAATCACAAATGAATTTTGTATTAAATATTTTTTCAGCTGCTGCACCAAGTTTTACGAATGGGGCCATCGCTCCTGACGAAGTAACAAACGCCGTCGTGAGTGGAACAATTAGTCTTCGTTGTAAGCCCATTGGTTCACCCAAGCCACAAATCTTTTGGTTTAAAGGCTCGACGAGACTTTCTTCAAATGGCAAATACACCGTGGATAGTGATGGATTTCTACGTATACATGATGTGAAAAAGAGTGATAGGGGAACATATATGTGCGTTGGACGCAATTCGTTTGGAGTTGCACGAAAAGAGACGTATCTTCTTGTAAAAAGTTTGTTCTTCTCATTTTTCATCGTACTGTAGCTTTTTCTTTTAAGATTTTTTGTGTTTTGCCAATCAGCAGCAAGGGTTGTCTCATATGGCATCTTTACAATAATTTCCTCACTTGATTTGCTCACCGTTCGAATTTCTCTATTGTTGAAACCCTAGTTCGGTTTGATGATTCAATGTGCATATTCCGATTGGTTTGTTGAAAGAAATTTCCTGAACGTGATGTGCAAATCATGTCTGTTTTCATTCACTGGAAAATCAACCAAACTATAAAAAACCTACTTCTTTGACCATCTACTAGTGCGTGTTTCTCACGTGCTATACTTTGAGATTAAACCTTTATCCTTTCATTGTAGATGGTCTGGTAATTGTAAACTTTCCCAGACACTTGGATGCAATTGTTGGACGAAATCTGACGATTGTTTGCGAAGTGGCACTGGAAACGAAGTCCGTAGTCACGTTTAAATGGTCGCAAAACCTGCAACCCTTAACCGAAAGGAATATCAAAATTACGAACACCGAAAGGAGAAGCGTTTTGTTCATAAACTCCCTCACCAAAAAAAATTCGGCAGTTTACATTTGCGAAGCAATTGCTGATGGCTTGGCAACAGCTGGAAGAAGCAAAGACATAGCAGACATTAGGATACAAGTTGAAGGTAAGAAGATGTCAGTGAACCTAGATGATAAACGCTGTCCTTGTCCCTGTAACTTGTTTTATCGCTCCTAGGCCCTCCGGAGCCCCCGATTTGGATCAGTGTGAGTGCAGTTCGAAAGCATCACGTCAACATAACGTGGAAAACACGTGATGTATCCGAAAATTGGAACAGAAAGCCCACAATCATTGTTGAATATAAAACATTGTACGAAAAAGACGTTTGGTATTCAATTGGAGATGCAAGGATAGCAGGGGATAATATGGTTGAGATTAAAATCTCCCCGTGGGCATTCTACATCTTTCGTATTGTACTGATGAACGAGATTGGACGAAGTCAACCCAGTCCTGAAAGTGGGTTGATACAAAGTCCTGCAGCTGGTACGTAATGTTTGTGTAACTTATCATGTCTTGTTTGACTTCTTATTGCTAAGTGAAGGGTTCCTAGTTTCAAACTGAAACCGTCTTAGCAACTATCCTGAAATGATCTTACAAAGAATTTAGCCTTTGCTTGTAAATTAATTTTTCTTGCGAAAAAAAGGTTGCACAGTTGCATTTTATCTTCGTATAGCTCCTGACAAAGCTCCTTCAAATATAACTGGTTCGAGTGACACTGCCACTGAACTCACAATATCTTGGAAGGTAATAAAGATTGCCCATTCATAAAACCCGTTGTTACTCTTTGTCGAGCAGATGAGAATGAGCTGTATATACAATCTTTTTCTTTAGAAATAATCCATAACTTCTCAATTTATAGCTGTAAGATTTTTATCTCACATAACATCTGTTACTAATTCAGATTCCAAGCTTTTCAATTTAATCATAGCCTTCTCTAAGTTTGTGTAATTGCTTCACGACATATCATGTTTGCCCTGGTAATTAATTATGGCCTAATTAGCTGTTGCGAAATTGAATAGCTGACGTAATTAACGATTTTTATGAAAATTTGCCTTCATTGATAGTTCTAATTCACTTTACCCTTTCAAACCGTGATATTTTCATTTCATTCACTTTGAAATAAAAAAAGTTTCAGAAGGGGCCCGACCACCTGTATGGTATAAAAACACGTATCCGCGTCAACTAGGACAAATGAAAGAAAGTAATTTTTAGCTACATAATTTAAAATGTAAGTAAAGTAAAGTGTGTTGGTGTAGGTTGGAAGAGTCAATTGAACGACGAAAAAACAGCCATTTCCCTAAGTGAAATGAGATAAATTAGTCATACATCACAATAATAGTCAGAACTTAAATATTTGATAAAACTTTTCAGCCTTTGAAACCTATTGAGCACAACGGACCCGGATTGAGCTACGCCGTATTCTATCGTCGCGTCTCGGATCCATCGCCTATGATTCGCGTTCCGGTGGAGGAGACGACCGCAAAAAGCAAACTGGAACACACGATTCGGGACACGGAATTCTATGAGCAATTCGAGTTTCAAGTTCAGGCAATCAATGCACTGGGCCAAGGTCCTAGAAGTGAGATCGTTTATGGGCATTCAGGAGAAAAATGTAGGCTTTCAAACTGTCATTTTCCCTCCCCCGTTGCCTGTATAGCTACGAATACAGCTCGAGACTTTACTGTCTAGAAATGTAAACTCTGAACTCAATATGATAACAAGTCAAAATTTCGAATTTATTAGAAATTCGTCATAGACTAAGTGACAAGCTAATAGTGGCTTTAACTTTACTTTAGCTCTATCTTAGCTCTTTATTTTTTAAATGTGTACTGCTTGTATTCACCGTTGTGAGAAAAGAGCATTGCATGATTTGAAATAATTTTTAAAATGTTTTACTATTTTCGCTTTTTTCAAGCATCTGCTGGATTTTGCAGCTATTGACGTAATATTTTACCTTGTTTAGCTCCTGTTGGTGAACCACGTAATTTACGCGTTCAAATTATCAACAGCCGGTCTGCCAGGGCGACGTGGAGTGGCATAAAAAACGATCGAAAAACGCGCCGAGGAAAGCTGCTTGGATACAAGGTATGCATGGCAAAATGTGGGAATTTCATTGGGTATAAGTCAAACAAGATTTGTAATTTTCAAACTCCACTCCCCAATTTGTAACAACTAACTATGAATTGTTATCAGCAAAAATGATAATCAGCTCATTTGCTATCTTTACTAGAAAGCAACTTGTACTGCGACAAGTTCAGCTTGAAATGTCCGACTAATAGTTATTTTTCCTTTCAAGGTCTACTATTGGTCAACGCAATATGGACTGCGGCCGTCTGACGCTAATTATGAGCCCACAGATGATACGGTTACTGTGGTTGGTTTGGAATCCTTTACCACATACTTCTTTCAAGTTGTCGCGTACAACAGTAAAGGTGATGGTCCTGGGAGCAATATAGTTGGACCGCTCTCAACACCTGAATCAGGTATATTAAGGAAAAAATGAAATTTTGCCCATTAAGTTGAGTAATGTGCAGATAACATTGCTCAAAATCTTGAGCTCGTGATGACAAGATGTTTCATCGAAAAGTTGCGAAACAGTTACAATAGCAACAACAATTAGCTATGTTTCCTTGGCGTAAGAAAGAAGTAATTTCGAGAGGGCACAACCTTACATCATTGATGGTAGAGGACAACAATTATCAGTACATAGTAAATGAAACAAAAAAGTTGCAACTTTTACCTTATATGTCAAACGGTATTAATCAATGTAATATTACCAGATTCACAACATAATATATAGCAAATATATACTTTCGAAATTGTGGGGATGTGCCTCCACGCTCCCCTGTTTCTATGCCACTGTGTTTTTAACATTTACCACACTCATCTGGAGTCGTTTACACTGTTCCTTTGCCATCTCGTCACGTGTTCGTTTTCCCACTAGTGCCCGGGACGCCATACAGCCTTGATGTTGTAATGAAGATACCCGAAGTGACATTAAAATGGAAGCCGCCATTAAAAACAAATGGAATCATGGTTGGTTATCAGGTGACGGTGAGGAAGCTTCCCATTGGACAAATAAACATCATTGATGTGAGCAATCAAAGACTTGAGCAGGAGTTTGAGGCACTGGATTTGAATGCCAAATACCAGTTCGCGCTTTTAGCTCGCAACAGAGTTGGATTTGGCCCGCCTCTTGTCCTAAATATCGATTTGGGAAAAGGTACATGTCTACTTATCAATGAAAAATTTTCTTAAAATTCAACTCTGACTCTAAAAACAAACAATTGTTACTCCAGTTCAACATGTACTTAAAATCCATAAAGATGAGCAGAAAGTTTTGAATTATATGTTCACTATTTTCCTAAACGTCTAGTACCTAAAAGAGCTCCCGAGGACGTTTATATCGCAGTGAACGCAAGAGAAAACACAGCAACAATCAAATGGTCAAAGGTCGAGGGAGAGATAAACGGCTATCGGGTTCGTACAACAAAAACTCGTCTTTTCTCGTTCTCGCCCTGTAGAACACTCCATGTCATTTTTATGACTACCGGTCTATTTTGTCGCTACTAATGTTGTGAAGGAAGTAGTTTATAATGAGTTATTTAACCATCAATGTTTGCTCATTGCTATACGAGTGTTGCCGTTGTATTGAATCAACACAACCGCTTATGAGCATAGGACAGCTTGCGGATATGTGACGACTGTCTTATAAAATCATGTGTTTGCATAAAATGAGAATTCAAATATTCTCTGTTATAGTGAATAACATATTGTTGCAATTATTACAAACACTGCATGTAACAGAAAAGATATCTAGAAAACCTGATGTTCATGGTATACTTGTAGGTTATGCATCCGACATAATCCGTGTAGTTTGATTGGTTAGCCATTATTCCGTAGGTCTGTTAAAATTTCTTAATAGGAATTATTCTGTTGCAGGTGACCTACTGGAATACCAAAGACGGTCCAGAAAAATCGACAATGTTTCAAGAAGTCGACGAAAAAGATGCGAGGCAGGTGGTTGTAAATTTGAAGGATAAACTTACGTATATGTTTCAAGTTCAAGCCTACGTGGAGTTTGGCGACAGTATTGTCCTTGGCCCAATATCTAGTGTTCAGTCTTCCCCAACAGGTGAGCATATAGGCGTGAAAGTTGATAATTGTGACCATCTTAAAGTAATGTAGAATATTTTAACGAGCTATTTCTCTATCAAGTCTCTGTCAATTTTGCTTCGTTTCGTCTGTGGGAAGGTTGACGATATCAAAGCGTACTTATTTTTGTCTGAATATAAGACTTTTCAGGTGGGCGAAAAGATGTGAAATCTTTAATCGCATTACAAATCTTACTCACATCACAAGAAAAATTTCACCTTTCTTCCCTACCTTTTTCCACACATCCAAGCACTTGAAAACAGTATGATAAAAAATGGCTGTTCCAGTCGATGAAGTGTTTCCAGTTTCTAGCTACACGCAGTGACGCAACCAGTCTGTAGGATTTGTTCCTCCAATGGAAATCTCAGAACATCTTTATTAACATTATAGTGAGTGAACAAAAAAGTTAACACACAGAACTAAATAAACGGGTTGGCTACGATATTGGCTAGTGGCTACATTATCCAATGAAATCTTAGATCGGATGCCGTGCGACGTTTCAAGAAAGTTTTAAAAATCTCCCTTTATCGGCGGTTTTCTTTCAATCAATGACTGTAAATTTCATGATTTGACAAGTGTAATACGATAAAACAATGAAAAACGATTCTCTGGCATCTAAGAAATTTCTCTTTCAACCCTTTAGAAGACCCTCTGTCGGATACGAATTCAGCCACCGTCTCACATGCAAGAACGTGGCTGTTCATCTTGGGTTATTGTTTGGTGGTCTGTTATGTGGCACAATAAATCCGAGCCACCAATGTCCTGAACATACAACACCTGATTACTTTAAGCTTCGAAAGCATTGAAAAGATTATCATTGACAGTGACAAAAAATTTTTCAAACTACAGAGTAGTATAGCAATTTTATATTATAAAATTTTATTGGTAAATATGTCTTTCTGCATTACAAGGAAGATACCCTGCATCATGTGAAATAGCGTATCCGGGGAAGGTCAGAATATTGAATACGCTACCAAACATATAATTTAACATATTTTAAAACAAACAAGTATTTTAGCCTATCCTGGATCGCACGTATTACGTAAACAAGGTGCCATAAGAGGTAACATTGAAGTAAAAGCCATAAAATCCCCTGGTCTTTATTTCTTATTTCTTATTTCCCCTCGAGGTTTAAAATATGGAAGAGAAGAAATGATACAAGGTAGTCCTTTTAGGGCACAAAAGGTACAACGTAGATGCTTTTAGAAAGAACTTTTGCCATGCAAAAATCCATTAAATAGGAGATTAAGGGCGATCTTTTAGTAAAAGCAGACACAAGTTACATTATGTTTGTAAAATTGATAAATGGTTATTTCTACGATGCAAACTTTTGGTTGTAGCAACATTTTGATAACGTTCTTCAGTATGTTCAATCGATTAATGTATATATTGTAAAGGAGTATTGACAATTTATTTAATTGATTCGATATCTTTGCATGTTGTATATGAAATATGCCTTAAAGTAATGAAAAATGCATTCTAGTGATTGGGAAAGGTTGCTTGCTGCCTTTTCGCTTATCAGGAAATAATCCTCAACATAAGCACAAGCACAGCTACTTGACACGAAAGACAAAAGCAAATTGTAAAGAAAATTCTTATTGTTTTGTTTCCTCCAACCTCTGGAGAATATGCTTTACTTTGTTTTGTCGCTTGTGCTTATCCTTTAATTGAAAATTAGGCTTTATGAAACTTGTGATTCTTTTCCCCTTTCATTCTTTTCTTTCTGCTCGTTTTAAAAGAGCAACAAAAAGAGTTGAATTCATTTTTCTGATGATTACAAGACATAACTAAACAATTTACCGCAAGAAGACAATGCGATAATTCAGTAGCTTAATGTATTCAAAATTATTAGATTCAAACAAAAAATTAAATGAATGCTCATTCAGCAATGAAACAATAGCGCTCAATCTTTAGATTTACTATTTCTTTGTGTATTGTACGAATGTACGTTCTTCGTAGTACTTCAAACCAATCATATACTCTGATCATGCTGGTGGATAGCAATCATATATTTTTGAACAACCCAGCCTGTTATTATCTGTTTGGTGATTGTCGAGTGAGGATGTCTAGCTGTTAAAACAAAATTTTCGCTGTTTTGTGAAAGTTTGGTAAAGTTCAAGGATAGTAACTGGTTTGAGCTATGTTATATAAATGCCATGTTTTGTGTGCCAAATGCCATGTTTTATAACACAAGATGAAGCCATGAAGTGTCAGAAGCTGTGTTTCATGATAATAGCTTAATAACTACAACTCCATGGCTTTTTATTCGGTTGAAGAGAAGAGAGGTCCTTTGTCAAGCCCAAAAGAAGATGGGCGGCGATAATTGATTGATCGTTCGGACGATCTTGGCATGAGATCGTTGATACTTTGCGTTATAGCTGCTTAAATTACGAGTTTGAAGATGTCATGGTAAGGTTTACGATGTAGTTAAATGGGAGAAGCAAAAACAGTTTTTAAAAGAAGGCATTTAAAGTGTAATTAAGAACGTAATGCTCTATGACTTCTATTCAAAAAGTGGGGTCATGACGTTAGTTAATATCATCTTGTTAAACGATCTGCGTTTTCTTGCAAACTGCCGTTAACTAAAATGATTGCCTAAAAGAACCGCCGATCGACCTTATTAAGTTTTCAGTTTAAAAACTATATGATTCTTTAATTTAACGAACGCGGATGATGATGATGCCAGCTTTACAATAGTGCATTACGCACGAGCAAGAAATCTTAAGTTTTCTTTTCTCGTGAGACTAAAAGACAAAGAAAACGGAATGTTATGCTCATTTTTTGCTTAGTTTAAGCCTAGTTTTCACTACTAACTTCATAAACATAAGTGAGAAAACAAAGCAGAGCATGTATTCTCATAGAGGAAACAAAAAAATAGTAATTTTCTTTTCAGTTTTCTTTTGTTTGAGCTTACGCTTCTGTCAAGTTGCTTTGCTTATATGCTTGTCCTTTATGCCAATGCTGCATGCTTCACTTGTCGTCTTAATTAACTTTAGATCAAGAATTGTGTTTGTGCTCATTTCAATTTGTGTCTTATTATTATGTGTGTTTACCTGACGGGTCTGACAAAGAACATCCTCCCTCTTGTTTAACTTTGTTACTGGAAACTGCTTAGCAGATATCAAAACCATCTTTCACAACAATCGGCTGAGAACTTCAGTTTAAAACCAATTAATGCATCAAAATACGAATACCATAACGAACGAGTGGGAACCTCTGAAGATAAACGGGAAAGATGGCAGTGAAGTGAGTCATGTCACAAAGTATATAACAATTAAAAGAAGAAAGATAAGCAAAACAAAACATATAACATATACTACTATATAAATACCAAGATGTACTTGCACATAGCGATCATATCCTATTTTTCCTTTATTTCTACAGACAAAAAGTTCTCGTCAACTTGTTGCAAATGGGAGAAAGAAATTATCTTCCGACACAAAACATCCTTCTTCATCGTCCATATCAGTTCGACTGACCTAGTTTTCGTCTATCCTGCTATCCGTACTTAGTTGTTTTTCTTATTGCCTATTTCTAGCAAGTGTATGAAAATTTTGGTTTAAGGAAATGTATAGTAATTATGTATTAACTTGTTGACTGACTGGCGCTTCTATACCATTTGGTGTAATGCTATAGAGGTTGGCACAAATCAGCCAGGCAACATTCTTTTAACATGTTAATATGGTGGTGCTTCTTGCATTTGAATCATGCATGTAACATTGAAATGAAATGTTATTTACAATCGATCTAGTTTAAAGTTGAAAAAGAAATTGCAATGCGCTGGCAGAGTATTGCAAAGTCTTCCAATTCAACGTCCATTTGAAGCTATCAGCTTATCACTCAAATAAGCTATCGGCGTTCGATACGTTGAGGGACGTTAAAACAGTGTCTGCCACAGCAATTTAAAAAATTAACTTCCAGTAGGTAAAGGTTTCGAAGGAAGCCTTCACTGTAAATGTTTTTAGTTCACAGCTGTCTTCTGCAAATCATCGTGAAGTACGAGTTTCAAATGAAATTTTAAAAGATCTTCTGCAAACACTGGTTTTTGCAAAATACAAGTGCTTTAACAATTTGTCGTGATTTTATTTCAACAATTATTCTTACAGTTATCGATACGTGGCAACAGTTGCCGATTTTGTCTGCGGTATGCGTTTGTTTGTTTGTTTGTTTCTTTGACTGTTTGTTTGTTTTCACACTCCTAACATGTTATGCAGTAATTTTAGGCGCAGAGGGACGAGAAGATACAGAGGAGCACCGAGTTGTAAGTGGTTTTGTCTCTCATTCATCATGTCTATCAATGTTTGCTTGTGTCTCTTTTAGAACGACGTATAGCCTAGCACGCGCAGTCAACAAACGTGCCTTACGGTAAGTTTAATCAATGAAAGCATTTTTTGAAGAAAGCAAAATCCTTGACTTCGATTATTCGGTGTTTGCAGATGATCAATGACATACTTCCATTATGAAAAGTGTAAATGTCATTAACGAACTTACATATAAACACTCTAACATAAAATCATGCACACAAAATCAGTATTTTCAGCATTCTAACTAAATTAGAGAGCTCCCTCGCTCTCTAAATTAGGGATGAAGTTCTTCGAAAAAGTTGATAAATTCCAAAATAGACTTCTGCCAACTATTTTGGAATTTCCTTTTTTGTAATTAAAATATAGGATGCTTAGTACATAGTATAAAGTGTGTTGGAATCAGGACACCAAGTATTTGAAACATTCAACAAAATGACAACAAAAAATATGATAGGCTTATTCGTGGAAGTAGTAAGTGGTTGTACAGTGTATTAAATTTAATGGAAACGGCTGTGTGATCAATACGATGCTAATTTTAGTTGGTCGTATAGTGGGTTGTTTTGTTAAGATTGACGTTGTCAGTCATGTACGGAATGCCAAGAAACATCACCTATGAAATTTACGCCAAGATAACTTTACACGTGTGTATGTTCGAAAGGTTCTCTCCGATCAATGTAATAATTTGCAATAAAATTTTAACGTACATCTTTTCTAAAATATATTGAAACTTGTCTGTAATTATTGTCAGGAGACAATATCATGAAATTTGCGATAGTCTTTAGACTTGCAACATCAAGGATCAATTTCTGACTAAGGCTGGAATTACGAAATTTTTTTACGATACTCATCAAGAAGAAGCAAAAACGCCCTGGCAAAAGAGTTATTGAAAGAGAATTTACATAATTGAATATGTGCTTCCCCACACACACACACAACAGTGGAGCCACTATTAACTGCTTCCCCACCCATATTCAACGAAGTACATTTCCTTCCCAATTATTGTATCGATGTTATCAGGGCGGTTGGGCTGTAACTAGCATGAGGTAAACGTGGCACATGCCTCGGTTAAATTTGGCAATATTTTTTTGCTAATGCTTCCATTTACAAATATTCCGTATGCAATGAGCTTTGAGAATGATTAAGGTATGAACTACACTGTTATCAAACGTTTCTTCGCCATGTCAAGTTATCGATCTTTCATAGTTAGTTACATGCTGTATTTTTATAAATTCTGACCAAGAAAACAACACGAAAAGAATTGAGATTGAAGATGGCATATACTTGCATAGTATGTTCATATCTTTTCAAAATTTGTTTCCTGAGTGTGCTATAGCTTTTTTATGTAAACAGCATCGTCAAATTGCTCTGAAAAATGAGATCTTTTTTCCGAGCAATGGCGATCAATGGCTTCGGTAACCAAAATAAGCTCACACGTTCCTGTTTATATATTATTTATATAGGTAAAAATTCATGTAAACACTTTTGTGGTTTCGGTATTTCAAGAATATTTAACTCGGAGTTTTTAGGAAATTTGTTTTACTGTACGCGTGGAGAGTGGAGAGTGGAGACGGTGAGAGCCGAGCCCTGCACCACCTGCTCATCGCCTTCTTTTTGGAGGCCATTTTAATTTTTGATTTGAGATGCTTCGGAGTGCGGTTCTTTTTGGTATGTAAAAATACATTTATTTTACGTAATATTTCAGTAGTATTACTTCCTTGTATTATTTTCGTCTCATGCTTGTTTTAAATTGATAATACAGGCTGTTTATGTGTCAATATTTTATGATTTGATTTGATAATTGAGTTAAAAAGCACCTGGTTTGAGTTGACGTGTTGTAAAAGCATACGCTTATAGCTAGTTTCTTCTGACGTAAGGTTTGCTTCTTCACGCGTAGTATTGAGAGTAATTTAATGTAAAACAATTTACTCTAAAGCAGTTAGGAAAGGATGCCTGAATAAACGCTGAGATGTTCCATGTGCTAAAAGGCTAGAGTGTTGGAAATTGAAAAGTTCCTCCATTGATGAAAATTTTAATAACGTCCAAATTGTTTGTGCACAACGATCATCCTTTAAGAGTAAATTAATAATACTTAACTACCATATGCACTTAACTCAACAATAATTTAAAAATTAAATGAGATATGATCTTCGCACTTAGCTGGACAATTTAAGCAATCGTCTCAGGACCTGAAAAAATCAGGTGACTCAACGGGATTCGAACCCATGACCTCTGCGGTGCCGGTGCAGTGCTCTGACCACTGAGCTATGAAGTCACACAGTGGTGAGCAGGTCAATATTGTTGGGCTAATGTTTTCTCGTGAAATGAATGTCATATGAATGTTTTTTTTTATGAATGTTTTTTAATTTCAAACACTGCACTGCATAAAAAACATTAATAATTTAAAAAGGTGTGATTTACATGAGAGTCTAAATGTTCCTCAAAAGATACATAGGAAGTGAAACTTGTCATTGGTACTCCTTGTAATTCTTTATTTATCATCAATACATCCGTTCACAACACTGCAGTTCTAAATTATATCCAGAATTTCCAGAAGCTTGATCTGCTCAACTTAATTGGCTCAATTTTTGTGCTTATAATCGACCATTTCATAACAAAATTTGTTTTCCTTTTCAATGTTTTGTGATATCTTTTAACTTGAAGTATATTTTTAATCCCTTTACTAGTTCATTCAATGTTTCCCAGTACGAAGTCAATTGCATTAATTCAATTCATTTTATATCCATTCCAAAATAGATTGTGATACATATTTTTCCAAATATTTTCTCCTCTGTTATACAAATGAGGATTGTGAGATATCCATACTTTTACCCTTATCCTTTCCATATTCACCAATAAAAGAGCCCGTTTCGGAGAAGTCGTCATCAGAACCACCATATTCCTCCAAACTGTCATTGTCTTTCAATAAGGGGTCTTCGTATTGTGGAACAGTAGCATTGCTTGCATTTTGTCTTTGTGGAGGTGCAAAGGTCCTTCAATGGAGAAAATTTTTTCTAAAATATTCTTGCCTTACTCCAAAGGAATAAAAGTGAGATTTACATGGGTAGGAAAGGGTGGATGTGTAGAAGAATGGCCCCAAATAAATGATTTCAAAGTATGGGTAAAGGCACTATGAGAGGGAGATTTTACATTTGTATATTGGGAGACAAGTAAATTTGAACACATAAGCATTTTGGGTAAAGGATTTTTCTCTACATTGGTGTTTGCATGTTGCTCAAAAAGTAAAAGGTTTGTAAATATGATTTGAGATGGCTAACCGACTTGCTTCAAGCAAAATTTCATAAGAAAGTGAGGACATTGAATAATCTTGTCTTTTTATTATTGAATTTACATTTAATTTAGAGATGCTTATATGATCAGTTTATGTATTAGTCAATATGTTTAGCATTAGATGCTTGTACAGTAGATTAATATACAACAAGGTCCAGAAATATAACTCTGTGACTTAGAGTGTTTTTTCTGCCTTATGCGGTAGAGATGGATTGTTTGTGTATTACAATTATAATTTGTTTATTGTTGTACATTTTCATGATAATTGATTAATTATGTTAATAAAAATCTGTCATTAGATTGCATGATTAATACATGTTGAGAAAAATCTTAACGTTATGGAATGTGGCCTTGATCAAATGGAAACACTTTTAAGCAATGTTAGCGAACAACAAACAGCCAACTTATATCTGACAGTGATAATCCAATGAAGTTATTGAAAACAATGCTTGATAATTTGCAGTTGTTGAAATTGTTAATTTCTTAATTCATAAAGACCTGAACCAAGCCATAGCCCTCTACTTTCGATTAACAATTTTGATGAAAAATTATTAGGTTAGGAAGTTTGGACTGTCTGTTACAAAAATACTTACACTTCAGGTTCCGTGAAAGTTTGTTCATCCCCCATTTCAAGTGTATCATATACTTTACGCTTTCTTTCTCGATCACTCACTAAAATATGTACACAAAACAACACCTTTAGGTGCGATTGGCATAGCATTGCTATGGTTTTGATTAGTTACTTGGATATTTCTACATTGTCACTGTTTCAATATTGAAAGAGCAACAACGGAGCGTAGCCAGCCTGCAAGTTTAGTCGTGCTTTGTAAATTTCTCCACAAAAGCGTTGTTCATTTCTCTAGAAAGTTAGTGTTTTTACAGTAAGTTGACACCAAAATATTTACATAACATGAACAAACTTGGGGGTTAGCCACGCCACTGCACTCTTACATGTGTGACACGAATTTTACACAATTTCTAAAATAAAAATTTCCCCTGAATTTTTTTGTTGTTGATCATTACGTTTTCATGCGCCTGCATTCTAAATCTACCGTGTATTTACGAAAAAATTCTCACGAGATACAAAAAATATTTGAGCTCGCGTTATATTATAGGCCGCAGTTGGGTATTAAGAGTCCTTTTGTAACAGTATTTCCACTCTGAAGGAAAAAATAAGAACAGTGAAAGGAATCGTGTTTTTTAAAAGTGGAAACAGTGCCATGTAACGATAAGTTATTGTCAATTAACATCAGTCGAAATATTTACAAACCATTGTATGTCTGTTTAGGTTTTCGTCGAAGGTACAAAAGCAGTAGGAGGAGAAGCAACAGCAGCAGTATGAGGATAAGAATGATGTAGAACCAAACTTCACGGTATATTGGTGAGCTGCCCTTTAGTTCTAAAAAATGAATGAAGAACAATGTCACAGCTTAGTATCTACAAGACTTAAGTATCTAGACCACGCTAACAACGATGATTATTCTCGTAAATGGCTAAACGCAACGAGGTTAGTGTCATATTCGCAATCGTCGGTAAGATGAAAAACATCTTATGCGTAAATACATCAAATACGGACAAAAAAACATAGTCCGAAAAAAATATATTTTCTATTCTCAAATTCAATTCGTAAACAAGGAACAACTTTGAACTTTAAGTTTCATTCGTATCCGTCGTTTATGGCTTGAATTCGTGTTAAAAGATCGTTTTTTCGAATTTTGTTTTTTCTTTGTGTAATGCTGTTCATCGAATCGAACAATGTTGGGTCCACATTGTTAATAGTCAACTGCGAACAATTCGGCAGCATAACATTGTTTAATTCCGTTTTTCAGCAAGTTTTTATCCGTGCATAAGACGCACAATAAAATTGGAATGCGCAGTTAAAAAGTTCTGTGAGGGAACCACATTTTTCTAAATCGACAAACTTGCTCTTTACCTCTTATGGAAATTGTGCGTCCTTCAGCAAAATCACTCCAGTTGCTTTTCAAGTCACCGTTGGTGACAACAGTTGCAAACAAGTAAACTTTGGTATCGTCCAAATCATCAATCTGGATGAACGATTTTTGTCCATTTTTCTTGATTTCGATGGCCTCCGTATTCTTTAAGTTTTCATCATCTTCTGTTGAAAAAAGAATTTGTATTTATATGCAAAAAACAGATTTCTAACTAACTACCCTGACAGAATAGATGCTTAAAAACTCTTTCTGAAGTTATGAATTTGACCAAATATGCATGCAATTTGTGGAACTATTGTAACTATGCTCAAAAATTCAAAAGAATTTTCGCAATACACGCGACGCAAGTCAAAACTGAGATGTTGTCAAAGGTTAAGTATTGCGTTGCATCTTCGTGATTCATTGGCAGTCATTCGCGAAAGGATTTGTGATGCGTTTATCAAGCACTCATACAATTTCGGTAATGTTCGACATAACATGTGTCACATAATGTTGCTAACGTAGGAAATAACTACGGACCTTTTTCTCTATAAACAATGTAGAATTTTTCCGGGTATCCGCCTTCCTTTGAGCTTGGAACGTAGGTGACATTGACACTATCTTCGTCGATGGCTTCAACTATTGGTGGAGGTGCCACTGCGGGAGCTACGAAAAAGAATAAATTATATGTTTGATGTCATGCTAGCAAGAAAATCCCCATTTGCGTCTTGGTAAAAATACACGTTTTGTGGTTTTGAAAACAACACGCGTGAATCCATGGGCATTTTGACGTTTTCATATTTTTGATGTTGCGTTGTTTTGTGTGAAGTTATCTTGTGTTACGTGAGGTTGCGTAAGGTTATGATTATTAAAATAATTTCTCACTTCTCATGTCTGTCGTGCGGGCAGAAGTTGAAACGGCTTCTCCTGAGCCTGCGTTTGTTTCTGCGGTTATAAACACAACGTACTCTGTCTTCGGCTGTAACTTGTCGAACAAATATTCGAGAACACGACTTCCTACTGTAAAGTTAGAGCTATTGATCCTTAGTTGGTAACCAACAATAATACCGTTAGCCTCGATCGGTGGTTTCCATTGCACGTGCAAATAACGTCCGTATGACGTCACGCTTACGTCATGTACCACTCCGGGTTTTCCTTCCTGTGTGGACACTTTAATATGATTACTTTTTGGTCCCGGGCCAATTTGGTTGTAAGCTTGCAAGTACATGGTGTAGTTCTTAAATGGTTGCAAGTCTCCCTGTCTGTATTGGGTCGTCATTACGTTTTTGATAAAGGTTACGCACGCGTTCTTTTCTCCCACACACGAACTAACCGCGCGTTTTACGCGTGTCTTACTCCCGTCTTCGTACCAATAGGTTAGCTGAAAGAAATGTGGCATGTCGAGTCAGAGATAAAAATTTAGACAAGATTGTCATGGAAAAAACATATTATTTTTTCGATGGACAGCGAGTTGTTTTTTTGTAAGTGTAAATACGTAGCACGTCATTTCGTTAATATTCCTATGTGTATTTCATGTTCATTTTAAAATGAAGCTCAACAAGCAGGAAACATTACTTACTAATAAAACCCTATCGAAACTACTAATGCATTGCACTGTTTTCAAATCATGTAACTACCAACTTTTATGGACATTTGGTAGTTGTTTTGCTAAACTAGTTCGGTATTTATCACCAGCAAAGGAGCTCCTCCTGGTTTCTAAAGACCCTTCAATGTTTTTTTGTATTCGTTTGTTTTGTTATCTAAACATTCGTAAAGATACAATTGAAGGCATTGACGTCTTTCCCAAATCAGCACATTAGTAAAATAAAAACTTTGCCGTGGTGACAAATTTAAAAATTACCCTAAAAAAGAGCAAATACCATGGTGAATGGTCAAAATAATGACGTAATAGTTCGAAAAAGAACTGTTTAAAACCAGAACACTATCCCAGCAATTCTAAAAGAACTGTTTTTGAACCTGAAAAACACAGTTCGTTAGCTTTAAAACAGTTCTTTTAGAAATATTGGGTTAGTGTTCTGGTTTTAAATAGTTCTTTTAGAATTATTGGATTAGTGTTCTGGTTTCAAATAGTTCTTTTAGAATTATTGGGTTAGTGTTCTGGTTTTAAATAGTTCTTTTAGAATTATTGAATTAGTGTTCTGGTTTTAAATAGTTCTTTTAGAATTATTGAATTAGTGTTCTGGTTTTAAATAATTCTTTTAGAATTATTGAATTAGTGTTCTGGTTTTAAATAGTTCTTTTAGAATTATTGAATTAGTGTTCTGGTTTTAAATAGTTCTTTTAGAATTATTGAATTAGTGTTCTGGTTTTAAATAGTTCTTTTAGAATTATTAGGTTAGTGTTCTGGTTTTAAATAGTTCTTTTAGAATTATTGAATTAGTGTTCTGGTTTTAAATAGTTCTTTTAGAATTATTGAATTAGTGTTCTGATTTTAAATAGTTCTTTTAGAATTATTGAATTAGTGTTCTGATTTTGAATAGTTCTTTTAGAATTATTGGGTTAGTGTTCTGGTTTTAAACAGTTCTTTTAGAATTATTGAATTAGTGTTCTGGTTTTGAATAGTTCTTTTAGAATTATTGGGTTAGTGTTCTGGTTTTAAACAGTTCTTTTAAGAACTATTACGTTATTATTTTGACCATTCGCTATGGTATTTGCTCTTTCTAAAACAATTTTTAAATCAGCACATTGGTAAATTTCTGCGAATAATCAAGATCATCACGATTCATTCTTTAGTGTGAATTTTTTTATGTTTGAAAAAGGTCGAAGTTCATCTTTGATTTCATTGAATTTTTATCGGAAGTGAAATGGTTCATTTTATTTGCCGTACGCGAATTTTAACTCCAGCGAAAGTAAAAAATATGCAATGACCCTGCTATGTATGTGATTTATAGTATGTTGAAACCACGCTTTAAAGGTCCGTTCACACTGGAGAAGCGGCGCTCAAACCGTATGCTGTAACTCGTCCAAATTTAGCCTTCTATATTTTATATTATGTCGTACACACTGAGTGCAGCGTTACGGCTTTGCTAACTACGTTAGAGGCTAAATTGGACGAGTTACAGCATACGGTTTCAGCGCCGCTTCAAGCTTCAGTGCGAACGGACCTTAAGAATGAAAGCGATGATAAAATCGCCACTGATTTTAAAATATGTCACAAATTTTTGTTCTCATCTTGTATCATAATTGTTTACTAACTCCCTTCCATAACATACCTTGTATCCCTCGATCGGGCTGTAATGAACTGGGTCCCATTCCAGCAAAACGTAGTCGGATCTAATTTCCTTATGCCTGAACGATTGTGGGGCCACCGTAGGTGCTGTCGTTATGAAGGAAAGAGAAGTTGAGCGAGTTGCCATTAAATGCGATGATTTTTAATGATTTACCTTCGCTTGCTGATCTTTTAATAGGGCACTCTGGACCATTTCCCTTCGCATTTATGCTTTGCACTTGAATTGCCCACTGCTCATCGACGCTCATGTTCATTAGTATGTACACTTTTCCATAAACTAATTTGTGTTTCCACTTCGATCCGGTTATTCGGTAGCTCACGTTGTACCCAAAGCCTGGACCATTTTCATAAATCTTTGGTACTGCCTGAAATGTATCGTTAGTTGTTCATAATTAGTTTTCTCTAGTTCCGAAAGAGCGGGCGTCGTTCATAGTGACATGAATAAAGTAGGGTGATCATGGTTTGGAAGAGGTTGAAGCACAAATTGATGTAAAGTTGTGGATTCTCAACATATATTTTAGAGCTCAACAAATAGTTTTTAGCATAGCCATATAAAATTTGGTTTTATAAAATTTATTGAAAGATTGACGTTTCGTCTTTACTCAACACATCTTCAGACTAATAAGAAAGTTAACAAGAATTATAGATCTTGATGATGGATCCCCGAAAACCTCTTCATCTCCAAACTAAAGCCTTCACTTGACACCAAAGGCAGTTCCATCCCTCTTAAGCTTTTCCAGTCTTAACACCTCACCCTCACTTTCAACACATCGCACTTACACATCCACAGTAATCTGATACCTCTAATTATATAAATAACAACGTTTCCCGCCTTGCAGCAATATTGGTAAAGTTGTGGTTCGGAGGGAGATGTGGAAGGAGAAGTCTTAAAGTTGTTGCTTTCAGGAGTTGACTTAAGGCGGAAATTTAAAGCTGTTTTTGGAATTCATGTGATACAAAAGAGACTTACAGCGAAAAAATTTCCGACGTTGAATTTTTCTTAAGTAATATTCATCACTTTATTTCAGACATGGTGATTGTAAGAATTTCAGTGTCTTTCAAATAAGAGATGCGCATGTCATGCAAGAGATGTTTTCGTCCATTCGTATACTCACCTTCCATTTAATTTTAAGGGTTTGCGCCATTTCTGAATAGGCAGTGACTCCAGTAGGACAAACTGACGGTTCTAAAGCAATTAAACGAGAAAAAAAAACATTCATGTTTTCGTTTTAGTTATTAGTCGATTTCTACAATTGAATGAGAAATGATACATTTCTCATTTGATTTTTTTTAAGCCGAACAGCAAACTCTTCTCTGCTGTTTTACATCCTTTTCCTAGGTGTGAAAAGATTTTGGGGAAGTCTACATCTTAGACGGGAACAGCTAATATGTGTTTTGTACTTACTATCAGCTGGGGTTTTGCACGGTTGTCCTTTTGTGTAATTACTTGGCTCGCTCAATCCATAAACGTTCTCAGCAATGACTCGAAAAACTATGTCTGTGTAAGGATTCAGTCCCTTCACGATACGACCATCTAGGTTTCCACTTACAGTCATGTTGTCCGTTACATTGTACCACATAGTCATATTTTCCATCACACTCCACTGGATGAAGACTCTGTCCACAGTGTGATAAGAGTTGAGATATAATGTCCAAGTAAGATTAGCAGTGAAGTTTTGACATCCTCCATTGATGTTTAAATTTTGTGGAGCATCTGGAGGACCTGTTATATGAGGTTGAGATCACAGAGTTATCAAACAACCAGGAACAGTAACGATAAGTTACAAAGCTCAAATTTAGATCTGGCAAATACATATCTCAGACAGTGACTTTTGAAAAGAAGACACAAAATTCATGCTCTTTTCAGTGGGATAAGAGAAAAATGTAGAGATCACTGGATAATAATGTTACCGTTTACAATCACAAGGGCCTTTGAAGTTTTTCCTGTATTGTAAATATTCGTCTTGACAAACGCTCGACATTTATATTCTCCGCTGTTTTGTAGCTAGAATAAGAAAATGCAACATATATATGACGTATTACAAATTTACTTTGTATCGTCCACAATATTGGAAATCGCGTTTTCAAAATAACATCTTTTTTGAAGTGATCGGTTTGAATCTGGGAGTATCGTTACATGTTTGTAGAAGATACACTCATCATCCAGTAGAGTGGAGTTTTGAGTTGGACTGTTTGGCGTTGGTGTCAATTCTCGATATTGAAGATAACTACTGCTTATATTTTTAAAATGTCATTCAACACCAGCACCAAATGTCCTTGTGATAACTCCACTAACCTGGATGATCTCCATCTACAAACATGTAACAACTTTTTTTGATTGGAAATTGCGTCATCAGATCTTGACATTTAAAAGTACATAGGTGCCCCTTAATCTATCATTGATAAAAGAGTGCCGCAATTTCAATTTCTGACTGACAGTTGCATTTTGCCTTTCGCCCTTATGTTGAAACTTGCTCAAACCTACTCAATAATATCAACTCGACATCATCAAACTATTATCTAATGAATGGCAATACTGTTTCAGCGCACATGTTTTTGTTAATCGTTCTGATGGTAACCAAAATCGGCATAATTGGTAATAGGATTAAAATTTCTAGGGTATTGGGACCTTACAACAATATTTCTTTCTCGTCGCACAGCGGGATTTTATATTATTCGGCCTTTAAGTTTTCAAGTTCGGGTTTTCACTTGGAGATTCTACTCACTTGAGATGAAGTCACATTTAATGTTTGATTGCTTTTTCTCAAGTCTTTTCCATTGTGAAACCATTTATATTTGATAGGTAGATCTGGCTTGGAGTAAGCTTCACATTCTAGGGAGAAGCTTTCTCCTTTCTTCACATCTGTTTTGTTCTGAGGTCGTGTTGTAAAGATGATTATTGCTATGAAGAAGCAGCAAAACTGGAGTAACTTACTGTTCATAAAGTCCATCTTTACCCATTTTTACCCTTTTGTTTATCTTTATAATTCTTATCCATTATTTACTACATCTTTACTCATTTTCTTAGGCCATGTTACTCCATCTCCCAAAACAAACCCATTTTTACTTATTTAATTCTTGAAGAAAATTCTATCTTAACTAATCGTATCAATGTTGTTTTGTATTGCGATATTGCTTTTACATGTACCGTCACTTTCCGAGCGCGCCTGCGCTGTAGGACATTCACCACTTCCACCTTCGCTATTGTACGTTAGTACGCGAAATTCCCACAACTCTAACGCAGAAGTGCTGTTGATGGTAAACTCCGGGGCGTTGCCAAATGGTAAAACTTTTTCCAGCCACATTTGACGTCCAGGTTTTCTGTATTGAAATATATAACCAAATCCTGGGCCGTTTTGAAGCAGTTTAGGGACGTCCTTAACAAATTAAGACATATTGCGTTAGGCACTTTGGTTTTGGATGCAATGATATCAGTGTCTTACCTTCCAAGTTACTCTGATGTTGCGAGGATTCGTTGAGCTTCCTTTAACATCAATGGGACAGAAGGAAGGCTCTGTGAATGAAGGAAACGATCATGATTTGAAGGCGTTTAAACCTTTTAATTATGATAAATTTCTCATAAATTTTGCGAAAGTATTTTTTGCAAAATATTTTTTAAGAAAAAAGCCGTTCTCGCTCTTTTGGTATCAAACAAGCGATCATGTTTATGGTTATCCTCCCCTGAAGATGGTTGGAATCGAATGAAATATATTTTCGTGTATTTGTCACAATTGTTATTTTGCTCAATGTCCGTATTTGTAATATCCTTCGTTGTATTATTGTTAATTTTTGGGGGTGTATAAATTTGCGATAGGTACAGTACAGTTCATACATCTATAGTACTTACTATCAGCTGGGGTTTTGCACGTTTGTCCTTTTGTGTAATTACTTGGCTCGCTCAATCCATAAACGTTCTCAGCAATCACTCGAAAAACTATGTCTGTGTAAGGATTCAGTCCCTTCACGATACGACCTTCTAGGTTTCCATTTACAGTCATGTTGTCCGTTACATTGTACCACATAGTCATATTTTCCATCACACTCCACTGGATGAAGACTCTGTCCACAGTGTGATAAGAGTTGAGATATAATGTCCAAGTAAGATTAGCAGTGAAGTTTCGACATCCTCCATTGATGTTTAAATTTTGTGGAGCATCTGGAGGACCTGTCATATGAGGTTGAGATCAAAGAGTTATCAAAAAACCAGGAATTTGTTGATGAAAATTACAGAGCTCATATTTTTTAACTTTCAATTACTTTAAAAAGACTAAGATGAAATAAGAAAACTGTTTCCTCATCTGAATAAGAGAAAAATGCGGAAATCACTGGATAATAATCTTACCGTTTACAATGACGAGGGCCGTTGAAGATTTTCCTGTATTGTAAATGTTCGTCTTGACAAACGCTCGACATTTATATTCTCCGCTGTCTTGTAGCTAGAATAAGAAAATGCAACATATATATGACGTATTGCAAATTTACTTTGTATCGTCCACAATATTGGAAATCGCGTTTTCAAAATAACATCTTTTTTGAAGTGATCGGTTTGAATCTGGGAGCATCGTTACATGTTTGTAGAAGATACACTCATCATCCAGTAGAGTGGAGTTTTGAGTTGGACTGTTTGGCGTTGGTGTCAATTCTCGATATTGAAGATAACTACTGCTTATATTTTTAAAATGTCATTCAACACCAGCACCAAATGTCCTTGTGATAACTCCACTAACCTGGATGATCTCCATCTACAAACATGTAACAACTTTTTTTGATTGGAAATTGCGTCATCAGATCTTGACATTTAAAAGTACATAGGTGCCCCTTAATCTATCATTGATAAAAGAGTGCCGCAATTTCAATTTCTGACTGACAGTTGCATTTTGCCTTTCGCCCTTATGTTGAAACTTGCTCAAACCTACTCAATAATATCAACTCGACATCATCAAACTATTATCTAATGAATGGCAATACTGTTTCAGCGCACATGTTTTTGTTAATCGTTCTGATGGTAACCAAAATCGGCATAATTGGTAATAGGATTAAAATTTCTAGGGTATTGGGACCTTACAACAATATTTCTTTCTCGTCGCACAGCAGCATTTTATATTATTCGGCCTTTAAGTTTTCAAGTTCGGTTTTTCACTTTGAGATTCTACTCACTTGAGATGAAGTCACATTTAATGTTTGATTGCTTTTCTCAAGTCTTTTCCATTGTGAAACCATTTATATTTGATAGGTAGATCTGGCTTGGAGTAAGCTTCACATTCTAGGGAGAAGCTTTCTCCTTTCTTCACATCTGTTTTGTTCTGAGGTCGTGTTGTAAAGATGATTATTGCTATGAAGAATAAAGCAGCAAAAAACTGGAGTAACTTACTGTTCATAAAGTCCATCTTTACCCATTTTTACCCTTTTGTTTATCTTTATAATTCTTATCCATTATTTACTACATCTTTACTCATTTTCTTAGGCCATGTTACTCCATCTCCCAAAACAAACCCATTTTTACTTATTTAATTCTTGAAGAAAATTCTATCTTTAACTAATCGTATCAATGTTGTTTTGTATTGCGATATTGCTTTTACATGTACCGTCACTTTCCGAGCGCGCCTGCGCTGTAGGACATTCACCACTTCCACCTTCGCTATTGTACGTTAGTACGCGAAATTCCCACAACTCTAACGCAGAAGTGCTGTTGATGGTAAACTCCGGGGCGTTGCCAAATGGTAAAACTTTTTCCAGCCACATTTGACGTCCAGGTTTTCTGTATTGAAATATATAACCAAATCCTGGGCCGTTTTGAAGCAGTTTAGGGACGTCCTTAACAAATTAAGACATATTGCGTTAGGCACTTTGGTTTTGGATGCAATGATATCAGTGTCTTACCTTCCAAGTTACTCTGATGTTGCGAGGATTCGTTGAGCTTCCTTTAACATCAATGGGACAGAAGGAAGGCTCTGTGAATGAAGGAACGATCATGATTTGAAGGCGTTTAAACCTTTTAATTATGATAAATTTCTCATAAATTTTGCGAAAGTATTTTTTGCAAAATATTTTTTAAGAAAAAAGCCGTTCTCGCTCTTTTGGTATCAAACAAGCGATCATGTTTATGGTTATCCTCCCCTGAAGATGGTTGGAATCGAATGAAATATATTTTCGTGTATTTGTCACAATTGTTATTTTGCTCAATGTCCGTATTTGTAATATCCTTCGTTGTATTATTGTTAATTTTTGGGGGTGTATAAATTTGCGATAGGTACAGTACAGTTCATACATCTATAGTACTTACTATCAGCTGGGGTTTTGCACGTTTGTCCTTTTGTGTAATTACTTGGCTCGCTCAATCCATAAACGTTCTCAGCAATCACTCGAAAAACTATGTCTGTGTAAGGATTCAGTCCCTTCACGATACGACCTTCTAGGTTTCCACTTACAGTCATGTTGTCCGTTACATTGTACCACATAGTCATATTTTCCATCACACTCCACTGGATGAAGACTCTGTCCACAGTGTGATAAGAGTTGAGATATAATGTCCAAGTAAGATTAGCAGTGAAGTTTCGACATCCTCCATTGATGTTTAAATTTTGTGGAGCATCTGGAGGACCTGTCATATGAGGTTGAGATCAAAGAGTTATCAAAAAACCAGGAATTTGTTGATGAAAATTACAGAGCTCATATTTTTTAACTTTCAATTACTTTTAAAAGACTAAGATGAAATAAGAAAACTGTTTCCTCATCTGAATAAGAGAAAAATGCGGAAATCACTGGATAATAATCTTACCGTTTACAATGACGAGGGCCGTTGAAGATTTTCCTGTATTGTAAATGTTCGTCTTGACAAACGCTCGACATTTATATTCTCCGCTGTCTTGTAGCTAGAATAAGAAAATGCAACATATATATGACGTATTGCAAATTTACTTTGTATCGTCCACAATATTGAAATCGCGTTTTCAAAATAACATCTTTTGAAGTGATCGGTTTGAATCTTACATGTTTGTAGAAGATACACTCATCATCCAGTAGAGTGGAGTTTTGAGTTGGACTGTTTGGCGTTGGTGTCAATTCTCGATATTGAAGATAACTACTGCTTATATTTTTAAAATGTCATTCAACACCAGCACCAAATGTCCTTGTGATAACTCCACTAACCTGGATGATCTCCATCTACAAACATGTAACAACTTTTTTTGATTGGAAATTGCGTCATCAGATCTTGACATTTAAAAGTACATAGGTGCCCCTTAATCTATCATTGATAAAAGAGTGCCGCAATTTCAATTTCTGACTGACAGTTGCATTTTGCCTTTCGCCCTTATGTTGAAACTTGCTCAAACCTACTCAATAATATCAACTCGACATCATCAAACTATTATCTAATGAATGGCAATACTGTTTCAGCGCACATGTTTTTGTTAATCGTTCTGATGGTAACCAAAATCGGCATAATTGGTAATAGGATTAAAATTTCTAGGGTATTGGGACCTTACAACAATATTTCTTTCTCGTCGCACAGCAGCATTTTATATTATTCGGCCTTTAAGTTTTCAAGTTCGGGTTTTTCACTTTGGAGATTCTACTCACTTGAGATGAAGTCACATTTAATGTTTGATTGCTTTTTCTCAAGTCTTTTCCATTGTGAAACCATTTATATTTGATGGGTAGATCTGGCTTGGAGTAAGCTTCACATTCTAGGGAGAAGCTTTCTCCTTTCTTCACATCTGTTTTGTTCTGAGGTCGTGTTGTAAAGATGATTATTGCTATGAAGAATAAAGCAGCAAAAAACTGGGGTAACTTACTGTTCATAAAGTCCATCTTTACCCATTTTTACCCTTTTGTTTATCTTTATAATTCTTATCCATTATTTACTACATCTTTACTCATTTTCTTAGGCCATGTTATTCCATCTCCCAAACAAACCCATTTTACTTATTTAATTCTTGAAGAAAATTCTATCTTTAACTAATCGTATCAATGTTGTTTTGTATTGCGATATTGCTTTTACATGTACCGTCACTTTCCGAGCGCGCCTGCGCTGTGGGACATTCACCACTTCCACCTTCGCTATTGTACGTTAGTACGCGAAATTCCCACAACTCTAACGCAGAAGTGCTGTTGATGGTAAACTCCGGGGCGTTGCAAATGGTAAACTTTTTCCAGCCACATTTGACGTCCAGGTTTTCTGTATTGAAATATATAACCAAATCCTGGGCCGTTTTGAAGCAGTTTAGGGACGTCCTTAACAAATTAAGACATATTGCGTTAGGCACTTTGGTTTTGGATGCAATGATATCAGTGTCTTACCTTCCAAGTTACTCTGATGTTGCGAGGATTCGTTGAGCTTCCTTTAACATCAATGGGACAGAACGAAGGCTCTGTGAATGAAGAAAACGAGTCTTTCAAGTTTGATGTTTAATGTGTACAATGCTGTGACGATTTACCGTCTGTAAATTTTTAACTCTCCCAAATTCAATAATGCTAATCTCATAAATTTTCCAAGAGTATTTTTTGCAAATTGTTTTTTAAGAAGAAAGCGATTCTGGCTCTTTTGGTATCAAACAAGCGATGAAATTTTATAGACATTCTCACATGACGATGGTTGGAATCGAATGAAATATATTTTCGTGTATTTTTCACAATTGTTAATTCGCTCAATGTCCACATCTGTGATATTCTTCGTTGTATTCTTGTTAAAACTCTCCGCAAACAAAGGATTTTTGGGGCTGTTTGATTTTAAAATGGGTAAAGTTGAAATATTGTTTGTACTTACTGTCAGCTGGCGTTTTGCACGTTTGTCCTTTTGTGTAATTACTTGGCTCGCTCAATCCATAAACGTTCCCAACAATCACTCGAAAAACTATGTCTGTGTAAGGATTCAGTCCCTTCACGATACGACCTTCTAGGTTTCCACTTACAGTCATGTTGTCCGTTACATTGTACCACATAGTCATATTTTCCATCACACTCCAGTGGATGAAGACTCTGTCCACAGTGTGATAAGAGTTGAGATATAATGTCCAAGTAAGATTAGCAGTGAAGTTTCGGCATCCTCCATTGTTGTTTAAATTTTGTGGAGCATTTGGAGGACCTGTCATATGAGGTTGAGATCACAGGGTTAGCAAAAAACCAGGAATTGTGATAAAAATTACAGAGCTCATATTTTTATATTTTTACATGTATAAAATTAGGATGAAATAAGAGAACTGTCTCCTTATCTGAATAAGAAAAAATGCAGAGACCACTGGATAATAATCTTACCGTTTACAATGACGAGGGCCGTTGAAGTTTTTCCTGTATTGTAAATGTTCGTCTTGACAAACGCTCGACATTTATATTCTCCGCTATCTTGTAGCTGGATTAAGAAAATACAACACACTCGTGATGTAATACCAATTTATATTGTACAGCATAAATTATTGAGAGAAGCATAATTTCTAAAATAACATCTCCAATGTTTAATCACGTTCTCGGATCCTCACACTTAAGTATATGCCCCTAATCTTCATTGAAGAGAGAGAATCACACTTTCAATTGTTCATAAACAACCTGTAGGTGTATTTTCCTCTTCTGTTATGTTGAAAGAATTGCTCAAATTGACACAACAATGTCTACTCATTGTCACCCAACAGTAATCAAATGAACGGTAATGCTCGTTCATAGCACATATTTATTTCAATTGTCTGCGACTGGTACTAACGTTAGTAAAATTAGTCATGGGATTAAACAGTTTGTGCAGTGTCTATGGTATTAGACTAACTAAGCTGGGTACTTTGAAAAAGCTCTTACTCTCTTTTCCCCACCACATCATTAAAGTATCGTGTCTCGTTATTTTTACAATGTTCTTATATTTTGGATATTCTACTTACTTGAGATGAAGTCACATTTAATGTTTGATTGCTTTTTCCCAAGTCTTTTCCATTGTGAAACCATTTATATTGGATAGGTAGATCTGGCTTGGAGTAAGCTTCACATTCTAGTGAGAAGCTTTCTCCTTTCTTCACATCTGTCTTGTTCTGAGGTCGTTTTGTGAAGATGATCATTGCTATAAAAAATGAAATAGCAAAGAACTGGAGTAAGTTACTGTAGATAAAGTCCATCTTTACCTATTTTTACCCTTTTTTTCCTATCTTTACCATTCTTATCCGTTATCTACTACATCTTTACTCATTTCCTTAGTCATGTTATTCTTTTGTAATCAAACACATTTCAGCAAATTTAATCTAAGTCTTGCTGCGAACTTATGCTACGTATTCGTTTCAATATGCAAGTAAGTCATTTACCGTCCTTTCCCGATTGCGCCTGCGTCGTAGGACATTCACCACTTGTTCCTTCGCTATTGTAAGTTAGTACGCGAAATTCCCACAACTCTGACGGAGCCGTATTGTTGATGGTAAACTCCGGGGCACTGCCAACTGGAAGAACTTCTTGCTGCCATATTTGAAGACCAGATTTTCTGTATTGAAATACATAACCGAATCCCGGGCCACTTTGATGCAGTTTTGGAACTTCCTAAAGCAATTTAGTTATCCTGCGTTAGGCGTTATGGTTTTGGACGAAATAATATCACTATGTAATTGTCTTACCTGCCAAGTTACTCTAATATCATGAGGACGTATTGAGCTTCCATTCACATTAATTGGACAGAAAGAAGGCTCTGTGAATAAAGGAAACGAGTGTTTGATACAATGAGCATGATTTGAAGACAGTTAAAATCTCTTAAATCTTCGTGTGCGAAAATTTTGCGAGGATTAAACGTTTTGGAAATTTTTTATTTCGCCCAAAATCTAAGCGATTCTAACACTCGAATTGAAAATGCAATTTTAAGTATTGTGCATTTAACAATATTGTTTTGCACAATGTTCATTTTCAAAATGTCTTTCGTTTACGTATATTTGTAGAAACTCTCAGCTAGCAAAAGATTTATGGAGTGTTAACATTTAAGATAAGTAAAGTTGAAATATTGTTTGTACTTACTGTCAGCTGGGGTTTTGCACGTTTGTCCTTTTGTGTAATTACTTGGCTCGCTCAATCCATAAACGTTCTCAGCAATCACTCGAAAAACTATGTCTGTGTAAGGATTCAGTCCCTTCACGATACGACCTTCTAGGTTTCCACTTACAGTCATGTTGTCCGTTACATTGTACCACATAGTCATATTTTCCATCACACTCCACTGGATGAAGACTCTGTCCACAGTGTCATAAGGGTGGAGATATAACGTCCAAGTAAGATTAGCAGTGAAGTTTCGGCATCCTCCATTGATGTTTAAATTTTGTGGAGCATTTGGAGGACCTGTTAAATGAGGTTAAGATGACAGAGGCTTCAAAAAATCAGGAATGGTGATAAAATTTACAGAGCTCAAATTTCTCTACTTTTACGTATATAAAATTAGGATGAAATAAGAGAACTGTTTCCTCTTCGGAATAAGAGAAAAAATACCGAGATCACAGGATATTGATCTTACCGTTTACAATGACGAGGGCCGTTGAAGTTTTTCCTGTATTGTAAATGTTCGTCTTGACAAACGCTCGACATTTATATTCTCCGCTGTCTTGTAGCTGAATTAAGAAAATACAACATACACGTGATGTATTACCAATTTATATTGTACAGCAAATATTGAGAGAAGCACAATTTCCAAAATAACATCTTCGATGTGCAGTTACGCGCCCGTAACCTTCATTGAAAAAAGAGGATTGCACTTTCAATTTTTGACAGATAACCTGTAGATGTATTTTCCTGTTCTGTTATGTTTAAAGAATTGCTCAATGTCATCCAACATTAGTCCAATGAACGGTGATGCTCTTTCATAGCTCATATTTTTGTTCATTGTCTATGACTGGTACTAATATTAGTAAAATTAGTCATGGGATTAAAAGTTTGAGCAGTGTTTATGGTATTGGACTAACAAAGCTGGGTATTTTGAACAAGCTCTCTCCTTTTTCCCACCACATCGCTAAAATATTGTGTCTTGTTATTTTTACAATGTTCTTATATTTTGGAAATTCTACTCACTTGAGATGAAGTCACATTTAAGGTTTGATTGCTTTTTCCCAAGTCTTTTCCATTGTGAAACCATTTATATTTCATAGGTAGATCAGGCTTGGAGTAAGCTTCACATTCTAGTGAGAAGCTTTCTCCTTTCTTCACATCTGTCTTGTTCTGAGGTCGTTTTGTGAAGATGATCATTGCTATAAAAATGAAATAAAGAACTGGGTAAGTTACTGTAGATAAAGTCCATCTTGACCATTTTACCCTTTTTTTCCTATCTTTACCATTCTTATCCGTTATCTACTACATCTTTACTCATTTCCTTAGTCATGTTATTCTTTTGTAATCAAACACATTTCAGCAAATTTAATCTAAGTCTTGCTGCAAACTTATGTTACGTATTCGTTTCAATATGCAAGTAAGTCATTTACCGTCCTCTCCCGATCGCGCCTGCGTGGTAGGACATTCACCACTTGTTCCTTCGCTATTGTAAGTTAGTACGCGAAATTCCCACAACTCTGACGGAGCCGTATTGTTGATGGTAAACTCCGGGGCACTGCCAACTGGAAGAACTTCTTGCTGCCATATTTGAAGACCAGATTTTCTGTATTGAAATACATAACCGAATCCCGGGCCGTTTTGATGCAGTTTTGGAACTTCCTAAAGCAATTTAGTTATCCTGCGTTAGGCATTATGGTTTTAGAGGAAATAATATCACTATGTCATTGTCTTACCTGCCATGTTACTCTAATGTCATGAGGACGTGTTGAGCTTCCATTCACAATAATGGGACAGAACGAAGGCTCTGTGAATGAAGAAAACGAATGTTGGATACAATGAGCATGATTTGAAGGCAATTAAAATCTTTACTGTTTAATGTGTGAAAATGTAGTAATGATTTGTAAGCTTTGGGTATCAAGTGAGGGGTCCCTTCTGTAGAAATTTTCATTGTAATTTTCGTGACAACTGTTTTGAGCGACGAGCATTATTGAAATCTCTTTCTCTTTGTTTTTGTTGAAACTCTCAGATGGCAAAGGATTTGGAGGATATTCACATTAATTTGTACAGTTCATATAATATTTGTACTTACTCTCAGCTGGAGTTTTGCACGTTGGTCCTTTAGTGACATTACTTGACTCGCTCAGTCCGTCTACGTTCTCGGCAAACGCTCGGAATACTATCTCTGCGTAAGGTTTCAGTCCTTTCAAGATATGGCCTTCTGCGTTGCCTTGCACGTGATCTGATGCGTTGTACCATGTAATCGTGTCATGTGATATAATACCCCACTGCAATTGGATTCCCGTCAAGGGCTTGTATGGATTACGGTATGAAATGATCCATGTGAGGTTTGCAGTGAAGTTTGTGCATGTTCCGTGAAGTCGTAGATTCTCCGGGGCTTCTGGCGGTCCTGTAGCATAAAGCGCGTTTTTTAGACTGCCAGGCGTGATACAAAGTTTCCATTGATATGATAATATGCGCTATCGAACAATGTACTTTTTTATTGTTAATTAATCAGCGATTGCTTCTCTGTGACTTATCCTTTACAAAAGGAAATTCAGGTTAACGCGTGTGGATGTATTTTTAATTGCTCGTTTACTGTTTCTATTTCTCTGCTTACCGTGGACTATCACAATTGCGCTAGATCTTTTCTCCGAGCTTGAGCTGTAGGCAATGCAGGTGTAGACGCCACTGTCATGGCTCTAAAACAACATGCAGTCAGTTGAGGAGCTTTTAAAATTACTCAACTGTGAGTTTTTCTCATTAATCAAAACACATTTCATTGACTCAATCATTAATCCTGTGAGAGCATAAGGCAATCCACATGATAATTTGGCTTGCGAGTTAGACAACAAGAAAAGCAGACCTTCGCATTTGATATGGTTAACTTTTTGTTCGTTAGATCCCATAATGCATTGCTTTTCATCATTTCGGCTCCGTTGTAAAGCCATTTGTAACGAATGTTCAACGGTGGGTCGGAATCAGCTTCGCAAAGCAATGAGAAACTTTCTCCATCCATCACATCAGTCTTGTTTTCTGGTCGCTTGATGAAAACAATTTCCGCTGTAAGAAAAAAAATATCGTGATTTTACCCGTGACGCATGTAGATGATCGACCAGATATCTCGTATATAACAATACGAACGTCGAGGTGAGTGGTCTACTGCAATGTCAATGATTTGAGGCCAGAAAGATCTAATAAGTATATCAAAATTATATCTAGTCTTGATAAAACAGTCGCTGCGTTTTGTGCAACAAAATGCTCATGCGCAGTCATTGTGCGTTCCTTTTGTCTGATTACGCACCTCTTCACACGATATTGCGTAATATTGACATGAATATCGTTGAATGAAGGTTAGTGTACCATAGTACTTACCGACTTTAATAAACCTGTCTTTACTGACACTGCCAAACATATTACTCGCAATACAAGCATAGATCCCGCTGTCGTTGTGGGATAGATTATGCACGAGCAAGTCTTGATCATCTTTGAGATCATATTTTGTCGTTTTGTTTATTTCCAACTTTTCTCCTTTGAAAAACCAATCATGTTTTGCTCGCGGAATGGCTTCCGATATACACGAGATCTGACCAGTGTCACCCACAGTAAAATCCTTTGCTTTCAAATCTGATGTGATATCTGGAGGCTTCACTGAAAATACGACAAATAAGGTTTGCTTACTGCGGTTTTTGTTTTGTATTTAACTTTGTAAATCTTCTATGACCTGTTGTTATACGGAGTGAGAAAGGAGCATGTCGTCTTTTGTCAAGGGTGAATCAATAATGGTGGTAATAAAACTCTAAGCCTGAATTAACGGTTTACTCAATATACATCATTTTGAAACAATTATAAAAGGCATTCATTATGTTTCGTTTTAATTCAAAAAAATTCTTGAAATTGGAAAGACTATCTGGAAACACAAAATGGAAAATTTATTGGAAGTGAAATCTATCGTTGCACTGCATATGTAGTTGTGACCAGTTGACAAATGGTTGTGGCATATGTGTACCCCACCTTGAACTTGAAGCGACACTGTCTGATATGCAAAACCAAAAGCATTCTTCGCAACACATTGATACATTCCGTTATCACTGGGTTCAACACTATGAATCGTTAGTGTTCCGTTTTCGATGGTGTAACGGTTGCTATAAACGATATACGTGAAGGTTATAGTCGATTGTATTGATATATAAAGATGGTTTTGCTTTCAAGAACATGACCTACTTATTCCCGTGATAAAAACACGGTTATGTTGACTTAGTTCAATGTCCGCTTTAACTGCATTGCCCTAAATCATGTAAACTACTAGTAAACTGACCATAAACATTCACGTTGCAAAAACTCGCGTGGGTTATTTTTCGCGTGCACTTGCTATTTACATGTAATTAAGTGAAAGTTGATTTCCAGTGCTTTGTAATGTTTAAATTATAAATGGAGATTCGTCTAGCCAACAACGTTTTGTCACATCACGTGTTCTCTCGGTTTGCTTTTCGTGGAAAAAGCTTGCGTGCGTATATTTCTAGGCGTAGACGTCAACTTCAAAAGCCACCTGTGTTGTTATGTTTTATCAAGTGATGTTCCTACTTACCTCACATTGCTCATAGCGGTTGTATTGGCATACCATTGGAGCGTTGGCTCCGGATCACCTTTGGTCAAACAACTCCAAGTATGCCGAGAAAAAATGTTCGGCGTACTGCTGACTATTGTTTTGACAAACGTAGGCGGTTCTGCAAAAGAATTTTAAAGTCATTTTAGCATTTAAACGTTGTCTAACTTAGGCATTTAAAGGCATAAATACATTTCAAAATTAATGAACTGTTTGATTATTGGGAAAAAACATCGTTTAGACGTGTATGCCAATGTGCCTCAAAGGCGTATCTTATGTTTCATCCTATGTGAAATTCAACCGTTAACAAGTTTCTCATGTACCTCTAACGACAACTTTTGTTTCTTCTGACGCAGTTCTCTTGATATTATTTTCGTCAATGGTCACGTGACACGTGTAATTTCCCGCGTTGCGAGACTTCACGTTTTCAATCAACAATACTCTGTTGTATTCCAAAAGATCGACGCCGTCAATTTGATGAAACACTTGGCTCTTTTTACCCTGCAAATCCGTCTTCTCCCAACGATACTTTGGAGTTGGACTGGATGATTTTAAAAGAGACGTTAAAATTAGTTGAATTTTGCTGACCGCCCATTCTACCAATTGTCAAAGGAAAGTGATTTGGCACGAAGATATGGCGTGCTTTTGGATTTGGGCTGGGAAAAACTTAGTTATAATGTTGGAGGTACTTGGTGATCAGACACGATTGAGGACTAGTTGTACCTTTCCATTAGAAATATTGTAGCTTAGTTTCGTAGCGAGTAAAGAAAGTGATGAACTGCGAACTTACTATCCAGCGGCAACACATCTTAATTTTACTGTATCTCCCCGGGCAACTTCTTGGTTTGGGATTTTTTGAACGTCAGGACCAAACGAGGTGATGTTCTCTGGGAAAACAAAAAATCGTTTGTGCATATTGTTTTAACTATATGTATTGTGACCTCCTGGGTTTTTACTTGAAAAAATATATACCTACCTCCTGTAGTTTTGAATCTAAAAACTCCAGACTTTTGAAAGTTAAAGCTTGAGCCGCCTTCGTTAGCTTCGACCAGGCATCTTATGCCATGCTTTTGTTTAATGAATGCTAGATTAGCTTTGGTGACGTGAGAAAAAAACAATCTACCATCTCCCATGACCAATGCGTTCTCGACGTCGGAAAAGAGCCATGTCCCCAAAGCAGTGAGGCCACCCCATTTGTAAATGGCGTACTTGGTGTAGCCATGAGGTGGACAATCTATTGTTAGTTGTTGTCCGACAGTAACATTAAGTGTTTGATCGTTGTCGTCGAAAAAGCTGCCAGCAACTGCAAGGAATGATATCATAGTTTGCAAAGGAATCGAAAAAAACGTAAATTTTGCTTACGGCGGACATTGAGATGCGTGTCAAATTCAAGTGTCATTCATTCTCTTACGTACCCATGAACTCCACTTTAATTTCACGTCCAAAAAACTTTCCTATTCGTGCTGTAACGAACAACTGGTATACTCCTTGCATTGCTATTGATTTTTGTAGGGGTAATAATATGGAACCTACTGGCACCATCGTAATCACGTCGATTTTGCTTCCATTGTGATACCATTGATACTTTGGATCTATTGCCCCCACTACCGTGCTTCGTAAGCCCCTGAAATTGTTCATCAAACCGCGATAATCCGTTGGTTCGTTCGTGAAACGAGGTTCACTTTCGACTAAATGAGAGATAAATAATGTTAAAACTTTGTTCGAGTATTTTTTAGGGATTGATAGAAAACGCGATGTCGATTTTATCATTAAAGATCTTCACAAAACATATCATTTTCATCTCTTAAACACCGTGACATGTTAGGATGTACATAAACTCAATGTGAATAAAACAGTAAAAATTAATATTGTTGATCACAAAACATAACATTTTCATCTCTAAAACACCGTGACGTGTTAGGATGTACATAAACTCAATGTGAATAAAACAGTAAAAAATTAATATTGTTGATCACAAAACATAACATTTTCATTTCTGAAACACCGTGACATGTTAGGATGTACATAAACACAATGTGAATAAAACAGTAAAAAATTAATATTGTTGATCACAAAACATAACATTTTCATCTCTAAAACACCGTGACATGTTAGGATGTACATAAGCTCAATGTGAATAAAACAGTAAAAAATTAATATTGTTGATCACAAAACATAACATTTTCATTTCTGAAACACCGTGACATGTTAGGATGTACATAAACACAATATGAATAAAACAGTAAAAATTAATATTGTTGATCACAAAACATAACATTTTCATCTCTAAAACACCGTGACATGTTAGGATGTACATAAACTCAATGTGAATAAAACAGTAAAAAATTAATATTGTTGATCACAAAACATACATTTTCATCTCTAAAACACCGTGATATGTTAGGATGTACATAAACTCAATGTGAATAAAACAGTAAAACTAATATTGTTGATTTCTATGCTTTTTCGCCATACTTTGACGTGGTCAACCTATGTTGTTTTTCTACTTGTTTAGTATGTAACATATACGTAACATTGACATGTGACGAGTGTAACACATGATATAAACTATTTGTTAAGTTTGTTACATATTCGTGGCATTGACATGTGACACGTATTACACGTGATACACACTATATGTGAAGTGTGTAACATATTCGTGGCATTCCTTCCATATTGTAAGGCTGAGTTTACACTATACCGGATTCGCTCATCACGACATCTTCATTTGCTTTAAAAGGTTAACTGTTCGGAGTAAAAGCTTATTAAGCTGATAGATTTATTCTAATTAATTGTGTTTCTGACGTTGAACAATTTCACAACCTTTTAATAAAAAGAATATTCAACCTGCTTCAATAGCAATCCGGTATAGTGCAAACGGGGCCTAATATTTATGATCCTTTGATTTCAGACTACATATCAGTACTACTATTCCTTACCGGTGTGTATTTTGTAACACAGCAACACAGCCGTGACAATAATAGTCAGTGATTTCATATTTGTTAATGAATTTTTCAGTTCAAGACGATAGAATAAGCAAACGTTGTTGAGAGATAAGCCACAGAGCAACTGACTATGGTATTTGAGCAGTCTTTAGCGATGGTGTATCATACATCAGAAGGATATCCCGTCAGTATTTTTCTTCTAGTGGGTGAGTTTTTTCTGCAGGACTTCCTCAGCTGTCATCAATTCTTGTTAGTTGTGGTTCTTCCGAGCGTTTTTCCTAAAGAAAGAGTGTCCCAGACCTGTCGTTATTAATATTAGGTTAGTTTCAATATACTGCGCTTGAGAAGCAAAATATCAATATTTTTCAAGGTTATTTCAGTAGAGGTAACTTTTAGGATCTTTTCTTTTTGTTTAACTCGGCTTAGAGCATACTTTTCAAGACAGACAACTTTGCTTTAATGTCCTTACAGTCGTCGAAAACATCACGACCTACTGATGATTTCAAAACGCTGTCACACTCGAATTAACCCGATTATTGTTTTGCTTGTTTTGAAATTTTCATATGCACACACTGCGCGCATTAAGTTGTCAAAGTTGCGGGCCTGTCATCGTGCTGTTACCTTGCTATCAGTATGTTCAAGGTGTCGTTCATGGCGTTAAGTCAATGATTACTCCCATAAATAATAAAAGAATAAAATTCCTCACGTATTGCGTATAGAAATGGATGATTAATCGGTGATTAAGAGATAAGAAAAAACGTGCCATTAGTGTATATTGGCAGGCAGACGTTAAATTAAAATAAAGTGTACTTTTTAAACGCAAAGTCGGGTGGGGTCATTGCTTGATGCTAGTTTTGCGTGTCAAAAGTTACGAGTTTTGCCACACACTAGAAATAAATTGTCCACTCACCATGTTGCTGCCACGAATAAAAGGTTTGTCACAGTGTGACGCTCAAACGAGAAGAGAAAGTGATTATCCAAACACCGAGATATTTCAACTCTTTGAAAACCTAGAGCTGTGATTATCCAAACACCGAGATATTTCAACTCTTTGAAAACCTAGAGCTGTGATTATCCAAAAACGGAGATTGTTTAAATTCTTTGAAAACCTACAGCTGATTTTACCAGTTAGGAAGTGAATTTTCTAGAATAAGCTACGTTTGATTGGTTTCGTCATGGTTTTTTTTAACGATCCTTCTGGACTTCCTTGGAACAAACTTTTCTCGCGGAAAGGACAAAATTGCTCATCGAATGGGGCTTAATGCTTTTTTAATCAAAATAGGAATCGGCACTGGATGACCTGGTTGTACGTCGATGTGTGAACATGTGTGTCGATGCGATTGTGTTGTGAGAACCAAACATTTGTAAAATTTGAGGTTTAGGTTAGCTCCGTAGTTTATTACGTGACAAACATACGTCACAGTACAGCGTAAAGCTAACTTCGTAGCTACGTAAGACAACTGCACCCAACCCTTGTCCAGTTTGGTCGATATCTGAGTTGTTCTAACTGTCTCTGCCTTAAATACGACCAAACACTTGAACCCATAATAACTTATGTTTGCGTGCGATAATGTCTGTTTAAGAACACTTACTAATCACACGGTTTGTAATTTTAAAATGTAAACACTGGGATGAAATTGGCTTAGTGTATTATGAATGTATGTAAATCCTAAATGACAGGCCCTCGTTAAAGAAAGAGATGCGAAAACCGCGCGTTGAACTTACAATCATCTTGAAATACGCCTTCTGTTTGAAAAATGGAAAAATGCTAATTTGCCGTATGGCGTCACAAATCAACGCTTTGTAAGATGTAGCGATCATGACAACCGAAGCAATCCTCAAACGTTGAAAATTTTCCATTTGTTTGATCTCGTTGTTGTTTTATTTGTTTTGTTGCAATTTTTTAAACACTTGTACCTGTCTTGCGTCATTTAATTTCGCATTTCTCCTTCAAAAATGTCTTCATGTCACACGAAGTCACCCGAGCGGGCAGTGTGTCACCGAATCGCTTTTTTCGGCGCATTTTTTTCTCCCTAAGTGATAACAAGTTTCGTTTACCTTCTAGTGTCCAATTGCTTTCCGAGAGTGGTCGGATCTTTTCAATGCACAGGTAAGATGCAATAAAATCCCTCTTTATAATTAAGTTGATACAAACGAACAAATAGTTGGTTGGCAGATGGCTTCTGTCTATAGCTTCCACATAGCTCTTGTTTTGTGCACCTTATTTGTGTTAGCCACGTTAAAACGGCGTATGCGTCTGACTTGAGCTTCGAACAGAAATGATTAGAACGTTGTTATAGATGTTTCAAAACAATATATCGGTCTGGTATCGATTCGCTCATTTGAATACGATGAAAAGGCGTTTTTGGTAAATTTGCATATTTTTGAAAACGTCATCTACAGGGCAGACACTTGATTTTGCAGGCTTCCATGAGAGATATTAATTTTTATGAAAAATTTTCACCTCTCAATCGCTATATATACATAACGAATTGCAGATGGAAATTGGCTGTACCATGAAAGATTTGTGATTTTGTGTTTACACGTCTTTCTATTAAATAAACCCTAAAATTAAAATATTAATAGAATGCTGAAGAAGTTTTATCAGTTTGTCAAATGTGAAAATTGGTGTTTTGCTCATATAATTGTAATAGTGTGCATAGTTTTTGTTATTAAATTATATTGAATATAGAGCAGTAAATACCTTGGGTGTGTACCAGAACGCTTGTAGGCTCCAATAGGCCGTTGCTCTCGATTAAAAAAGGATGTCACAATGCAGTTTCGCTATTTTTTCCTATAATATTTAAAATACGACAACATTTTCCTCAAATAATAGACTTACCTACAATGAACGAAACAATTGAAGTTATTTGTAATTGGATATGTTTGCGGATGAAAAGTTCAACGACGTTATTTCAACACTATTTTATTTCGTTGTAAAGTGATACGTTTGTTTATTGGGAGAAACATACTATGTTATTGTTATTGCATAGTATGATTCAGCATGTTCACGTTAGTTTCTGGGAACAATGACACATGCTCTCTAGTTATAGAAATTCTTTTATTTAACACAAATGGTAGAATTCTACGCCCTTGAAGACCTTATATAGTTTGAGGTTAATACTCTATAGCAAAAAGAATCGAATTTTGTTTATGATTTACTGTATAAACAAGCACAACTTACAATGTATAAACTGCTTTCAACATGTGTTGAAAGGATGTCCAAAGACACGGTTGAAAAGCTAATCAAGATTAGTTATAATAATAGCGCAACTAATCACATTTGTTTCTGATTGGTTATGTTGATGTACCGGCCAATCAACAAGCGATTTTTTTAAATCACTGGCGCGACCTTTCGAACCTTGACATAAACACTTAGAACACGATGACAAATGTTCGGTTGAACTGGTTGAACTGTGCTCAGATTGAAAACGAAAGTAATGTACAAAAGTTATGTAAATCTTGTACAGAAGTTGGCATTGCCAATCGGTAAAGAATGATTGTTGCATTCGATAAAATTTGAAGAAGCTCGGTTGTATCGTCTTTCGTCATTGCTGATTTTTTTGTTTTGAGTACAAATCTCAGATGAAAGGTTTTGAAATAATGATTTCTTGTGCGGATCATGCAAAGTTACGAAATATTGTGTTTAGCATGTCCTCTCAAGACTATGAAGTAGCAGTACCAATTAGGACAATAATTAAGTTGTATAATTTCTAATTTGCGACCATTAAATCAGCTGTGTTCCCATTTAGCAAACATTTAGCAAGCTTTAGTCGAACGTAAGCATAAGTAAGCAAAAAATATATTGATTTGAATTGGGAATTTTTAAAATTTCTTATCAGACACCTAATCAAAACCTTTCAGCTTTAAACCCCATTCTATTTTTCTTATTATCTTGTGTGGTTAACGTCTTCTTTCGTGCGGGATGTAAGTCTCGCTACGTTGGCGAGACTGCCTCACCCGCCATCTGTCCACAAGAACTCAAAAGAAAATGCCATTTCTGGCAAGAGCTCAAGCATGTTTCTCCGCCGCGAAAATAACTGCAATTCACAGTCCTGGTTTCCTGTATTAGACGCAGCGCACACTCCTTTCTCTTTAATACGCAAAGAGTCGCTTCATACAAAGAAACTCGAATCTAATTTCTAAACCATCATCGCTATCTTTTTATTTGCTAATTACTAACATTACGCGCTACTATAAATAAACTTCCGCGTCTATTGCGTATTTTACATATCAAGAAGCTATATATGTAAATGTTTTATGATAAATATTTGCTTGAGCGTAAGAATGCCGAAACATGTTTGCTTTCAAAAAATATGTCGTAACAATATCAGTTATTGGTCTACAATAAATATCTAATAAATAAACTATCATGCTGCTGTTAACTATGAAAGCTATTTTTTGTTATACTGACTAGAAACGAGATGGATACAAAATGAGATAAAAACCCTATTTGTACTGATACGCTTGCAAAGTTCTGTTCCATTATATGAATAGGTTTTTTGGTATGCATGGTATGCTAAAACTGCTTGAAATATTTCGTAGTTCATAGTTTATGGTAATTTATTTCTAAGAAAATATTTGTAGGAAAAGCAGCAAACTTTGATGAAGTTTTCGTAAAAATTTTCAAAATTGTGGCGTGAACTATCTATTTTACTTTCCAGTTGCCATGTCAGGGTCGATGTTAATATGATCATGAAAAACCCTCTACGATAAAATTTGCTATTAGTCAAAATGAGTTCGTTTGGTTTTTATTCATTTAACTACAACGACATGTAAGTTGCTTTGTCTTCTTGAAACATTCTTTAAAGTTTCTATGTTTCCTTGGCAGGATTGCGTTTTGATTTTTGACCAGCAATTTCTGTGGAGTAGTTGCGTTCAGTCATAGCATTTCTTTGTTCTCAGTTGATTTCAAACCAATCCAATCTTTTTCTATATATAGGTTTGTAATGGCGGATGACGGTTTTCCTTTTCAAACTGTCGCTTAAGTCCTTTGTGTTATGTGCTATGCATGCAAGATTTTAAGTTCTGGAGCCGGTTTTATGAAGCTCTTAGCAACTTTTTAATTACACTTTTTGTAGTTATATCCCGGTCACAATTCTGAAGAAAAGTCAAAAAGTAGTTGAATTCAACCTCGCAGTTAAGTCAATATGTATAAAAAAAGTAGTTAGCGCATACTGTATTTTTATACAACCAGCCCCCTGATGGTTTTTTTTCAAAGGGGAGGGGTTATGCTTCCCTAACATCTTGAAGAGTAGTTTCTGCCAAATTTCCGATATTCCATTTGGGTCTTCTGCAGAAGGTCTCATTTTCCCATTGTTGTTTTAGATCATTCTTAAATTTTTTATTTATTAATTTTCATGTTTTGAGTTTCAGTTGTGTTTTCTTGTTTTTGTTAGTAATGGTCATTTTAGCCTAACCCCGCATGTGGTTGAATACTTGAATTCCACTCAAATTCCCAAAATCTTTTCGCGGGTCATAAATTATGAAACAGCTGGCGTACATGCATGCATTAATATATTTTCGCCATGCGTAGCGTGAACAGCAGCTGGGTCGCAAATAAGGCGAAGCCAAGGAAAATATGACTAATGGGCATTCGTTTTGTCAAAGAATTAGGTCACTTAGCGTAAAACAACTGTATATAAACAAACATGAATTTTCGTCCATGCAAGACAGCAAATTTCGAAGTTTGGATTTTTTTCTGCTTAATATTTATGTCATTCGTTTATTCAATTATTCAACTGATTACTTCAGAGAGAAAATGGACTTATGCATATTTAAGTAGTATGAAGAGCTTCTTATCAATTGTCGCATTCAACAAAATTTGCCTGCCCTAATAGCTTCGAAGGGGAGGGCAAATCACTTAGGAAGTGCCGAAATAAAGCAATTTATAGCTGTTTGTTGTCATGAAAGGGAGGGGGGCAATTGCTCATGTTGCTTCTCCCTGGCCTACGCCCCTGTTTTATAAAGAAAGGTATGCGTGTGCACTCTCTACGAAAAATAAAGTCCACAATTCTTCTATTTATATTATATCCAACCATTCTTTTGAACAACGTAACTGGCAGATAAAATCGAACTGTTTATTCGTATTATTACGCACTTTTTTCGATTTACGCACGTTATGCTTAACTGTATCGTTAGTCCCAGTTTCTCACTCCAGTCTCGCGATGTTCCATACAAAATCCTTAAGAAAAAACACAGATTATAGCTATGTGGAGTCAACCGAACTGAACATACTTGGTAAACTTCATTTAAGGGTATAATGAAGTGCAGCAACTTGTTATGGCTACTTAGGCGAGTTGACACGGTCGTGTTCTATAATAATTTCATAAAACGTGGAAAAATTTCTTTTCGATTTACAAATTGAACTGCAAAATTACCGAGTTGCTCGTTGAAGCAGTTTAAAAAACAAAAACGCTCTTGTGCTGATCATTAAGTTGTAGCCATTCGACATTCTATATTTTTAGTGTGGCATCTCGCTGATTCGTTTTTTAAGAACAAAAGAGTCCTTTTCCTGTTTTAAAGTGGCTCAACATTTTATTTTTCATCTAGTTCTTCATTCTCTCATTTCCTGTCGTTGTGAAATCTGCTTATCAAAACTAATTTATAAAACAAACACAATAAAACGCATGCGTTGATTGGTCCATGGATGCGTTTGCATTAGCCTGTGCAAACCGATCTGAGCTCAACCAATCAAATTAATCAATGAATCAATGAAAAATTTTCAAATAAATCATGAATACATTTTGAAAGAAAAATTAAAACGCTTGTTTTAAGTTTGTCGGTCGTTTTGCATCATTGTTATTTTATAAAAGAATTTAAAGATGTTTTTCGTGTTTGCACCGGCACATGCAAACCTCAGAGACGTTTGTGAAAACTTTGCATATACCTGTGCAAACACAGTAAACATTTTATTTTCCCCTTTAGTGAAAGAAAATTAGAATATAATTTCTATGTTGTATGTATGCTCAAAGTGGATGGCTCCTTTCGTCGGCACTTGTAATTTTTAAAAACTTCCTCGAATTTTTCTGTAGGATCGTTAGTTCGGGCAAAGACTTGAAATAAACTTCAAATCTTTGAGAGAAGACCCTAGGATCGAGGTACAGTCATTTTTATCATTTCGAATATATTCATTTTTACGAGATAATTTTTGCGACCCTGCAATGTCATTTTAAAACGGCGATGAGTTATACTTCATACCCATCATACTATGAGGAGTCAATTTGTCTCGAACCAGAAAAACATGAATGCACCAGTGATATGCACCGTCTTACCCTCACTTGCGACATGACCATAAGCACAAGATTACCAAAAATCTCCGCTCTTTTTATGCTTGTGCTTATTGCAGTTCATTGCAAGTGAGGATGTTTGTGTGTATGATTGTGTTTATGTTAGAAGTGACGACCAGGCTGCTGCTTGAACAGGAAATCTTTCAAATGCTAATATTTATGCAGAACACTGCAATTATTTTTTCTTAGAACTAGTCTCATTATTTCTAGTAGTAACCACTGATCTGATAATAGACTGGATATAGCTTCTACTGGTAGCAAAAGTGAAGCCTAATTATATATGCAAAATGCACTTCCGGGTACCACAAGAAATACAAATTACTATAGAAATGTATGGCGGATAACGTTTACATACAAGGATTTTCGTGACCTTTTACTAATCTCAAACATCTGTCATGGATAAATCAAGTTATGTTAATCAATTTGACATCAAAATGATACCAATATCTGCAAAATATCGGCGCTCGTGTTCAATTGAAAATTGCGCGTGCAAGAATCGAATTTGCCCCATCGTTGCAAAGGCAAGATAATTCACAGCTCATTTTCCAAGTTCAGAGGCAGTTATGATCTATAATGAGTTTCGATGCTTAAAAAATTCGTTTAGTACCTTTCTTTTATCATTCTTTATTATCTAGACATTGTTTTATGTTACTTTTGCCGTGACTTCATTAGCTGGGTACTGTTGTTGTAAGAACAAGACAAATTTACTAAGCTTTCTTCCTCTCTTTATTCTTATTTTCATTTCTGTTTTTATTTTATAAAAATAATACAATCACCACACCTTGCTGTAGCATTTGTATATAGCCATGAGTAAGTATGGTTGTTATTGACAAAAGTATCCAACATTTTTATCAATTGCAGTCTATACCGTAGCATCAGGAATTGTATTCCTATGTGGTAAACTGCCATCTGAAGTTAAAAGCACCTTTCTGTTTTATTGCATACTTGAATAACAATAGCTGTTGGTTTGAATCAAAGTACTCATGTCTTTTAAAGGCAGAAAAGCAGATTCACTTTAGTAATTTTTTCAACCAACAGCTTAACAAGTAGGGCAGGTGGTTTTCTTTGGCAGCATCTGCCTACAAAATTAGCCATGTATGGTATTGCAATCACTTTAAATTCAGAAACAATGGAAAAGCTGTGTGCACTACTATAATCTTGATAATCATCACAGTATATATTTTGTCTACAAACAGAAGTAATTTGTTTCAAACCAACAGCTATTGTTATATCAACATGAAACAAGGCAGGATGGTGTTTTCAGCTTCTGATGGTAGTTTATTACATGGAAATACAATTTCTGTTGCCGAATCTTTGTATACAATGCAATTGATGCACATGTTATGTCAATAACAACTTTACTCACTCATTGATGAAGACCAGGTCCAAATGTATTAGCAAGGCATGGTGATTAAATTATATCTGCAAAATAAAAACAGAAATGAAAATAAGAATAAAGAGAGGAAGAAAGCTTAGTAAATTTGTCTTTTTCCTATAACAAGAGTACCCACCTAATGAAGTCACGGCAAAAGTAACATAAAACAATGTCTAGATAATAAAGAATGATAAAAGAAAGGTACTAAACGAATTTTTTAAGCATCGAAACTCATTATAGATCATAACTGCCTCTGAACTTGGAAAATGAGCTGTGAATTATCTTGCCTTTGCAACGATGGGTCATATTCGATTCTGCACGCGCAATTTTCAATTGAACACGAGCGCCGATATTTTGCAGATATTGGTATCATTTTGATGTTAAATTGATTAACATAACTTGTTTTATCCATGACAGATGTTTGAGATTAGTAAAAGGTCACGAAATGCCTTAAATATTCGAAAATCCTCGTATGTAAACGTTATCCGCCATACATTTCTATAGTAATTTGAATTTGTATTTCTTGTGGTACCCGGAAGTGCATTTTGCATATATAATTAGGCTGCACTTTTGCTACCTGTAGAAGCTATATCCAGTCTATCATCAGATCAGTGGTAGTAACTTGTAACTGCTTATCATTCGTAGCAATTTTCACGTGCTTTGCAATGGTGATGCACATGCACACGACCTGCCACGCGTATGTCAGTAATATTTGCGTTCAACAGTTGTTGTATTATCTTTTTGTATTCCCATATTGTTCTTCTGATTTTTGTTATTTGTGATGGATGAACTCACTAAAAATCATTTTCAACTTTTGACTGATGACTGTAGAATTTGATGCTGAAGGAAATAGACTGAGTAATCAGCAAAATAATTACAATTGAAAATCATTCGCACGGTTGAACCGTCGAAACATATAGTCGGAAGTCCTTTAATGTCATGATGAGAACATCATTGTGCCACGTGCTCAGCATGCGTTTGCGCGAAACGATCCAACGTGCTGCTAAACAGAATGTATTACAATCTGCTTTTTGAAATGAAGTAAAAAAATTTGGAATAAACTTTTTACAAACGTTCAAGGGAATTGTTAACTGGTTGATATGGCCACCAAATTTAATAATACAATAAGTTCAGACAGCCAAGGCAATAAGTTCAGGCAGCCAACACGCCGTCTTCACGAACGCACAACAATTCTTTCACGTGAACAACGGATGCAAATGGAAGATAAAATGCTTAATAGTTTTCTAATTTTTCATCATTTGTGGGACACGTTCTCCTCGTAAAGACAACGTTAACGGTTAAGAAATTTTTACAAGTTTGTTGTTGCGATGGGCAAAGGAGAGGTGATATTTCAACGAAGCCTAACACGCGTCGCTACCACATCTAAAGACAAAGAGTTTTCAGTCGTGTCCTACAATATACTTTGTGATGATGTATTTGAGAAAAATCCGAACTTGTATTCGTATCTTGCTGTGGATGTAAAATGTCGTGGTCCATTACCAAACGATAGTCCCAGACATACACAACTTATTAAAGAGGTAAGAATCTTCGGCCGGTTGCATTTATTTATGTGAATTGAAAGCGTGTCAAAAATTTTTCATGTTTATAATTATTAACCACGGATGCATCTTTGGCAAAGATTACCGAATTACAAAGTCATAAAATCAGTGATGTCTTCTCTGGGCATCAATACTTCCCCTCCACATAAAAGAAATTTAGAGTATTTACTACGACCCTTTTTAATTTATTCGTTGTGTTCATGGAAGGAGAGACCGGTAACTGTTATTCGTCACCTCCTTGATAGTAATATATGTATATAGTAATATAAAGAAAGGATTTAGCATGTGTACATGCTCTCACAATCGAGATGCGAGTCTCGGACAGTTTTGAGTTTTTGGTTTCTCGCCCGGACACAATAACCCCCAAGTCAACCTAATCCCCATGTGTATGTGTCAATGGTGTTCCACGTTATAATTTATTTTATCATTTTCATGTAAAGAATTACCCAAAGAACACCTAAATGATTAAATTGCTCTTCCGGCGCATAATCTTTTCCTGAATGCCTATTGAAGTTTGCGCATGTTTATTCTGTCATTTCTGTAATGTCAAATCAACGCGTGTAATTCAATCGACTATAACGCATATCCTGTTTCGTCTTCGTTGGCTAGTTTCAATTTTCATACAGTTTGTCAGTTTCATGTTGAATATGATAGGCCAACATGAGAGTTTTGATTGAATCATTACGACAATGAGTTGGAAAAAAAGATTTCTTTAATAATAATATTAGCTCATATCCAAGCTTAAACCGTCTATTAACGCCCAAGGTAACTACATTCTCCTTAACCTTCTTTAATATGTTGCCACTTGACTTCTTTCCAGTCATCCAAGCTTCGTACTTTCTTCCTATGTAATTTAACACCCTCTAAATATACAACTACACATATAAATCATACCAACCAGAACTTAATAATAGGCTTAAAGCCAGCAAGAAACTGTCACTATTTTTATTTCACAGCAACACAATCAACTAATCCGTCCCATTCAATTCACATTTCCGTTCTTCCGTTGAAATGACGTAATAACGCCTCAGTTAGCTTGTATTTTTCTTATTCCTATGTTGGGCTATCATTATATCCTTTGATGAAAGTCGCTTTCCGCCGGACAAATCTCTGTTCACGAGTTCCTTAGTTTCTTGTATTTCGTAATTGGAAAACTTAGAGTTCAAGTCTGGCGGCAGCATATCTTTCTTGTGATCGATCTATCCTCTTTCAGATTGCATATGTTAATTTATGTGTTAAAAATATTTAATTGCTCATCAGTTGAAAAAGGGCGCTTTGCCTGGCAGAATGCACGTGCTTTAAAACAATTGTTTTATGTATTTTATTTCAGTTTGCACATATTTCAAGCCCTAGAAGCTATTTAAGACTTTTGACTAAGGTCCCTAATACTGGAGCATGTCGAGACAAAGGGCTGCATGTGACTTCATTTAACTGAATGTTCCAATTTCTTTACCACATTGCACAATTCCGATTTTATAAATTTCCTGTTTCTCCATCTTAGCTGCATTGGTTAGACGCAGACGTTATCTGTCTTCAAGAGGTCGACCCGTTTTATTTCCCATGCCTGTTACAAGAACTAGCCCCGAAAGGCTACGACGGAAGATTTCAACAGCACACTACACAAGGCGATGGCTTGGCGATATTTTTCAAAACTCGAAAGTTCGAGTTAGTGGATTATAGAAAAGTCGGCTTCAATGAAGTCCTTGGCAAAACAATAGATCTTGATAAATTAGCCAACGGGAACAAGCACAACCAACGATTTGCGCAGTACACTACTCTCCGTGATATTAAATCACAAAAAGAAATGGTTGTAGGTACGAGAATATGTGGATGAACATATTGAGTATATTTTTGCTTTAGTTCCTATAACAAGTGCTCTTGGGTGGGGGACTTGCTCTGGCTGGCTTTGCCGCGCGTTATTTTTCGCTCATCTGTTTTTATTTTTGCTTTTTTAGTAAATGTTCACTTGACATTCAATTTCTGGCGCGAACCAGATGTTCACGCAGCGCAAGCATCCGTCTTTTTCCGACAACTTTACGAGTTATTGCCGAACAAAGCCAAACACAGTACGCCATGGGTTGTCTGCGGTGACTTTAATATGCAACCTCATTTCCCCATATACAGACTGATAAAAAATGGTTGCTTATCAGAGTTGGATGCGAGAAAATTACGATCAGGAGAATATAAATATCCGGAGATAACAGAAAATATCACGGTAAGTTCATAGAGCAAACGTGCATGCATGGACATATTATTAATAATAATAACGTCATCTTCAGAGCGAGCGAACTATGTAATGTCATATGATATAATTTTTTGAAATATTTACCTTGGTGGGAAAATGATCTAATTGCAATTACATTAAGTCATGATGAGTCTGAATTGTACTGAATTTTTCAGAAACTCTAATTGCACATTAAAGTGATAACATCTCTAAGATTTTAAATACCTTTTTAGACGACAAAACACGACAGAGCCTTAGAAAGAGACGAAGATGTACACGAAATGTTATTGAAAGAACTCAAGCATCCATTTAAATCTTCAAGCAGTGCATATAAAGCAGTGCGGGTAGGTTTTCATCTTTAAGTACTGAGGGTGATTTAAGTGTAAATTTGGAAAACAACAATGTCTATTGTGAAATAAGTCATACTTTTCTTCAAGGATATTTTAGACGTAAATTTACATCAAAAACAACGTGTTTATTGTTAAATAAGTCATTTCTTATTTTTATTTGAAATTCTGTAACTTAAAAGTCATCAATAACCTTAGTTCAATTAGTAACTAATAACTTTGGTGTAAATTTTGTCTTTTTTCTTCTTTGCAGGGTTGCGAGCCAAAATTCACTCATTACGAATGTGATGATGTTTTTCCAAGCGTTTTTCATTTCGATAAAATGATCGATACTCTAGATTACATTTGGTTCTCATCTGACCTACTTCGGGCCAACGCTGTTCTGGAAATAGTGGACGAGGAGTTGATTAAACCTTTTTGCGCATGCCCAAACATGCACTTTCCGTCTGATCATTTATCGTTGAAGGCCGTCTTTCAGTTCATTGATAACGACAACGATTCTGCCTACAGCAGTGAAGAGTCATAGTTTTTTTTTGTTATAAATTGGCTCCAAATCGACTTTGTAAATAAGTATTTTGTATTTATTTTATTTATAATAAATGGGTAATATTATAGATATGATGGGTTTATTTTTTCTTTGTTGGTCCGAAATAATGTTTCAGCGTGTAACAAAAGCCTGCTAAGTGCGCGAAAAAGCAATCGACTTTAAAGTAAATCTCTGTTCAACTTTGGCAGTAAAGAAAAGTACAGGGCATAAAACTTTTTGGAGGGGGGGGGGTTGTTCGTTACGCTGTTGACGAGAAGTGCTTCAAGAAAAGCAAGAATGTGGTAGTTGTTAGATTTGGTTGAGTGAAGTATTTTATAGTTGTTGAATATAAGGTTTTCTATAGGAGAGGGGGTTCTGGGAGGTGGAGGGAAATCATTGAGTTATGAGAACTGGTTTTGTAGGGTAGTCAGGAATTAAGCGTTTTCGCACTAAGAGAAATGCTGGCCAACTGAACTAGAAGAGAGTCTGGTTGTATGTTCTCTGACCCGTACAGACAGGCATCTTTGTGTCATGCCGATGTAGGCTTTACCACAGCCAGGGCAAGTTATTTCATATACAAGATTATTGCGAGAAAGTGAAGGAAGTTTGTTCTTGTTATAATAACCCTTTCTCATAATCATGTTTTAACTTTACCCTTCAGATATTTTCTTCCAGTCACTTGGTTGCGAAGGAGCGTTCATGTATGTGGGGACCAGGACTCTCCAAAGTGCATTACACGTATCGTAAACAACCTCACGAACTGTGCTAGCCCCCCGACGATAAGCAAATGCTATAGACTGTGGGCTATCACATGTAGCCAATCTTCTTAATGTGATTGCTAGTCTTTCAGCAGGTCCAACTGATTGCCTCATTTGAGTATCTTGCATACGAAGAGATGGACCAACCAAAGCCAGCAGCTCATCAAATATTTGAGGGCTCATACGAAAATACAGATTAAACTGCTCCTCATCGGTTCATAGTTCTTGAACCAAGTGCAGAAAATCTCCTTATGCTCTCCTTTGCCTGTTTAATTGACGAACCCACCACCTTTTCATTTTATTATTATTTTTCCGTTTTTCAACCTCTTCCAGCTCGTACAAAATGCGAACAAATGCTAGTAACTTAGCATGATGACTAGACGCCATGTTGATAGTCGCAATGTGGTCGCAATGCTCGCTTTTGCATGTGTGTTTCTGACGTTCAAGCGACTAACGCGCGCGCATCAATTCGCTTTAGTAGCGCGACCAAAGCGACTGCACAGCGTGTTTCAGCCTTACAGTTGCATGCGTTCTTTTTCATACAGACATCATGTGAGCCTTCGTTTTCGAACTCTACCTAAGACTGCCGATGTTATCCTTTTCGATGTTATCCGAAAATAATTAATACCACGTGCTTATAAACCTCCAATTACAGTGTTGAGATACGAAATTTCACCTTGCAGTTTTCTGATTGCCTTTCAAAATCCTTCTAAACTGATGTAGCGATGTCTTCAGTTGAATTGCGTTAGTTCTTTCGGAGACTTTTACTTTGCTCATAATCAAATTATGACTTTACTTGGTACGAAAACATTTTTTTAAAACATCATTTTTTTCGAATGCTTAAAATATTTATTCCATTGATATGTGTTCAAGGTTGCTAAAGTTCGATGCATACTGTTGATGAAAACTACTGTTTGTCAGAGCTAATGAAGTAACGTAATATCCTAGTGATGATGTTGGAACGATCCTCAGATGAGGAAATTTAAATATTTTTAGAAAAGCAATCAGAAACCTGCATCATGTATTCTCAATTAACTTGGCTCTCGTAATTCCTTTATTGCCTGTGATTTTTTGAAGATAACAAAATTCAAACTCAAGAGTTTTGCTCAAAACATCACTGTTGCTGTTAGCTGAACTCCCTTTCACTGAATTGCAGCTTTATTTCGCATACACACGTTGCTCTCGACAATTGTATTTGACAATTGTATTGGAGAATGCATAAGAATTTGTATGAAATAAATGTGACTTATGGCTCATCTTAACAGTCACTTTCATGCTGAAGCTGTGAGTTTTGATTGCTCGAAACAAACAAGAACAGACACCAACAACTCAGAACTCAAAATGTTGAGTCAAGTTTTACACAAAAACTGCCAATATTACAAATCGATTTAATCGTGCTAAGATTTCTTTATAGATGTTGTATGTTTGTACTGTACATGTAGGTACTAAGCCAACAGCCTGGTATTCTATCTTACTGTTTTTCTTCATTTACTCTTTTTCAACAATTCGAACCCTGCTCATTTGACTTTTCTTCCATTTGTTGCAAGTATAAAATGCTTTTCTTCGATGGCCACAACTTCACATCCTCTCCTTCCAACAATATCTCGCTGTTGTTCACAAACTCCATTCCTAAATTGATACCTGGCTCTTCTTGAGGACTGTCGTTTTCATCCACATGAAGCATGGCGTGCTTAAGCGCGTATCTATTTGGCTTCTCTAGACACTTCGTAAGCATATCTTTTGGCAAGTCATAGGCGTTTTCGTAGTATTCGGTGCAAGGCTGTCGTGCCTCTTGTATCACGCTGTCTGGCGACTCGTAAATATGTTCTACGTCTGCATTGTTGTGATTCACCTTTCTATTATCGAATACGCCGTCCTTGTTGCCACGGTTATCGCCATCATTCGCATTAACATTGTCAGTCTCATTTGCACTTTGTACGCAATTATCAGTTGTTTCTATTTCTTGATCGTTAGGGATTGCTTCGGTGATACAAAGGTATTCTATGCTTGTAATCACTGATTCTTGCGTTTCAAAAGGCCTGTCATTTTCAGTAGGGTGTTCATGTGATTTGTATTTCTGTAAAACCTTATCCGGCTCCTCGTACAAAATATTTTCTTCCAAAGTGACCTGAACGTTACTGGACACGTGATCTTCATCCGGGATTGTTAGCTCCCCGCTCGAACAACTCGTCCACGAGGACATGCTTTGGAGATCATCGTTGTGATTTTCGGGTCCTGCGTTGTTTACGACACCCACGTAGTTCTTTTTCGTATCAGATTGCGTGTTATCTAATGAATGACGCGATGATGGTAATGTTCGGGAGTCCGACGCGTGGAAAATCACGCAATCATTTGGAAGCAAAATAATCGGGCAGGAAGATTGTGACCACGAGCGTGTGTTTGAGGCCATCTGTTTAACAAATAAGTAAAATTACAATGAGCAAATGCCAGGTGAATGAAATATTTATCTGTAGATTTCATAGCATGGCAATGTCAAAAAACAAAACGACTTTTCACTGAAATACACACAGCAGTGGTTTCAAGTACCGACAGAAGAGTGAAACCTATAAACAAAATTTTTCATCGAAATCTTACCAAATTTTCCTGGAATCCATTTTCGATTACACTAAACTTGTCTCTTGAGTGTAATGTTGAGTCATGCACACGTATACTGCTATATATCGGGTCTACTCTTTCCCTCGTCACGAGATTCTCTGCATAGTGCGGCGGTGGTGTTTCTCTTCCTTCCTGCATGCCATGATTATCTAATGTGAAATAGCAAAGCTATTTGATCTGATTGGTCGCCAAACATGTCTGACTGTTCAATGGAGGAAAATTTGTCACGAGTTTTTTTTGTATTTAGGAATTATCTTTTTTTAGAATTTTAGCTCTGCTAGCTAACTGACAAATTTTCATGTTTGCAGTGAGAATTTTGAAAAACTTCCTTTTTTGGGATTTGAATTTTTCGAGCTTGAAGTTTACATGGACTATCGTGGTCTTTTTATTTTATTAAATCATTAGTTACTGCGTTACATTCGCGGTTAAAATAGGAGTTGGTGAAAATACTGTACATCATTCGCGAACAATTTTCTTTGATTTTAGCAATGTTGTGAATTGTGATTCGTATAAAGACGCGAAAACTTGTTTCGAACTCAAGTGTTGCAAAATTATCACTGTTGAAAAGTGAATGTCTGCTGGTTTTGAATCAACATAACTCGCTAACTCACCATAATTTGACGTTGCAATATTCTCCAACCGCTTTCTGCATACAAGAAATTAAAGATAAATTCACAACTCCTGTATAAACACGAGAAGCGATGGTCATGATTATTTACTGTACGCATGCGCATACCTCAACTTTTCTTTTTGTTTCTTTCGATGTTTGTAAACGAGGAAGAGTATTATACAGAAGACTTCAAATATCGCAAACGCCATGAAAGTGTAAACCAAAATCCAAAATGTTTTTCCTCGTTTGTCTTCATTTTCATTCGCTGTTGTATTATTGGAATTCATTTTATTTTGAGTAAACTGGTTATTCTTTTATATCACGCGTAATTTCTTGTCGACGAGATACGTCATTCAATATGGTCATCTCTTGGTCATTGTTTCTTTAAACACGCTCACCTTTTGAATTGTCTTTGTAAGCCTTAGCTGAGAAAAAAAAGAAATTGTTGGTGTAGTCACAAGTATCAGGCTTTCGTGGGTCGGCTGTTAGCAGCACTTAAACATTTTCTGTGGCTGCGTATGTTTTTTTACACAGTGGCATTAAGTCTTTGAAGTTATGTTTAAAAAAGAAATCTAGGATATATTTTTCAAAGAATATCAAAACGCAGCGGTTCGATGTGCACACCATTGTGCACAAGATGATTTTCATCAATTTTTCAACAGTTATTTAATCCGACATCTACAATCTATAATTTGTTAACTGCTGTTTAATATTACTTTAATAGTCTTTAATAAAACATTTTGGTCAATTTCACTTCTTGGAATTTCAATCAAGTCCGTTGAAATTTTAAGCAAGTGCGTTTGATGGAGCACTCATTGCTCAACACACAAATTTCTATTTTTCATGCTCATGTGTCTATTATCTATTGAACACGTATTAAAGTTGAAATTTGGGAGGTCGTTATTTTAGTTCGCTATCTTTTTATTGCTCAAAGACATTTGGTAGCCCTTGCAGTCGGGATTACTTGTGAAAACCTTGATGAAATTTTTTGATGATGACATTTTTTTCATTTTATTTTTCAGAGAAAACTTGATCGTGCAATATTGGAAGATCAGGAATCATTAATTTGGTATGTGTTTGACTTAAAATTTTTGCAATATGACCTACTCATCTGAGTTTGCGTGCAATCGTGATTATTCTATCGAGTTTTTTTCCAAATAAATGCACTACAGTTTATGGCAACAAAATTCCTTTTACTCAAAGTCTTTAAGCAAATCTTTTTAGAAGTAATATCACAGTCGACTCTTTTGTTTCATTGCCAGCCCACGAATGAACTATATTGATGCGATGTTTTTAAGGCTCTTGAGTCCTCCCTATGTTACTAAGACGACGGGAAGTTTGAAATGCTTACGCGTTTAAGCCCCCATATTATGTAAATGCAATACAATATGTTATTTTAAATGATCTATAATTGAGAAATTTAAATTTGATACGATGAAAATGAGACGACAGAACTTGCTTTCTTGTGACGTTCTCAACTTCGCAGTAAAAATTAAGCATACTTTTGAGACATGCATTTGGTGTTTTTGCGCATTTCTTTCGAAGATTATACACGAGGATACATATAAGGATACACGAAGCTTCACTATTAAAATATTTTTAAGAAGGAGTGTAAGCAAATAATATACTATCTGACAAAAGTAGAAAATTATAGTTTAGAAAAAACATATTTTAATTTCATCCACAATTCAATATTCATATATCATGACAACTTAAATTCTGGAAATCTCATATCAAAAAGTGAAGCGACTCTTTACCTTTAAGAGTGAATATCGTTCTACTTCTTCGATGAGAACTGCTTTTCGAACCTCTCACGTTGCATTATTCTGTGGTCGTTTGGTCTTTATCATTGTCTTATACTTCGAATGACGAAAACTTGATGAACATTCGTGGTATTGATCGCTTGTATTGATAGATAATTAGAACACAACCGCGGAAGTTGTGCTTATAAAGTCAAGATCAAGGCATTCCTATGAAAGACATTTAGGCAGGATGTTACGACACGAAAGCGGTGCTTTTCACTAGCGTACTGTCTGTTCTAATGTTACTTTGTTTTAAAACATGAAACGGAGTTTTCGATGAAGATGTTAGCGCACCGTTGATGAGTGTTCGACTGCCATTAAGTGTCGTGATAGTACACAAGTCGCAACATTTTAGGCAAAAAGTAAACATATAGCAAAAGTGAAACATAGTTACAGCGAGAATTGCGCAACAGAAATTATGAGATCAGTTTTATTGGTAATTGGTAATAACCATTAATAATATTTCGTCCATGTCGCCAGTTTCTTTCATCAAAGTTACATGATTAGAAATATGAATATTTATAAGTAGTGGACGTTTTTCCAAGGCGTGTAAAGGTTCCTGCGATCTTATGATTAAAACAGGATTGATAGGACTGTTTGATGGCTGCCTTTGTGAAATTTCTTCACGCGCATTACTTGAAGGAACTTCTTTGTCGTCATTCAGTCAAAGAGCTTTAAGGTGGTGGCTTTTATATTACCCATTCAGAGGAAAGCGATGACAAACAGTCATTAGTTGTTGGAGTTATGAATATTGCTCTGGGAACTTTTTTGAAAGTGAACCGCTTTTGTATCGAAATATTTCAGATGAAACCAGCTTATTAATGACAAGAAATATATTTCTCGAGACTAATTTTATTCACCAATTGTTTTGCGTTCAAGATATTGTTTTTCTGCTTGTCAAAGGGGATTCCCAATAAGATTTTTTGGGAAAATGATAAAATATCGATTACAACGATTTTCTCAAAGATATTTTATGTCAAACCAGTTTTGCCAGGCCAGTGAAGATCATAGGCGCCAGTCAGTGTTGGCCAGACTCAAACCTAAGTACGCAAAAATGGGTTTGAAAAGTATCATAACAAATTGAGGTGAATATGGATTATAGGGTCGTCGCTATTTCTTATTGTCTGTGGTTACCAAGTTGCTAAATATGTACACACTCTAAAATAACTGTCAAAATTAAATCAGTACTTTACAAAATCAAGTGAACAATTCAGCTAGCAGCATTTTCACTTGTACGTTTCAATTGAATGAAAGCAAATGCAAAGAACGAAATTTTCAAGATGGAAAACTATAGCACTGAAAAACTTCAAACCAATATCCATCAGTGCAAGTATTGGAATCAAAGAATTGCTTCAATATTATAAACTAATACTATGTTTCAGACATGTACTAAAATAGGCATGCCTGCGGTGTTATTCATCTACGTCGCAATGTTATGGTCAAACAATATAAGCTCTCCTCTAATTAGGGTGTTCACATGTGTGAGTTTGAAAAAACTACATTATGTTACATATGTGTATATTACAATAGAATAATGTACAATGTTGTCTAATTCTTTGATTCTTCAGTTTTTGCTTTTGTTTTGGTAAGACTTTGATAGTAGTTCAACTCGTATTGTTGTTCTTTTAACGGGTTTCTTTTTAAACTCTGGTAATTTTCTGGGTCTTCATAGTTATCTGTGAATGAATAAAATGATATAGTATAATTTGCTGTTGGATATATGCTGCTTGACATGTTTATCGCAGAATTTAACTCGCCTGATGAACTTTCTTTGTCGCCCTGGATGCTTTGTTGCCCCGAATCTGTGGTCATTATCACATATGGTGAATAGTCATCTTCTACGATGTAATCTTTTGGCTTCTCAGAGTTTGTCACGAGAACACTGCAATTATAAATGCAATAAGATAAACACTAAACAAAGTAAAGTGGCGTATAAAACAGAGAGTTTGTCGTTGTGAAAGGCACATTTGCGATGGTGAACAGCCAAAAGTTTTTAGAGTTCCGAAAACCAATAAAAGCCCAAAAGTTCTAAAACCCAAGAAATCCATGAAAAGCTCAAGAGTCCTGAAAAGAACTGTTTTATACAGTTAGAGCAGTAATTGAAAAGTTCTGAAAAGAACTATTTTAGATAATTCAGACGCTATGAATTTAGGCAGACAACTCGTCAGATGTCAACGTCTGCCAGCTGTTTAGAGCGGTATAAAAAATGATCAACGTACATTTAACTTTTTTTGGCGACTGCACCATGTCACCATGATTATTACTATATGATGTAGCTATTTATACTTTTCATAAGCTGATTATATTTATTATATTTCAGTGATAGCCACTTCCAGGCAGCATTCCTAGACTACAATAATAGATGGAAAACTTATGATTCATTAGCACTTGAATGATTTTACCAACAACGTAGGTTGGTTACTTACTGGCAACCAATTTTTTACCCATTAAATTTTTACAATGACATGCAGTATAGTGTTGCCTTTATTCCCTGTAACCTATTCACCGTTTAATCTTGGACAATATTCTACACAAATACAAAAATTCCCTCACTTTCCTATCTTTTTCCTCAAAAACAAAATAACAGTTATCAAAGCCACGATAACCATTACAGCAAACGCCAACGTAACGACGAGGGCTACGAAAGATTTGTCGTTTATAAATGATTTTGCTTTTCCTGTACTTTTCATTGTAGTTTTTCTTTGCATTGCTAAAGACAAAGTTGTATAATGTGAGTGCCACGTTCGTGTAACTGCATATGTATAATTAAGAAGTAAAAGATGTTTGCTCTGCACAGGCTTATGCAAACCGAGGAGACCTTTGGGAGAAACTCGAGAGCAGATCAGTGCAAGCCAGAGACCGAAGGTCGAGAGTTCTCACAAACGTCTCTGAGGTTTTTTTTAAGCCAGTGCAAACACGAAAAACATCTTTTATTTCTTTTATAAAATAAAAATAATGCAAAACAGACAAGTTTAAAGTTAACGTTTTAATTTTTCCTCTAAAATGTATACACGATTAATTTGAAAATTCTCTTTTAAGGATTGATTGTTATGATTGATTTGATTGGTTGAGATGTGTTTTGCACAGGCTAATGCAAACACAGCTCTAGACCAATCAGCGCACGCGTTTCTTTGTGTTTATTTTATAATTTATTATCAAAAATGCGTTGATCTGTGCAAACTGCTTCCCTCTGTTCCAAATGTTTTCAACTATTTAAAGCAAGTGCGGTTGTGTAAGCTCTCCAGTGGGGATCTCGTAGTAAAAATTACCAAGTCTGGTCACAACGCACGTTGATCTCACGCATTCTGTATTCACAACCACCAGAATAGTTTTATGCAGGGCTCCTCGACGTCGATAATTGGGGGGGGGGGCAGCAATTAGTCGTATATTCGTAGTCACAGCTCGTACAAAACAATTGATTTCAAATGAAAGTAATCAGGCAAAAAATGCATATATGAATATTTACCCCTGACCCATTATCGACGTTCCAGCTTCCTGGTTTTAAGACATAGCTATGTAGTTATTATGCTGTATATACTTGCATGATGCTTTACAATAAGTAAATATTGAGAAAAAGCCAATGCAAGACGTTCAAGATCAATTCAAATTTTGAGAAGATGGTGGGCATTCCATGTTTTCTGCACAAATGGTCTTGCTGGCTCAGATCTTAACATGGGTTAGCTCACGTTACACCAACGAACATGTTGAAATCCGTTCTTCAGTAAACAAGATGGTTTTTTTTGGATGTGTTTTATGTTAAATGTTGTATAGAAGCTATAGACTTTAAACACAAGATCGTTGTACATACTCTTTATAAAGTGGATTGTTTCACTTCATGGTGCATTACCTTTTTTATCAATTGGAATCAAATATAATTTAACAATCTAACCTTTCACATTAGTAGTTGTTGATATATTTCTTGACGCTCGATATGTGAAAGGTGTTTTGGAAATCACGGAATTCGACGTTTTCTCTGAAATTTTAGGAATTCACTTTTGGTATATTGTAAGGTTTGAACGTGGTGTATAAAGCGTGACATATCATGGAAAATCTATTATCACGGTCATATATATAAGAGTGCATTGTACATCTGTAAAAAACAAAGTATTGCAGTCACCTGACATACCTGATGCCATTTGACAGCAGCGAAATTTATCGATATTGTTCAACTCATTTTTACCATTTCCACGATAGAGACCTGTTATGTAATAACCCACTCTCTTACAAATGGACCAGCCTTTTCTATTAAAATCTGTTAAAGAATGCAGAGGTTTGAATTAATATATTTGTCCTAGTAGCTGCACTTACTAAACGTGCGCAGAAACACTAGAATTTTGTTCTTTTGTGAATATAAAACTTTCTTAAAAACGGTGCTGGATGATAGTCAAAAACAGGCCTTATATCATCCATTTAATTGGAGTGATGAGCTTTTATGAAATATGCTTGAATATTTCAGGCCTAGGTCTGTTCACATTTAAAATATTATTGGTGTACAAGAATAACGAGTTTCCTGCTTTCCTCTAATCAACAGCTTGTTAACCACCATCTTCGTCGTGCAAAAAGATGAAAATCTCTTAAAAAGTCTTTGCATGCCTGTGAAAGTTTATTGTTCCTACACGATCATACATATGAATATAGCCACAACAAAAAAGAAAAAATTGTTTTTGGCATAATTCCATTTTCACCATAATGCAGTTTGGTACAAGAAACACTTGCCTTTTGCTATATTTTCATCATAGCACAACCCATAGCGAAGAGGGTGAGATTCTGGCCTACAGCAACGACCGCGATCAATCGAACTCAACGTTGATCTATTGCTGCGATACAATCCACTTAAAAAGTGCCCACGAGGACACTCGCTCCATTTTCCATTTCTAAATTAGTTTTATGGGCGATCAATGATATGCCATCGTAATTCGTTCTTATCCAAAATGGTAGTAGGAATTGTACCTGTTAAGCGACGTACTCAATTAGCTATCCGGCACACGCCAGGCTCGTTATCGTATGTTTGTGTTGATTCACAGCACCTTGCATCCTCCAAAAGATAAATGGGATCATTTTTTCTTGCAGTGCTACGACGAAATCCGGTGATGAAATGATATTTGTTCTTGCATATGGACCAGCCTCTCGAGTCAAAACTCAACCTCCAGCTAACATTTGCACATTCTCTTGTGCTTGCTAAAAAAGACACAATTGTGTTTGTTTATTTATGTCATAAGAGACCCTCTAAACAATCTTTTATTTACTGACACTTCTCCACTCTCCGTCGTTGTTTCTCAGTGGTACCATTACGAAAAAAGCTACTGAAGGAATACTTTCCGAATACCGCCATCCTTTTCTAGAAACTTACTTCTTCAACAAGAAGTAATCTCTGCATTATATTGTTCCTTCTCGAAGTCAATATAAACCTTCTGTGATCATTCAAATAAGTAGTGCTACACTTGGCAAGTGTACAAAGTCATTCCTTTTCTAAGTCACTGATCTGCAGTTATTGTTCATCTCAGTAGCGCTACCCTTTACACAACTATTCATTCTCTAACAAGACTATCATCCTCAAGACACTTTTTCTATTTCTCTGTCTTTAGAACTCTTTACATAAACAGTCATTGTTTCAACTGAATGAGGTTATGAGATGAACTGATGGATTGTTTTGGCCAGCTTACAGCTGAGAACCGTTTTCCCAATCCCGGCAAACGGAATATTTTACCAAGAACCAATATGCTGTTTGTCAAAGGTTGCACAATTCAGTATTTCGTACAAAAAACTTAGACGAGCTTTCTTCAATAGCCAGCTCATAAACATCGTTCTTTAAGTTAACATCCTCCACGTACCTTTATGCCATGCACCTAAAACTTTTGCTTTCACACACTGGTCGGTTGTGCGATCGGAAGTTGAAGGACATATGAATTGTAATGTAACGATCGTGCCTTTCAACTGAGGTACGGGTTTTAGCCACTAAAGAAAATAAACTCTCATTATACATTATGAAACACACATTGTACACTATGAACCAAATAATCATTATATTTTGCTGCAAGAAATCGTCTGGTTATACACAGTGATGTAGCAGACTCTTTACTTGGGAGGGCACATATTCATATATTCATGTTCTGCTGCATTAAATTCCTTTGAATCCATTGTTTTTAACAGATGCATATATGAATTTGTGCCCCCATTTAACTGGTACGCCATTGCTTTTACGGGGCGAGCCCTGTCGAAAAAAACAGAAAGAAGGTCTTCTGTAAGATCTGCACAAGACTTCACACTTGTTAAAGTTTGTTATTTACATGTGAAGCTTTTGTAAACTTTCCATGGGAAATGGTTAAACAACATGTAAAAATAAAATAAACATACGATTACTGTGAAATTTATGTTCAAGCACTCTATGTAATTTGGATGAAAATGCAATTTGCGACAAACGCTAGTGTTTGTTACTGACCACCACCTATTAGGTGTACATGGTGTACATGACCGTAATCTGTGAAGTTTGATTCGACGTGTATTACTATTAGTAATTTTGGTAATAATTATATGAATTTCACGATGTTTTACATATGTCAGATTATATTCATGTTTTTCTTGAATCGTGCATAATGATTTCAGGGCAAGTGAACTTACTGCATATGTCAACACTCGTGACATCCTTTTACATGGTAAATTTCTAATGCAAATGATCGAAATAATTTTCTATGTATTCACATCGGATCACGTGATCTCACTAGTGATATTTCATGTGAAATTTACGAAAGTGATGTAATTATCACGCACTTTTAAAGTTACGTTATTTTTTTGTGCTCTTAATTCAACGTAGGACGTGTTGAGCCAAGATTGCTCGCTGTCACGGATTATGTCCGGGAACTTCACCAGTGCTCTCTCGAAGCGACAGTTCCTCATTGAATTCCTGTGGGTGTTGAGTGCCGACCGATGTTTTGGATTGTGTGTCATTATATGACCACGCACTTGCAAGCATTTCTCTTCCTTTGGGGGATCTTGAAAACAAAGAAAAATAATCTATATTTGGTAAAAAAAATGGCGGAGCAAACGCAATCTGTTGCTATGATGATTCGATGGTAACTGCATATGGACGTATATTAAACAGCTGCCCTTTGCCTTTAAAAGGAAAAGTAACTATTTATCGCATTAGTCGCAACGTTTTTACAATCAACCTGGATTTCTAGAAAGCATGCGAGTAAATGATTTCATGTAGACGTCATACGCTGAAGAGCTACGCCTCCATACTTATAAAGCAACAATCGATATAGCCGATAGTTTCGTAATAGCTTGTACCGAAGAACACCAGGACCAACGGATTTCTTTTCAAAGTACAATCGCACATTCAAAGTCAGGCAGATCAATCGAGCAGAGTTGATAATCCACCCCACACACTCCTTCCAATAAACGTTGTATATTACGATGAACTCCGTCTCCGACAACACGTTTTGAAATTGCAATGTTTACAAGCATTTAGGAAGATCTTATGTTTTTATCCTAAGCTAGAAAATCGAATGCCTTTCGTAAACTTCCCCCTCCTAATCATGAGGACCACATATAATGGCCCTGATGATTAGGTAATCATTCGTTTATCATTAAGGCATATATGCGTTGGATATCCATAATTCTTGTACAACCTGTAGCTATTGTTGTCAAGCGCTTGTCCGTGTTGGCAACACATCCATATCGAACACCGTCGTTATAGAAAGAAGGATTTTCAAATGTGCACAAACAGGAACCATCTTTTTGACATCGGGAAAATCTGCTGCACACATTTGCATCAATTTTGCAGCCATTGATTCCGACATAAAAGCTGTCGATAGCGTTCCTGTAAACAGCGGTTGTTTGGCCGGTCATGGCAGCAAGACCGAACTGTAGATACCACGAAGTCATGAGAATAGACTGTAGGTGCCAGTTGTTCACTGACATCATTGACTGGTGAAGAAAAATTCAATTGAAACATGTGGTATTGCAGTACATCAGGATGTGCGAGATACTACAGTCCATCACATTTTCATCATTCGCAGAATTCTAGTAATTAGACGTACATTATTTTTTATACAAAGTGTGGAACATCTTACCAACGATCACCAGACTGAGGTACTTTCCTACAATGCAATTCACAATGGGTCAAAATGAATTATATGATTCATTACAGAATTAAAAGAATGTTCTTCATCAACATTTTCAATTCTTCGTCAATATTGACTTGACTGTTTTGAGTATTTCCATTTCCTCTTCTCAAGTTTCATATAAAGGAAGTATTTGTTGGATCGGTTGGCTGTTGCTAGCGTTTTGTAAACTCCTGTTTTCAGTGCTTATTCTTATGACAAGTTTAGACGGTGCTCGAATGACAAATTATGTCTTTCTTTTGTGTTTCAGTTTCGGTTGTTTAAGTAAGGGGCGGTCTTCAGCATGACTCAAGTTGCAGTCTCGTGATTTCAACACTTCAACTTCAGTCTATTCTCGTTCTTTAATATTTATCTAAGCTCAATTATACTCTCTAAGCGAAGGCGTTTCCAGCGTAGATGTTGAGTGTCGACATAGTAATGTCGAAATCTGCTTTCAACGCAACTAAAAGCCGGGCTGCGTGTTAGGGAGAAGCCAAAAGCGTTTACAATAACGTAATCGTAAAGTGATGTGACACAAGATAAGATTAATGAACTCTGTCCCGTACGCCTTCACGCAAGAATCGCGTGGCATCACTGAAATGTATAATGATAATTGTTTCTAAGTACGTACAATTATCATTGGTATTGTAAATGCTACCCAGTTAGTGGTAGCAGTTTCATTTTTACAATTTTTATGACCATTCGTGTATTCTTGAATTGTGTCGGAAAAAGGAGTGCAAATTAAGGAAAAAAATAGGAGTTTTCTACAAAAATTAAATAAATGTCATAGCGCTTCCTCTCTGTCTCTCATTTTTGTAAATTTCACGATGGTGTCTTCTGGTTTACTTTGTTTGTTTGTAATTGCTTGATATTTGATTAATGCTCATGCGAAAGTTTATATATATATTGACAAGGAAAAGTTGTAAATATTCACCGTTTGGGTACCTTTGTATACTAATCCAAAGCGTGTCACCTAATTTAAAGTCTATTAATATCGTATGTAACAAATTGAGTTTTTTCTCCTGCCGTTCTTTTAGAACTTTAACCAATGCTCAAAAGTTGCTTTTAGAAGCAAGTAATGAGCGATCTCAATAATAAATATACACTAAACTTTAATGAAATAATCATTATTGGTCTGTTTAGTTGCATGATTAAAACACTAGACGAGACGTCTTTATCAAACAAACTGTCAAATATATCACTTAATCTGTCAAAAGCTTGTGCTTTCAGCTAACGTCTTAGATTTTGACCATTTTATCGTCAATTGAATTGGTCTTGGGGTAAACATTGCTTATAGTCGACGAAAAATTTCCGTTTTTATTTACGCACTACACCGACGAATTTATTGAGACCATTGTGGTTGTCTCAATTTGTCGTCGACGTCGTATCGTAACACCTTTAAGCAGAGAACATCTAAGAGTTTCTTTTTGCGGAAGACTTAACTAACAATTATGGCTAACAGCAAGAGAAACTTTTGAAATGTCTAGAGAGAGAGTGTGTCTGAAAAGATGATGAAAAAATGGAGAGGAGTTGATGATTTAAGAGAAGCACTTCAACAGAGGATCCACGATTTCATTCAGGGCGGGCTGTGTCATTTGAGCATTTGACATAAGGAATTTTCATCAACAAACTGTTATCATAAATGAGCTCAGCTATAATGAATGCGCTCATGCTCTTGGACAGTCTTTGATCGCAAACAGGAAAGTTGCGAAAAAAAATGCTGATATGGTGTGTACCGTGTGTAGTGTGTACTAACTATTGAAGACTGGTTTGAATGAGAAAATAATGCCCATGTCATCAATAACATAGACATAAAGAATTGTCACTAGGCGAAATTGAAAAAGAAGAAGAAGAAGAAGATAAAGAAGAAGATAAAGAAGAAAAAGACCTATGCTTATTATTTCTTGCCTCTTTAAAATGATTAGTAAATTGTTCCTGCGAAATCTTACCCATGTACTCATCAAACTGCAAATTTTTGCTCAAGTGCTTCCAACTGAATGGGAGGTAATCAATTCAATGTGTCCAAGTAGAGTTGTTACCAAATACGCAAGCCAGCAAAAGTTAAACTAAACAGGAAAGTAGGAACTGGGCGAATGAAGGATGCTGGAACAATGTTTAATTCGGGGGATTGGATCCTCGTGCAAAGTTAGTGAAGTATTTTTGAAAACTAAAATAATTTCTTGTCAACTGACTATAAAATGGCCGTTTAAAGCCCTCTATAGGATCTGAAAGTATGAAATCTTCTCAAGATTTTGCATCTCAATTAACCCCTCCTCCCCTTCTCTAATATTAAAAGCGTTCCTGCGTCCCTAAAACTAAATATTTTAATTTTAGCAAGCGCATTTGATAAACTAAAAAAACCAAAGACGAAAATTCGCTTGACAAAGCTTCTATTTAAAGTATTTTTGATGAGGTAGTAGTGAAATTGTTATTGACGTCTCCTCTAGGGCATGGGTGGGCAACATACGGCCCGCGGGCCGGGTCCGGCCCCTGAAGAGATTTTGACTGGCCCGCCGACTGTATCCGACCATTGAATTCTGAATATTATTCATGTGATAATCCGGCCCACCAATAACTTCATTTTCCTAAATCTGGCCCGCCGACTGGAGAAGTTGCCCACCCTGCTCTAGGGACTGCCAAACAATGCAATAAAGAACGGAAGCTAAATAAAAATGCATTCCGTGTTTTATAAAGTAAAGCAATTGCACAAAGCAGGGGGTTCGAGTTTCCACTTAGAAGTAACTTCAAGTTAATCATACAATACAAGTTGTATTGTTGTAACAACACATATATCCAATCATTTATCACATTTAGGCCAAAATATTGCCCGCCATCTTGGTGATATTTGCTGACTGGGCGATAATTTTTGTCTAAGTGACAATTTTCCAAATCGGGTGGTAAACAGACAATCATTTGGTCGTGTTATCTTACATAATGATTGAATTACGTTTCCTCGGTGATTTGTCCTTTAATCTTTTCTAACATCTTTTATAAAAGCCTTTGGAAAACTGGTGCAACATTATGAAATGTTCATATACTGCGGCGAGTGAATGATTTGTCAGAACTACAACGAACGTAGCTACAAAGACTTAGCTCGAAAGAAATGGTATGGCGTCGAACTTGGACGATCGGGCATGTCCGCGGTTTTTGGACGGATTCCACAAGAACATTCTGCCATGGGATCGTTTCAATCGATGGATTACATGCTTCTGTGTGGTCACATTTGATCTCGAGTTGGGCCAAGCGATGGAGGTAGAGGAAGAACAGAAAAATATCTTTTTAATGTAGGAACGTTGAAGTTTTCTCGTGTACTGATAAACTCCAGCTGTGCTACTTGAAGAACAACCCTCAAACTGCCTTTTTTTTTGCATCTGCTTGCTAGTGCACGACTGTTTTGGATATTTTCCACTCTCCGATGTTGAGAAGACCTTGTATTGGATGTTCAATTTCCGTTTTTATGATAGCTTTTGTCAATAGTCATTTTGACAATTCTCTCGTTTTCTGCTTTTAATAGTTGATATATCCACGATTTGTTCGCCTATCTGAGAAAGAGGTAAAGTTTTAGGGAGTTGTTTTATGTAATTAATGTCTTAGAATGGAACAGCATGGATAGTGCTTACTTTTACTCCTTTTTGTGCAGAAAATGAGCATATGTTATTCAGCATTTCCTGATTCCAATTCAGGCAAGTTTTCTTGTCAATAAAGATGATGAAGTCTGGCACCTGTATTGAAAAGCTTCTGTTTTCTTTTTAGGATGTATGGGGGATACCCAGTTTCACTTTCGAATGAGATCAGAATCTGGTTCATGCAAGAGTAAAAGCTGTTGTCGATCCAATGAGAATGGCTTGCCATTTGGTTACAAAGTATGATAAAGTAACAGTGTTTGTATACACAAAGAGCATATTCACGAGAAACCTTCAAAATAACTGCATGTTGCACACATTCACGTCAGCATCATTTTGTCCAATAAATTTACATTAAAGTCAGCCGAAGGAAGAGAAGTCAAAGTTTGCATTGTTTCCACCACATATTTTCCCCAGCTCTAAGTGTTGTTGAACAAATAGGATGCTGACACAGTGAACCATTTGTTTTCCCTAGAGTGACTTTGGGCATTATTATGGCTTTGTGTATTTTCGTCAAGTAAAGGATCCTTCCATACCACGAGGCTATTTCCAAAAGGTTAGATCAGTATGATGCGCATTTGATTGCCTTGCTCATTGTCATGGTTACAAAGATGGAGACATTGTCGTGCCTTAATATTTTCTAATTCAGTATGATTATTTTTTCAGTCCATAGTGCTTATCACCAGGTTGCCTTATGTCAACTTTTTTTCAGCTGTGGTAAGTGTGTCAAACTCAACTTCCCAATGTCTGTAGATAGGGAAATTACTATTATCATCCATTGCTTATTGTTAACATACACCCAAGTAATCCATTGCTTACTAATCTCTAACTGTTTACAATTCAATGAAACAGTTTTATTCGAAATAATCTGTTGTATGTTTTAAAATTGGTTTTGATGAAGGCATGCATACTACATTATGCTAAGCATGATAATGCTTCTACATTATTTATGCTCTACAAGTACGTTCTTGGGAGGGATTTGAATGTTTTTTAAACTTGAATTTGTTGTGATATATGGAACATATAGAATAGAAGCTTTGTTTTTAATCAAGGTAAAACTTGTTGCTCCTGGATATTTCAACATACTTGAGCTGGCACTTGAAGCATCATGTAATGACATTGATCATTGGCCCTACCCTGTTCCTGGTCAAACGCTTTCACTACCAATCATGGGCTCCTTGATACAGGTTTCTTTGTAAAACTTGTGGATTATACTGCGTACTTGTGGTAACCAACCGAAATTTGTTTAGTAATTGAAGTCTGTCTTTGTACTTCTTCTAGGTTCATTTACCGTCAGGAAAAGACAAACCTGGAACAATTCTCTCACCTAGTTCAAGTCTTGAAAACACAAATGCCATTGTAAGTTGAAACAAATTAAATGCTTAAATTTTTTGTGTCAAACATCCTCAAACTTTGTATATCATTTCGTTCTCATATTGATGTCACTTGCTGACTTTAATGACAACCAATGTGAGATTTATTTTAAAGATTGAGTTTTTTGTGTGACAAATTCATTGAAGACAACATGTGGGTTTAAATGCTTTATTTTTTCACAATTGTACTGTACTTATATTTCTACTGTAATGCATTTGCAGCACACATAGTTCAAAGTTTGAAACAGGTCTACATTAGTGAACTGTATTTTTCTTGATGAATGCCATAATGCCCTTATTTTTTTGTGACATAAATTGAATGTCACTTTGCGCATAGAAATGCTACAATGTAATAATTTCTGAACTGAATCTTAGTACCATGTCTATTTAGCCAGCTCCTCCAATCCAGATTTCAATTCCTTTACTTAAAGAAACAGATATGTATAGGTAAAATTTTATAAATTGTGATTGGTTGTTTACTCTCTTGAAATATCTCCACCATGAAATATGATGCAGGTCATGGCAATATTGTGAAGATTTTATTTGTAAGTATTTTCAAAACTATAGGTGCATCTCTCCTGTTTTGAACAGCATCCATTTGCTCTGGGAACTTGTTTTATTGAACGAGGTTTGGCGCTCTTTGCATTTATTTACTTTCCATTTAGATAATTTAAATTATTCGTTATTCCGTTGTTCACAATGAATGAATGAAAAATGATATGTTGAAGTAGAGTTGCAAAGTACATTTTCGAGACATGCATCTTGACAGTAGTCGTGTGCCTCTGAATTAGGGAAAAGTCAGTTCGGAAACTTCAAAATTATCTTTTGCGCTGTCGTAAAATAAATGACTTGATTAAATCTAGCATGCGTAATTAAGTATTAAACATCGAATAGACCTTAAATAGTAATACATTAGTAACAGAATTTAAATCAATGAATCACATGTTGACAATTTTTCTTCCGTCCAGCCTAAATTCAAAGGCCTGTAAACCGGTAATCTGTTGTTCTCTGGTACTAATCTTGCTATACTACGTATTTTCCAATTGTACTTAGATAAATTCTGTTTTTGGATTGCAATAGTGCGATTTTTAGTCGATCGTTTTTTGCGTTTTTTCAGCCGATTGTTGTCATGGCTCCTTCATCTCTCTGTTCGGACGTTGTCCAGACTTTGATAACGTATGATGAATTTAAATATTAATTCGGTTTGAATTTTTGTTAGTCTTTTCATTTCCTAGCTGTGTCGTATTTCTGGTGACCATTATGTGTAGTCTACTTTAACTTAGTTTTTGTTTGTTTGAATCTTGAGTGTCTTGAATTTTTGAGTGTCTTGAATCTTGCAACCCACAACTAATACATTCAATCACAATTATATGTTTTCTTTTAGCTTGATCCATCCACTGCATTTCAACTCGATTTCCGCCCATTTTTACAATACATGATAGTGAATTCAAAGAATACACAACAAAAACGCACTCTCCGTAAGGAAAAAAATGTGTTTCTTATTCGTGAATATACAAAATCCCATCTACGTACCTACGTAATATTCGATCATGTACTTTTTCACCTTTAGTCCACCAGTTATAATTGGAGTGACCAATCCATTTTTTGCTAAAACCTTACAACATTGGCCTCATATCTTACGAATAGGAGCAATGAATGACTTAGGTAAGACTTCAATGGTAGTTTTAATGGGAGCAATGAATAACTTAGGTAAGACTTTAATGGTAGTTTTAATGGGAGCAATGAATAACTTAGGTAAGACTTCATTGGTAGTTTGAATGGGAGCAATGAATAACTTAGGTAAGACTTTAATGGTAATTTTAATGGGAGCAATGAATAACTTAGGTAAGACTTCAATGGTAGTTTAAATGGGAGCAATGAATGACTTAGGTAAGACTTCAATGGTAGTTTAAATGGGAGCAATGAATAACTTAGGTAAGACTTCGATGGTAGTTTAAATGGGAGCAATGAATAACTTAGGTAAGACTTCAATGGTAGTTTAAATGGGAGCGATCAATAACTTAGGTAAGACTTTAATGGTAGTTTTAATGGGAGCAATGAATAACTTAGGTAAGACTTCAATGGTAGTTTAAATGGGAGCGATGAATAACTTAGGTAAGACTTCGATCGTAATTTAAATGGGAGCGATGAATAACTTAGGTAAGACTTCGATGGTAGTTTAAATGGGAGCAATGAATAACTTAGGTAAGACTTCAATGGTAGTTTTAATGGGAGCAATGAATAACTTAGGTAAGACTTCAGTGGTAGTTTTAATGGGAGCAATGAATAACTTAGGTAAGACTTCAATGGTAGTTTTAATGGGAGCGATGAATAACTTAGGTAAGACTTTCATGGTAGTTTTAGTGGGAGCAATGAATAACTTAGGTAAGACTTCAATGGTAGTTTTAATGGGAGCAATGAATAACTTAGGTAAGACTTCAATGGTAGTTTTAATGGGAGCAATGAATAACTTAGGTAAGACTTCAATGGTAGTTTTAATGGGAGCAATGAATAACTTAGGTAAGACTTCATTGGTAGTTTAAATGGGAGCAATGAATAACTTAGGTAAGACTTTAATGGTAATTTTAATGGGAGCAATGAATAACTTAGGTAAGACTTCCATGGTAGTTATAATGGAAGCAATGAATAACTTAGGTAACACTTCAATGGTAGTTTAAATGGTAGCGATGAATAACTTAGGTAAGACTTCAGTGGTAGTTTTAATGGGAGCAATGAATAACTTAGGTAAGACTTCAATGGTAGTTTTAATGGGAGCAATGAATAACTTAGGTAAGACTTCATGGTAGTTTTAATGGGAGCAATGAATAACTTAGGTAAGACTTCAATGGTAGTTTTAATGGGAGCAATGAATAACTTAGGTAAGACTTCAATGGTAGTTTTAATGGGAGCAATGAATAACTTAGGTAAGACTTCAATGGTAGTTTAAATGGGAGCAATGAATAACTTAGGTAAGACTTCGATGGTAGTTTAAATGGGAGCAATGAATAACTTAGGTAAGACTTCAATGGTAGTTTAAATGGGAGCGATCAATAACTTAGGTAAGACTTTAATGGTAGTTTTAATGGGAGCAATGAATAACTTAGGTAAGACTTCAATGGTAGTTTAAATGGGAGCGATGAATAACTTAGGTAAGACTTCGATCGTAATTTAAATGGGAGCGATGAATAACTTAGGTAAGACTTCGATGGTAGTTTAAATGGGAGCAATGAATAACTTAGGTAAGACTTCAATGGTAGTTTTAATGGGAGCAATGAATAACTTAGGTAAGACTTCAGTGGTAGTTTTAATGGGAGCAATGAATAACTTAGGTAAGACTTCAATGGTAGTTTTAATGGGAGCGATGAATAACTTAGGTAAGACTTTCATGGTAGTTTTAGTGGGAGCAATGAATAACTTAGGTAAGACTTCAATGGTAGTTTTAATGGGAGCAATGAATAACTTAGGTAAGACTTCAATGGTAGTTTTAATGGGAGCAATGAATAACTTAGGTAAGACTTCAATGGTAGTTTTAATGGGAGCAATGAATGACTTAGGTAAGACTTCAATGGTAGTTTTAATGGGAGCAATGAATAACTTAGGTAAGACTTCATTGGTAGTTTAAATGGGAGCAATGAATAACTTAGGTAAGACTTTAATGGTAATTTTAATGGGAGCAATGAATAACTTAGGTAAGACTTCAATGGTAGTTATAATGGAAGCAATGAATAACTTAGGTAACACTTCAATGGTAGTTTAAATGGGAGCGATGAATAACTTAGGTAAGACTTCGATCGTAATTTAAATGGGAGCGATGAATAACTTAGGTAAGACTTCAATGGTAGTTTAAATGGGAGCAATGAATAACTTAGGTAAGACTTCAATGGTAGTTTTAATGGGAGCAATGAATAACTTAGGTAAGACTTCAATGGTAGTTTTAATGGGAGCAATGAATAACTTAGGTAAGACTTCAATGGTAGTTTTAATGGGAGCAATGAATAACTTAGGTAAGACTTCATTGGTAGTTTAAATGGGAGCAATGAATAACTTAGGTAAGACTTTAATGGTAATTTTAATGGGAGCAATGAATAACTTAGGTAAGACTTCAATGGTAGTTTAAATGGGAGCAATGAATGACTTAGGTAAGACTTCAATGGTAGTTTAAATGGGAGCAATGAATAACTTAGGTAAGACTTCGATGGTAGTTTAAATGGGAGCAATGAATAACTTAGGTAAGACTTCAATGGTAGTTTAAATGGGAGCGATCAATAACTTAGGTAAGACTTTAATGGTAGTTTTAATGGGAGCAATGAATAACTTAGGTAAGACTTCAATGGTAGTTTAAATGGGAGCGATGAATAACTTAGGTAAGACTCGATCGTAATTTAAATGGGAGCGATGAATAACTTAGGTAAGACTTCGATGGTAGTTTAAATGGGAGCAATGAATAACTTAGGTAAGACTTCAATGGTAGTTTTAATGGGAGCAATGAATAACTTAGGTAAGACTTCAGTGGTAGTTTTAATGGGAGCAATGAATAACTTAGGTAAGACTTCAATGGTAGTTTTAATGGGAGCGATGAATAACTTAGGTAAGACTTTCATGGTAGTTTTAATGGGAGCAATGAATAACTTAGGTAAGACTTCAATGGTAGTTTTAATGGGAGCAATGAATAACTTAGGTAAGACTTCAATGGTAGTTTTAATTGGAGCAATGAATAACTTAGGTAAGACTTCAATGGTAGTTTTAATGGGAGCAATGAATAACTTAGGTAAGACTTCATTGGTAGTTTAAATGGGAGCAATGAATAACTTAGGTAAGACTTTAATGGTAATTTTAATGGGAGCAATGAATAACTTAGGTAAGACTTCCATGGTAGTTATAATGGAAGCAATGAATAACTTAGGTAACACTTCAATGGTAGTTTAAATGGGAGCGATGAATAACTTAGGTAAGACTTCGATCGTAATTTAAATGGGAGCGATGAATAACTTAGGTAAGACTTCAATGGTAGTTTAAATGGGAGCAATGAATAACTTAGGTAAGACTTCAATGGTAGTTTTAATGGGAGCAATGAATAACTTAGGTAAGACTTCAGTGGTAGTTTTAATGGGAGCAATGAATAACTTAGGTAAGACTTCAATGGTAGTTTTAATGGGAGCGATGAATAACTTAGGTAAGACTTTCATGGTAGTTTTAATGGGAGCAATGAATAACTTAGGTAAGACTTCAATGGTAGTTTTAATGGGAGCAATGAATAACTTAGGTAAGACTTCAATGGTAGTTTTAATGGGAGCAATGAATAACTTAGGTAAGACTTCAATGGTAGTTTTAATGGGAGCAATGAATAACTTAGGTAAGACTTCAATGGTAGTTTTAATGGGAGCAATGAATAACTTAGGTAAGACTTCAATGGTACTTTTAATGCTAGCAATGAATAACTTAGGTAAGACTTCAATGGTTTTTTAAATGGGAGCAATGAATAACTTAGGTAAGACTTCAATGGTAGTTTTAATGGGTGCGATGAATAACTTAGGTAAGACTTCGATGCTAGTTTAAATAGGAGCGATGAATAACTTAGGTAAGACTTCAATAGTAGTTTAAATGGGAGCGATGAATAACTTAGGTAATGCTTTAATGGTAGTTTTAATGGGAGCAATGAATAACTTAGGTAAGACTTCGATGATAGTTTAAATGGGAGCAATGAATAACTTAGGTAAGACTTCGATGGTAGTTTAAATGGGAGCAATGAATAACTTAGGTAAGACTTCAATGGTAGTTTTAATGGGAGCAATGAATGATTTAGGTAAGACTTCAATGGTAATTTTAATGGGAGCAATGAATAACTTAGGTAAGACTTCAATGGTAGTTTTAATGGGAGCAATGAATAATTTAGGTAAGACTTCAATGGTAGTTTTAATGGGAGCAATGAATAACTTAGGTAAGACTTCAATGGTAATTTTAATGGGAGCAATGAATAACTTAGGTAAGACTTCAATGGTAATTTTAATGGGAGCAATGAATAACTTAGGTAAGACTTCAATTGTAGTTTTAATGGGAGCAATGAATAACTTAGGTAAGACTTCAATGGTAGTTTTAATGGGAGCAATGAATAACTTAGGTAAGACTTCAATGGTAGTTTTAATGGGAGCAATGAATAATTTAGGTAAGACTTCAATGGTAGTTTTAATGGGAGCAATGAATAACTTAGGTAAGACTTCAATGGTAATTTTAATGGGAGCAATGAATAACTTAGGTAAGACTTCAATGGTAGTTTTACGTTTGAGTTTACTCGATGGACGGAATACTATATCAAGTTGTTAAACCCAAACTCACCTCGAGGGACCTTCCATTTTTTAACGTCCTACGCATATCCTGACGAGACATAATATTATCGTCAATTCTAGCTTCATTTGAGCTATTACATGAACCTTTTCCTCTATGGTGATTGTTTAGATTAAGGGTGCCGTATACACGTATGTTTATATTGAAGAAAAAACGAAGGTGTTTTTCCTTTTGTTTTGGCCTACTTTTCACATGCAAACAATTTGTTGAACCATTTCTCAAATCTAATTTGAAAGCAACTAAGCTGTTTCATTATTTTATGCGTACACTTTGTAATTTGTATATTTCCTTTTTTAGTTATTGGTGGCCGGCCTTCTCCTCTAGGGAACGAGAAAAGATCTTTCGAGGCAAAGCCAGGTATTTCAATATACCATAAGATGGATTGCGCTCAACTTATTTCATGAATAGTTTAAAATCACCATGCATCCGCGTTGGACCGCATCTTGTTTCCAAGATTTTGTCCAGCGTGTATCACGTGCATAACATTGGTTCAAATTTTTAGGTATTTACACCCGTTATAAACAGTATCTACAGAGAGATAAATTGTTCATCAAAGCTATAAAAAGGGTATTGCGTTTTATGGTGTTGTGTTTCTATAAAATTGATCTGAAATTAGTTTGGAGAGTTTCGTTGTGTAAGGTATAATTGATTGTCACCCTCACATCTGCTATATGGCTGCAAAATCTCCTTGATCTTGTGTTTACGTTATGCTTTCGTAGTCGTATATTTGTCACCTTACTGTGGTGAAATTCTCAAAATCATTAAATTCAATTCGCCGACGTTAGAGAGCAAGTGAAATACGAATGTTATTTTAACTGTTTAGGGAGGGCAGAAGAAACGACCTGCAGAAGCTCAGGTACGATAAATTTGTACTACGTAGATACGAGTTTTTGTTCTATAGTCATATATTGCAGTCAACAATTTGCCCGGAAACTAAAACGAAACAGTATAAATGATACTCACGTGACATTTTTACTTTACGTATTACGTCTGGTTTGTCGATACACTGGCCGAAATGTCGTGCATACAATGGTTCATGGCAAACTGCATTAACATTTGAATTTTACAGATGTTTTTATTAACAGTATTTAGACTATTCAGGTCGTGTGTCGTCTTTCTCTGCAGTTTTCTGGGGTTTTTCATTATTTCCTGTATTTCGTGGATGTTGTGTTCATAAATTAAAGCTGTGTGTGTTGATAGGTCACACGGCGTGGTCCTTGAAGGTCACGACAACTAGAAAGCACTATGTGCCTTTTTAACTTAATTATCTTTAAAATATTCGCCCCTTTGATACCATGTGGGGCGTCATCGATCATTATTAATTACGATGTTATATAAAAAAATTTTCTTAATTGTAAACACACGTAGGAGAACGGAGATCTCCTATATCTGCGTTGCGTATATATGGCATATGTATAAGGATACCATTTAGAGTTGGTTTTGTTAAAAATAATGCCTTTTTATTTCCACTTTAAGGAAGGCGACAAAGTCGAGTTTAATTCATGCACTTCGTGAAGTTGATCTGATCAAAAAATTTTTGTATTACAGAATGCTATTTTGAGAAAGCACATGAGGGAACTCACGCAAAGTTTCATTATACCATTGGTAAAAATCCTATTTTTCCAAATACATTTGAGATTATCCGCCATAGCTAGCTACATCCTTAATGGTAGTTCTTGAAAGGCAGAATGCATGCATACGTAATCCAGGATTACGTAAGAGGATTGCTGGCGATTGCGGCTGCTTCGAATTAAAGATTTACAAGCTTTTAAAATTTGAGATTCAAAATGTTTGATTTTGTTTCGTTTAGGAACGTTACGCTGCTAGTTTGATGCCTTTACAAAGAAGTATTTCTCCGTGGAAGGTACCATACATATTCATATGTGTACATACAGTTTACATGCTTGGTATCCCATACATATTCATATGTGTACATACAGTTACATGCTTGGTATCCCCATACATATTTATCAGTGTACATGCAGTATTACGTTCTTGACTTTCATTAGTGTTATTGAAGTCTCGAAATTTGGTCTCGCCCATATGCTGTGTGGCAGGTTCCCCTATGATTTTCAATTTTCAATGAGCCAAGTGTCCAAAATTTGTCTTGTACTTTTTGGTTCTTTAATCGGCCAACTCCCGTATTTTAGTCATGCCAAGTATAAAGTCACGTAACCGTGTAAAAACCGTGCATAACCCTGTGTAAAAATCTCCGCAATTTTTCACGTACCCAATGGGAAATCTTCCAGTGCACGAAACTTCACTATGTTGCGGTTTTTTGTCACTGCATGACATGCGCTAAAATTTTCTACATATCTTTGACAGCTACCCCCAAAACTTAAGTCTTTCGATGCCGAAGAGTTTTTGAAAACAGTTGAACATTCTGGTCCCCAACTTACGACTGGATTAAAAGGAGACTGGAAAGGACTTTACAGGTGAAAATATACTTACATGATTGCGTTAATATCTTTGTGTTACTTGCATTTCGTTATCATTACCCTTGTTCGTTCATTGCTTTGTTCCAATCGTATTTTTTACATTCTTTAATTTTAATGACTTTGATTTTTTTTCAAGACGCTTTTTCAGGTCAGCCAACTTCGAAGGATGGTTTCGAAACAGACAACACCAAATTCAGCAGAAGTTACTCTTACTCCATTTGGAAGCGTTGGCCGTTGCTGTATGTACATATATGTTTCACTTTGATTCCAATCATTTTTCATTCACAGAGATACACTTACGACACATAGACTTACACAAAGTAACTTAACTGAATCTTAAGTGTTATAGTTATAATTGCCATGTATAAAATTCCTTCAATTTAATGGTAACCTAGATGATCAATACGTACTATCACTTACCGTCTATAGACTTGTACAGTCTTCTCATCTTTCCCAAAGTGATCAACATGTAAAAAATTAGGAACCGGCTTTATTGATGTTTCAAAATAAAGAAATTCTTTAACATTGTGTTCAGTAATACGCCAACATGGCGGCTATGACGACTAGTGAAAACCCTCAATGCTATCATTCATATGCATTCGTGAAATACTTATTTACGCGTTTTCAGGATATGTCGTCATGGATGACCGCGAAAAATGAGGTCGAAATTGTGGATTTTATCCTCAAAACACGAGAAAAAATGGTTCGTATACCTAATAACTGTCACAATTGAATGATGAAAGTTCGTATAGCTGATAAGTTTAAACATATATCTATACATGAACGGCATCATGTAAGTTTCCCGATTTAAACATACGTATATGATGATTTGCATTTGTTGTGTTTATGCTCTCGCCTGTGTTTCGTCCCCTGTGCACGAAACATTCAGCAAGACCATCGAAAATGCCTCCAATGTCAACCATTTTACCTTGCAGAAAAGTGCTAGGCATTTCGAAACCCAAGTCACAGACGATGTTTTGAAAAAGCTATGTCTTCAGATGGAACAAGTGTTGGATACCTTACCACAAGATCTTCAACACATTCTACGAAAGGGTTGAACTTCATTTGGTGCAAGAAAGTTGTGGGCACCCAACCGGTGAAGGGAAAGAAAAGATCCGGTCTTAGGAAGGGACGGCCGCACAAAGTTGCCATTCTAAGCTCTTTCCAAAATTTTTTTGCAAGCAATTGCTTAAATTTCTTTGAGAGAGAATGCGGATTTCCATGTCAAAAGTCAGTCGGGAAATCTATGCGACAACGAAGCAAGCTTCGGGGAAAGAGAATGTACAAATTTTATTGGAATAAATTGGATATATTGTACAATGCTGTGCTATTCAATGTTCATGTGATACATAATAAAAGGCGTTGTTTTGTTCTGGTGGGTAATTTTTATTTCATTTTATTGCGAAATAATGACGACGATTTTCTTATAGTCTGAGCATTGCATTTGCAGCCGGATCCATTTTTTGTCATAAATTAAAATATGTTTCTAAACTTAAACCAATGAGTTCTTTCGTACATGTCGCAACAATCGTACCCAATCGTACTTGATTTCTCACGTGCCACTGTCATCTCTGACCAATCAAAAGTCGTGTATTTTAAGAAATGGTATCCACGTGCTGTAATACTTTACTTCTCAATCTCCCTCAACTTCGAGGAAGAAGAAAGTCAGTTTGGTAAATTTGAACAGCTATTGCAGTATATTTAAACATGAAGTTAACAAAAAACTTGTGTCAAGTGAAGTAAACACGTTCATATGAGGGACAGAGACAGAACGCACTACATGAGCGGTTAAAAACTTCAATGATGAACAATCGACACGCTTGAGGACTAAATTCGTAAACAATCAACGTTAGTACCATACACCACATGGATTATCAATTTGAAAGTAAGTGTACTTTTTATCTATCAGTACATAGTTATGCAAGCTTAAATTCATATTTGTCTAAAGCAAATATGCTTTTTCACGTTGTCAACGTGGGCAAAGTCGAAAAGAGTCGAACTCGAGAGCTGAATTCGCCTAATGGCTGAAGTCTCAAATATTCGGAACTTGTTTATAAATATACCAGGCTATACGACTGTTATATAGTCATGTTTACATTGCTTGACAGCACATTGCTTAACAATTCGGAATTGTCTTGTTTATGTCAATTTGAAATTTTTAGAAGAGCTCGTGTGGTGCGTTAAATATGATTTCCTTGTTGTATTAAATGACCATTCAAATATTGTACGAAGCTTTGAGTTTTTTTGGAATCCCAAGATAAGAGGAAATTATTAGCTTCTATGCATACGTGAACAGAGCAGTACGAATACCGCAATTCCTTCCTGGGCTAAACAGGAAAACATGTCAATTCAATCACTAGTCAATCATATCGTGCGATTCTCAAAGCAAGTTTAAGCCATACGTTTACCGAATCAATAGTTTCATAGTTTTATTTCTTTATTAAAATATTTACATTTTATGGCATAAAATCTATATGATATAATCTTTGAACTAAAAACTTCCCTTCAGCGATAGCAATCTTTCAAACTCCCTCAACGACTTTAAGGTTTCTTCGTTTTCGTCGAGAAAATGTCCAGAAGGGTTAAAATTAGTTTGAAGTGATGGTTCTTGTTTAAACTGTGAATAGCCTGTGGATAAAATAGGTGCAGTGTTTCCCGTAGATGTTAACAAAGACGCCGAGGGTACCGTTTGATAACTAGTTTGGTCCTCGGTAATTTGTTGGTCGCTCATCAAAATACTGTTTAGTAACAGCGAGGCCAATGGTCCACCGTTGTCCACACTGTATGGTGTTGTATTCGCATACGTTCCATTAGAATGCAATGTTTGGTTGTAAGTTTGCGCCATGCTGTAGCTTGTTATAGGCCCTGGCATCTCGTTCTTATAACAGTTAAGATAGTTCTGCTGTGATATACATGGCAGCTCAGAACATGGAACATAATGATCCGAAGTCGGGATAGGCATGTTGAAATTGTTCTGATTTTGATCATAGAAACTGCATGAAGCATCCGAAATATTGTCCATGCTTCCAAACGTGTTTCCTACATACTCCGATCCATCACACCCTTCCTTTCTTGTGAACGTGTTCTCTTTGCCTCCTGCAAGCATTTTCCCCAAAGGCATGTCGTCATTGTCGGGATCTACTTTTCCCGGAAGTAACAGATCGCCGTTTTTGCCTTTATCGATCATATCAATTAGCGGATTTTCGGTGAAATCAATTTCTGTAAAATCCTCCTGACGTACAACTTCGGATTGTTTTTGTTTGAGGCAATCGTATTTCACAAAACGATATACAGCTTTACGCCTCGGTACCTACAAGCAGAAGAATATGTTAAATAGATCGTTTACACAAGCCACTTGTCTGCATGAATGAAACTGGGAGTGGGTGTCAGAGTTCAAATTTTCTCCTCGTAATCAACAGGGGGCTGTACATTATTTTAAGTGCAATGTTTTTGCATGCTGAATTAGGATCGTGCTGCGATGGTGAAGTGATGAAAAGATCGCATCGTTGAACTAACCTTTGCCAGGAGTTTCTTTTTGTAATAATATCGCATAGCACGTCCCAATTTTATTTTGTCCATACGAGGCCGGCCTTTCACTATTCCCCACAACTTCGCGATCTCGCCTTGGTCCTTAAGAACAAATTCACCACGTTCTCTGTTTAACCATGAAATCGAGGAGCAATGCTCTTCACCGTCTAGTAGTTGTAAGAGAAATTCCCACAAGTAGATAGTTGTCCTTGGTCGAACTGTTGGCATTGTAGAAGTTTGTTTTGAATTACGCTTCTTCGGGTTTCTAAAAGAGAAATCTTTGTAAACGACTTGCGTGTAATGGTAACTAGTTGGCTGGTTATCTTTTAAAATTCGTAAACATAGCGCTGTGCAACATGTGTTTTTGGTTTGCATTATTCAGGAAAGATTTGTAATTTAATTGTTTGATGAACCTCTAAGATAGTAATTCACAACATTTCCAATAATAAATTCTGTGTAACAGCAGCATGAGAACGGCAAAAGTACCAGTAAGTATATAAGACATTGACAACATAACGTCTGTTGTACATATCAACATTACCAAGACCAGTACATTTTTAATAGCCAGTGATTCGGACCTTTTTTGTAAAAACGTAGTACTCAGTATCTTCCGTATATTTATATGGCAGTTCTTGCTTACAAGGTAAGGTTTTTATGGTGGCTTCGTGACGAGTAGGTGTAATTATTTGCTAGTGCACTGCCAACATTGAACTTACGCTGTTAAATTTTTCCATGTCGATTGCAGTTACCAACAGCTCAATTTCGCGCACAACTGTTTTTGTCTTAGAATGTTCCTTAGTTGTCGAAACATAACAGCAATTTGCTTCACTTAAAGCGATTAAGCGATTCCTGTCAATTGTTGAAAACCGCAGCTATATTGAAATTTGAAGCGTTTTGCTCCTGGATTCGATGATCGAATCCCCGGGAAGAATTGCACTCTTGTAATTCATACAGGCGAATATTGTCAACAATGTAGCGATCGACATACGAGCGTGAGAATATGTGCGTACATGCGATAGAATTTAATGGCTTATTTCAAGTTAAGCGAAGTGCCTGTGGACATTGAGACGAAATTTACATGCGTACTTTATCATACAACGCAATTGAATGATTCAATAATCCTTTGTTGCAAGCATCTAATATATTATAAAGCATAGAATACATTCGCGATAAATAGGTTTATATCTACGTAAATATATTCAACAGAGAAGAAAATAACGAGAGAAATTACAAGTATAATAAGTAAGATATGATATCTCTAGACATTACTGGATTCTTCCATTCAACCGATCGCTACTAATGTAAACACGTAATAGCATTTTTGAAATATTCTTTATAATTTAGAACACCAGAGCTACTTACTTCCGTTTTGAGGGAGTTGAGTGGAGAAACAGCTCGTACGTGTGTAAAACGATTCTGAAGCAGCAGCGAATGTTCGCCTAATAAGTTTTCCCATATTGCCTGCCATTTGAATTAGTCTGTTATATAAATGTTCGAGAAAAAAGGGCTTGGTCGTAATTGACCCCCGCAGTATGTATTACGTCGACGGCGGCTCACAGACGTCATTGTATTTAAACATTGCACAATACAGAAACTCAAAACGAAATATTATCAGTTCTTCTTTGTTAACTGGCTAAGTAAGGAATAAGTTTCATTTTTATGTAATTTATGTGAGTTTTCTGCTTATTTCTGTGCGGTATTAATGTCGGTTTTATCTTTAATCGCGATAGAAGACAGCAATGCTTTGCATGTTGACGTGTACAAGCCGATTGTGCAACTCGTTAAACGCCGTATGACGTTCGTAAACTTGATGATTTAAATGGATTAATTGTTCGGCTTGTACTCGGGTACTTGTAATAACACGAGCTTGAGTCGTTGGTTGACGTCAATCGACGACTAATATGGCATCTTCCGATGAAAAGAATAAGTATCAAAGAGTGATTATTCGCGATCCCATCGCTTATTTTAATAAAGAAACAGTAATTATTGTATGATTTGTACAAAGGAAAAATGTTATCTGAAGTATATTCGATGTATATTAATGTAAATTATGATACGTGTGAAGCATCTTCGATTTTTGTGGCAGCTGGCGTGCTATAAATATATTTCTTGTTTAAAAATGTATTGTTTTGTCGTACATTATACTAAGTACATCACGTGCGATTATTGTAATTCGCTAATTTTGCTCTCCATTCCGTGATACTAGATAACATTCAATAAAATCTTTTATAAATTATATAATGTGACTGATTTAAAGTACACGCGCCAGTAATTCCAAGAAAATGGGGACGAAATTTGTTGCGAAATATCCTGAAAGGGCTTGGGTTGGTCAAAATAATAAACGCATTAGCTTTTTATGAATTTCAATATTATCTTACACTCTTTTGTGTATCTTAATTTTGACTTCAAACTCATTGGTTGTGAATTTAACTGTGAATTTAGTCGTTGTGAATTTCCGAAGAAGAAAATAGCACAATTAAAATTTGTTTTAAGATCTTTTTTATCTATGTACATCCTACGGTACGCTGAAGTTTATGATTGAATTAGAAAAGTGAAAAGTAAAATGTGCTGTTAGCTTTCGAAACATCGTGAAATCAATTCATCAGCCTGTGTTGTTCGTCTAGATCGACCGTTAGTATTGATAAATTTGTATGGGCTAATTGGAAGGGTTTTCCCTGAGTTACAGTTTAATATATCGTGCACTTTCCTCGAACATCTAAAGGCGTGTGCTCTTTTTTCATTACAAATCGTCGCTATTATTTTTAAGTCGTTCCAAATCAGTTTTTGCGTCTTAACAAAATGATAAGACTTGTAATTTCTATTTTATCAATCATAATAAACCTACCTAGACCAATTTCTTGTGCTTTGGTTGTCGAGTTAATGGAAACAACGTTAAAGCATCAAAAACTTACCAGTTTGCAGGGCAAGAGACTTTCTAATTTTCTTATATTGTAGAAATTTTAGAAACTTCGTCTCGTTCTTCACGTCCAGTAATCTATTTCGTAATTTCTCACTATGGTCTTTCCTTGGTGTAAATGCTTGACACAAACTAAGATTGTCACTTTATGTCTACAACATGGTTCTTAGGAGTAGATCACCTGACTTTTGAAAGTAATCGTATCCTGTTCTGATTTCAACTTAAAAAAACAACGAATTCCTTCAATTGCATCCTCTTCCGACTCCGTAATATTTCATATGCACACATTGTAAAATTGAGTCGCTCTGCAGCGTGGGGTGTATTCGAAACAGATTTTCGGTTTATTTCCCATTATAGTTGACTAATAAGGATGTATTCTACGTCCTAATTGAATTGAATTACTTGACACTTGGCACAATTGTGCAGGTATAGCTAAAGTATATAGAATATTGCACTAGTCAAACATATTGACAACATGTTGTTTGGAGTATTTTCGCATTCGGATTGTTTGACATATATGGCTACGAATTATACTGTTGCTCATGTTTCGTTGGCATTTATATTCATTTTTCCAAACTTTACTGATAATTCTATTTATGCTTTCACTAAACGGTAGACCATCTAGGTTTCCTGTTTAGTTTGAATTTCGCGGTGTATTAATTTTCACCCCGGTCTCCATGTGAGTGTGTCACATGGAAACGTGAATTGGAAGAGCACTCGCAAATTTGTAAATAATTCTTATTCACAATGATACTGCGTGTGTTATATCACGCTGATGTGAAGTCTTCGTTTCTATTTTGGTTCTGATTTATGTCGTTGTTCAGGAGTGTTCCACATCCATCGATGATCGTGTTGTTGCATTTCGCAATATTTGTGAAACCATGGACACCCATGGATTCGCTCGTAAACCGATTTCCAAATATGGAAAGTTGCTATTTCCGGTTTTGCACAAACTGAAGATATCCGTATAATTTATTCGTATTGTAAAAAGTAAGTGGCCTCCGCCAACTGCTATTTCGCAATAACATTAGGTGGCAAAACAAAATTTTTTCAATGATAAAGTACTAAAATTAGCGACTTAAAATTTAATGAATTAATGCAATAGATGAAACAAGTCAATTTTACTTAAACAATATTACCTTTAATTTAATATTATATTTGCATCTGGTGTCCCAAAAAAAACCGTAACCCGCACAAATACTTATGTATGCATTAAATTGAAATCTGCGTAAGACAATAGTTAATAGCTCTTTTTTCCGCCCGGTTAGATGTATTCATACGCTTGTCCATGTAATGTTCGACGTTCGTTGCAACTTATGGAAAATATGATCAAGTTTGTGTGGCTATTATAACTCAGTTGATGTCGCTTTGCCTTGACAAAGCATTTGCGTAATAAATTTGCGTAATAAATTTGCGATGAAAATCAGTCTATGTCAGGAGTTTTAAGTTTTAACGTGTTTTGCTTTTACTAATACTGCACAAACCCTAACAAATCCCTGAGGCACAGAACTGTCAAGGTCATTAAACAGTTTTGAATGCTAGTAATATTAATGTGCATGATAGCTTTAGCGTATACATAATAATTCATGTGGGTTTCGTTTTTTTCCGGTGACACTCTGTAGTCTGTATGTACATGATAGAATAATATTTCAATTTAATCACCATTTAATAGTAAAAGTGCAGTCTAGCGTACGCTCTACAGTGCTTGCACTTGTGTGGTGAATAGTGATCTCTATAAGAAGTAGTTTTATATCAATTGCACTCGTGCAATACAAATGTTTTCGGGTGTGTGCGATGTGAACCAATTCAGTTGGCAAAACATCGGCTGCAAACAAATATTGCGTAATGGCCTCGTACGTCTATTGTGACTAGAGCAACGCCCACGTGCATGACCGCTTTTTATTTCACTATTGATGGGGAAGTAGATTTATAGACTCCTCGCTGAAATTGGGTTGCTGTGTTGTATTTGATTTCTCTGCAGCTGGAATCATTGAGCCCACGTAGGTCCAATGACTAGTCGTTGTTTTTGAAAGCAGCAATACTCTTTCGGTTGTTATTGTGACTGTGCTGACTCCCGTTTAGGAAGAAACGACCCGAGCTGCTTTATATTTAACGAATTTTGGTTTACTTAAATTGACGTTTTGACCAGAATATGTGTTTTCAAACGTGCTCAATCAATGTGGTCATATAAATTTAACGTTGCTCGAACAAACTTTCCTTAAACTTGGTTAAGATTGAAGATGTCCAAACGTCTATCATACACTAAAAATAAGTAGTTCCGATGTGAATTGACATTTGAGCATCTATGAATCTGTGATCAGGTATTAATTCACTGCCATATTGCAAGTCACGAGAGTTTTCTTGAAGGTTATCGTGCATGTTATTTCTCCATTGCAGTTGAATCCAATATTAGCTTCGAAAGTCCCATAGTGAAATCTTGAGCCCTTCATCAATCCTTTTATATTATAAAGAGACTCTTTGTTTTCTCTCTCTAAATGCTTCCTAATTGTTTTCTTGATCATTGAATCATTCATGTAGACTTTCCATCTGCATCTTTAGATTGACAACGATTAAACCTGGAGATTTAATATTAAAAGTCTCTGTGCATTAAACTTTCATTTTCAAAAACGCAGTCCATGTTTTCTTGTGCTGAGTCCGGAAAGTCAACATCGATAATGTCCGCTTTAATATCTTCCATATATTTCGCACTGTTTTCATTTCCTGATTCTGTACTCTCCGATGACGAGCTGCTGTTTTCCCTTGCATCATATACATTAGTGAAAACGGTCTGTTCGTCTTTTACAGCTACTATATCACGACATGCGATCGAGGCATCACCAGTATTTGAATCTTCTTCAATTGATGATAAATCGTCTGTTCCTCCACTCCCCATATTTTCCCAGGTGTTGCTCTCAACTGGTTGCTCAGATGTTTCGGATTCAAGTTCGTTTTCTACATTGAGGTCGTCGCTCTTTTTTTCCACTTCATACGGTAGTGAAAGAAATTGGTACACTCCTTTCTGTCCTTTGATCTGTTAAAACAAGGCAAATGAAATACACTTTTAACCAAGGTCAGGTTAAAACGATTAAAAGTCGTTTGACTGTTCTCCTCCCTGAGGCAGGCACTTCTTTTGTAAGTTGTTTCCTAAGTGCTAATTTTTGTTCAAAGAAGACAAAGTCGTCTTTAGCGGTGAAAATATTTTACAACTAGTACATTTTTGAGGATATTTGAGGATATTTGATATTATTGCAACTAAAGCTTACAGCCTTATCAGAAAGGAGCAGACTGAAGCATTTTTATGGAAACTATATCTACCTTTCTCAATATATTCGTCTTGTAATAGTATCTTAAAGCTCGTAGAAGTTTTTTATCGTCCATAGTTGGCCTATTTTTCGCAGTTCCCCACAGTTTCGCAATCTCTTTGACATTTTTCATTCGAAACTCCTTAATCTCCTGGTTTGTCCATGAAATAAGCGATTGGCATTCATGATCTTGTAGTAAACTGTATAGAAACTCCCATAGATATACTGTGTATTTTCCACTCTGCCAAGGCTTTCGTACCTTTGCTGGAACAGAAAAAGGAATTTTGAGCAATCTATTGAAGATCAACTTGTTTAGCAAGCGGGGTAGAATTGTATTAAATGTGCTTTCATAAAATTAATACTGGGCATTTCGCCAAGACGATTGCTAAACATTTAATATATTATGCATCATAACTAACTGGGCATAGTTGGCTGTAATTTATGAATTCTAATTTACCTTCGATTCATTATTAATTTTCACAAGTTATTTTGAGTGTTTTGTGTTTAATTTTAGCATCACTGCTAAGCTCCGAATCTCGTTTGTTGTTGTTTTTTTAAACAAGTCAATTTTTAGTCAAGCAGTCAATAACTACAATTAGGCATATTAGGAGAATTTGAATAGTTTGGAACACTTAATAAATAAAAAATCTTAAATCAAAGTTTAAAGCAATTTTTAATATTGAACACTGAAGTTAATGAGAGATAAGCAAACTGCATGCTGCTTGAAGTGAAACATGTAATGACCTGAAAACTTTAAACTGTGAAATATGTTGTAAACTGTATGCAGCATGCACTGTAACATGCTGTAAATTGAATTCTGCTTGTAGTGAAACATGTTGTGAACTTGTATGCAGCATGTAGACTGATGCAGTGAAACATGTAATGACCTGTAAGCTTTAAGCTGTGAAACATGTTGTAAACTGTATGCTGCATGCAGTGTAACATGCTGTAAACTGAATTCTGCTTGAAGTGAATCATGTTGTAAACTTGTATGTGCATGCAAACTGATGCGTGGAAACGTGTTGTACAATGCAAGTTTCTAGCAGTGAAACAAACTATAAACTGTATGCTGAAAAAATCCAGTAAACTGTATGCTACATGCAATGACAAATGCTGTAATCTGAAAGCTCTTAGTAGTGAAAGATGCTGTAAACTATATACTGCATGCAGTGAAACGTGTTGTACACAGCAAGTTTCTAGCAGTGAAACAAGCTATAAACTGTATGCTGTAAAACATACTGTAAACTTTATGCTACATGCAGTGAAACATGTTCTAGAATATAAGCTTCAATCAGTGAAATCCAACTGTAAGCTACAAAACATACTGTGAGGTAAGCTTTAAGCAAGTGAAGCATGCTGTAAACTGTATGCTACATGCAATGACGCATATTGTAGACTGTGAGCTTCAAGCAGTGAAACCCAACTGTAAACTATGCTACATGCTATAAAACATATTGTAATATAAGCTGTAAGAAGCAGAACATGCTGTAAAGTGTATAGAAACTCCCATAGGTATACTGTAAACTTTGCACTCTGCCAGGGCTTTCGTACCTTCGCTGGAACAGAAAAAGCATTTTTGAGCAATCTATTGAAAATTAAATTTTTTAGCAAGCAAGGGTGAATTTTATTAAATGTGCTTTCAAAAAATGAATACTGGTCATTTCGCCAAGACGACTGCAAAATATTTAATAATGTAATGCATCTCAACTAACTGGGCATAGCTTGCATAGTTGGCTGTAATTTGTGTGATCTAATTTTATTTTCGATTCATTATTAATTTTCACAAGTTATTTTGAATATTTTGTGTTTAATTTTGGTGTCACTGCAAAGCTCCGAGGCTCATTGTTGCTTTTTTTCCAACAGGTCAATTTTTAGTCTAGCAGTCATTAACAAGGTACATTAGGCATATTTGGAGTATTCGAATTGTTTGGAACAATCTTAAATCTTAAATCAAAGTTTAAAGCAATTTTTAATATTGAACACTGAAGTTAATGAGAGATAAGCAAACTGCATGCTGCTTGAAGTGAAACATGTAATGACCTGAAAACTTTAAGCTGTGAAACATGTTGCAAACTGTATGCAGCATGCAATGTAACATGCTGTAAATTGAATTCTGCTTGTAGTGAAACATGTTGTGAACTTGTATGCTGCATGTAGACTGATGCAGTAAAACATGCATATTAAACTATAAGCTTCAAACAGTGAAACAAACTATAAACTGGTGTAAAACATACTGTAAACTGTATGCTACATGCAATGAAATATGTTGTAAACTGTTTGCATTGTGCAGTGAAACATGTTGTAAACTGTATGCTTTGTGCAGTGAAACATGTTGTAAACTGTATGCTTTATGCAGTGAAACATGTTGTAAACTGTATGCTCTGTTCAGTTAAACATGTTGTAAACTATATGCTTTTTGCAGTGAAACATGTTGTAAACTGTATGCTCTGTGTGGTAAAACATGTTGTAAACTATATGTTCTGTTCAGTGAAACATGTTGTAAACTGTATGCTTTTGCAGTGAAACATGTTGTAAACTGTATGCTCTGTGCAGTGAAACATGTTGTAAGCTGTATGCTCTGTTCAGTGAAACATGTTGTAAATTGTATGCTCTGTGCAGTGAAACATGTTGTAAACTGTATGCTCTGTTCAGTGAAACATGTTGTAAACTGTATGCTCTGTTCAGTGAAACTTGTTGTAAACTGTATGCTCTGTGTAGTGAAACATGTAGTAAACTCTATGCTCTGTTCAGTGAAACTTGTTGTAAACTGTATGCTCTGTGTAGTGAAACATGTTGTAAACTGTATGCTCTGTTCAGTGAAACTTGTTGTAAACTGTATGTTCTGTGTAGTAAAACATGTTGTAAACTGTATTCTCTGTTCAGTGAAACATGTTGTAAACTGTATGCTCTGTTCAGTGAAACATGTTGTAAACTATATGCTCTTTGCAGTGAAACATGTTGTAAACTGTATGTTCTGTTCAGTGAAACTTGTTGTAAACTGTATGCTCTGTGTAGTGAGACATGTTGTAAACTGTGTGCTCTGTTCAGTGAAACATATTGTAAACTGTATGCTTTGTGCAGTGAAACATGTTGTAAACTGTATGTTCTGTTCAGTGAAACTTGTTGTAAACTGTATGCTCTGTGTAGTGAGACATGTTGTAAACTGTATGCTCTGTTCAGTGAAACATGTTGTAAACTGTATGCTTTGTGCAGTGAAACATGTTGTAAACTGTATGCTCTGTTCAGTGAAACTTGTTGTAAACTGTATGCTCTGTGTAGTGAAACATGTTGTAAATCGTATGCTCTGTTCAGTGAAACTTGTTGTAAACTGTATGCTCTGTGTAGTGAGACATGTTGTAAACTGTATGCTCTGTTCAGTGAAACATGTTGTAAACTGTATGCTCTGTGTAGTGAAACATGTTGTAAATCATATGCTCTGTTCAGTGAAACTTGTTGTAAACTGTATGCTCTGTTCAGTGAAACATGTTGTAAACTGTATGCTCTGTGTAGTGAAACATGTAGTAAACTGTATGCTCTGTTCAGTGAAACATGTTGTAAACTTTATGCTCTGTGTAGTGAAACATGTTGTAAACTGTATGCTCTGTGTAGTGAAACATGTTGTAAACTGTATGCTCTGCTCAGTGAAACATGTTAACTATATCCTCTTTGCAGTGAAACATGTTGTAAATTGTATGCTCTGTGCAGTGAAACATGTTGTAAACTGTATGCTCTGTTCAGTGAAACTTGTTGTAAACTGTATGCTCTGTGTAGTGAAACATGTTGTAAACTGTGTGGTACATGCATTGAGCAATGCTACTTGTAAATTGTATGCTAGCATTATACATGGAAAACACGTTCATTTGCCAAGCAATAAGTGGAAAGTGACGAAGTTTGTTGTTCGTTTTCAGGTCCATGTCTAGTTAAAAGTTGAATTAAGGCGTTTCTTTTGAGAATTTTGATATAAGAAATGAGAACAGACAAAGTTGTTCAACCAAAGTTGATTTCATCCCAACCCAGATAACGTCAAAACGAACAATGTCTTCCCAAAAAATGGTTGATGTAATTTTATACGATATCGAAGATGCCAAACTCGAAGGAAAGAAAGCTTTTCCAACAAGACTGAAACCTTTGGAATTGAATCCGGGTTTTACGAATAACATAAAATTTGAAACAAAAAATCAAGGTTGGCCAAAGATGATAAAACATTAACGCACTTGGACATTCAATAAAAAAACCCTAGACGTTTTGAAGAAGCACCAAGAAATCAAACAAAAACAAAGATGACTTGTCTGACTTTAAAACGAACGAGAAATCATTAGTGATGGAAAGGAAAAAGGGTTAGTTTCTTAGTTGTTTGTTTTCAATAGTCTTTATGTATGAAGACCTCAATAACAATACAGACATAAAGCAACATCTAAGACATACCCTTTAGCAATGCATTGTTATTTCTAAAAACGCTATCATTGTACAGTTATTGCCAAAATCAAATTCTCCCATGGCTCATGAAGGAGTATGCATCGCAAGCGATATTGCAGTTTTGACGTCGATAAATGATGGAGTTGTTGTTTAACGACGAAATTCTGTTTAAAGGAGGTGAAACTACATGCAAACGCGACTATTAATGCGGTGACATTAAATTTCTAGATGGTGGCTTATGTAAGAAAAATAGCAGTAACGTTTTTTGTGACTTTGGGAAGCAGTTGTGGAGGCAGCATTTATTCTCAAATCCAATTGTTTCGTCCAGCGACGCTAAATTATATTCAAATAAAAAAGGTAAAATTTGAAGATTAGAAGAATTTTTATTCTTTCACAAGCAAGTATAAGTGTGTGTGTAACAACAAAACAATTTGTGTTGAAAGATGTCCACATGTTTCAACTTCAATTCATATGAAATCAAAGACACAAGATTCACATGTTTCAAGTTCTATTCATATGAAATGCAAGAGAGCTTACATGAAACAAATGCACTGCTCACATAGCTGTGCACAGACGCCTATAAGTGTATCTGATCTTTGATGGAAAACACCGGAAAAAAGACTGGAAAAATGAAAAAATGATGTATCATTTGAGCTACACGAAAGGGCTCACACCAATGATACTTTAAAATCTCATTGAAATATAGGACCTGTAGCAGTCATCCATTGAAATTTGAAATCGCGAGGAGTCACACCTGGTTGGATAAGTTGAATGAAGAATTTCATTAAATTTGAAAAAAATTATGACGAATTTAGGAGTTTGGCAGACTAAATAGAGGTGGATAAAAACCAGAAAAATAGCCAGACTCTTCTTGGAGTACTATGTGAAAATCAGCAATTCTTGATGCTAGGCTAATCATCAAAAACCAGGAGAACAATCTAAAAGGAACAGCTAACTTCGTTTCGTTTTCATGGCAGGCGTTTTCTCAAAAGCATGTACAATTGCATGAGATGAAGAGAGAAAGAAAGAATTTTTGGATGGATCCAAGGATATTACATGCATGTACACCCCATTTTGTTTACGGTTATGCACTGTTACCCGTCGTGACTTGAGTTAGTGAGACTCGTATACCATAAAAAAATCGTCCTATTTTTCTTGCCTTCTTATTGACTTCGTTCTCGTCAAATACGACGTATAAAATTTACACGCAAATCTTTCGTACGAGAACGTAACAATGTGTCATGAAATGTTAATTGTTTTGAAGAAAACAAATAATATGCGTAAAGGTTGATTTAACTGCTTAGAATTCCATATGTGGGAATGGCGTTTCACCGTGCACTTGCTCCACAACTATTTTGCTGGTAATAAAATGTCACAGAAATTTGGACTTCCTTGAAAGGGATCAGCATCAACCGCTCACTTTTTCAAACTCAGCCAAATTATTGGCTAGATGATGAATGCGCATTGAATTCTGAATTTATTTCAAAATGTTTTGCATTGAGGTCAACCATTTTGACATCAACCTAGGCATTATAGCTAGCAGCTATATACGCTTAATTAAGCTGTACTGCTTCAATAAATGTTTGCGGTGAAAAAAGAAAATAAAGCGACTCGAGTTGTCTTTTGAATCGCTTCACAGCCTATTCTTCACTTAAAATTGACCTCTTGGGATTTATCAAACAATGTCGCTCGCCCACGTTGCCGTAGAGCGAAAGAATTGCTAAAATATTCCTGTTTAGCAGTCTATCAACAATGTAGGAAAGAATTAAAGCAAGTCCAGAATAGTGAATTAATGAGTTGAGAACTAAGATTCTATTTCTTGTAAGCCGAGTCACAGTTTACGCTTATAGGTTTTTTCATGTCAACGTACACATAAACAACAACAATAATAACAGTAAACAGTAATATGAATATCTAAAACACTTACTTTTCGACATGACTCGTTCAAGTGTGTTAATTTCTTTTGAAAGACGTCAGTAGTGCTCGTTACATTGCACTCGCAAGCAATGAACTGCTGCTGATATACTACATTTGCAGCTACTAAAATGTTAAATCCAATGTGACGCAGTGCAAGTCATATTTACTTCCGACATTTATACAAAGAGCTCTTGGTTTTTCGTGTTTTTTTGAAGCATTTAGTGTAATTTACATGTCGCTGTTTACCCACGTTGTTGTGGGCGATGTAGTAAGCTACACAATTTGCCATGTTGATAACCTGATAGGAACGTTAAGAATTGTGTTTTTAGGTGTCAGACTATGACTAAGCTATTTTCTGAATAGCTCTTCGTTGAATAATGAATAATAATTATTTAACCTCAAGTATATATAATTCTTAATTTAGAAGTAAACATTGGATACTGTAAGACCTTTTATATTTTGTCAATATGTAATATCGTTCGTTTAGCTGTCTCTGTCATAATGTGCGTAAAAACCATTGATACACAGGAATAGGATTGGTCATTTAATTCTCGGATTTACGTAATTGGTCATCTCTTGTAGCAAAGGAAATCTATTTTTGACGGTTTATATTAAGATACAGAGACGGTTATACGTACTTATGACTACCGAGAGACTTGTTGTGGAGTTGCATTCACAAGAATGTTAAAGTAAACTTTATGCTCCCAAGTTAAAATAAGTAATGCGAAGCTCAATATCTGCATGTTTCAGTCAACGATTTAGTATTTTAAGTTCGATGCTGAATGTTATGCTTTATGACAAGCAATTCCTTTTAGGGTTGACTTAATTGCTGAAATAATGTAATTGATTTTTAGTTAATCCATATAAAGATTCAAGCGATAACTTGGTATATGGGAAATAAATTTCACTTTGCGATAGACGAATGACACGTAATTTGCTGCATCTTGAAAAATATCGACATGTTGACACGCATAAAATGCAGATCAATGTGTGGGGGTGGCTTAGCTTTACCTGTATGGTGATGTCAACATTTATCATATATTTATCTATGTTCATGTTAGCGCATGAATATGAGGAATTTCATGCGTAATTTTGATGAAAGATGTGTGTAAAATGTTTATGGATTATGCATGTAGAACTGACATTTGTGTTTCAACTATGAAGCATGAAACAACATTTTAACTTATTTTTCACATACATTGCAGAAAACCATGCTGTTTTACTAGTAAGAAATGGATTACTATTAAAAGTATCTAACATTAAACCATCACTACATGAAGTGCAAATCAATTTAGAATATTGACAAAGTTTATACTTTGTTGTCTAGTTAAGCAGTTAAAGTAGTTGAAACAGCCTTGAAAATAGATTATATAACGTTAGATTTCATGACAATTTTATTTAGTTTTACAGAGTTAAATGTCTGTGGGAGTGTCTTGCACCACATTGTGTGGGAGATGAGTACTTTGGTTTGAGATAATTTTACAAAACTTTAATGACAGCATCCCCATTTTTTCTGTCAGAGAATGAAGTGATATTTTTTGAAAACTATCGTAACTTAATCACGGCAAACGTAGCTACATGCATGATGATTATTTCGCATAAATGGAAAGACAGTTTTATTAGCTTTACTTGTAGTGTTACAAATATGCATAGTAATGAGACAATGACAAAGCAATTATATGCTTGATAATTTCTTCTAGAACTATTTTATGTACATTAAACAATTTTCACAGCATTCGCAATCTAGTCTTGAGAAAATTTTTCATGAAATTGATGTGATGATTATATAAATGTTTAGGTTTTAGAAGTAACATAGCTTCTTCTAAAAGTACTGATTTGTTACTAATATTATAGAGACGTGTAACTATAAAAATAGTGTGTGTTATACATACGTTGCTTCGGTGCTTTTGTGTCCTCTGGTGATTTTGCCTCTGCCATTTTTATGCTTGCGAAGCTTTTTTTTTCAAATCGGGCTTTCACCGACTCTCATTTGTTGCATGTGTGGTCATTATTCATAATCCGATACCCCAAGTCAATATATTCGCGAGACACCGTCGGCTGACGTAATTTGTAGGATTTCCGTCTAACTTGAATGATTACGTTCATAGCGAACATGATACTCGATATTTTTCAAACGAAATAAGGAGAGCCGGAAAAATTACAAAAATTAAGGAAACAAAACTAATATTGGACAGTTCCTTTACGCATTGGGATACTTTTACCCAAACAGTATCTTTTCATTGGCATTGGATTAATTCTTCCACGAAGGCATTGTTCAAACATTTCTTGTTATTTTTTTTACCTGAAGAGCTAAAAAGATCACGTTGTATTATAGATATTTTCGTTCATTTTACAGTTTCGTTTCGAAGAATGAAGTGTATAGACGATTTCAATCGTTCTGAGGAGATAGTATCTTTATGTTAAGGAGAATATTACAGCTATTCATATATGTACGTTAAAAGTAGTTGAGTGCTGATTCACAGGATTTTCAAGTCAGTTGTTGACATAAAATAAACATTGACTTACAAATCGAGTGGATAGCCATTTCATTAGTTTTTGCAAATTTCGTTGCTGTAAACATGTTTTCACTTGTTGGTTGTTGTACTTCTGTAATTATTCGTTCACTCTTAATTATGACGATAGTTACTAGAACATATATATAGGTCTACAAGTTATTGTTGAGAAATGATTCCCTGCAAAGAAACGGATGTAGCGCACGTTAAACAGCTCATTCTTGAATAGTTTTACATTAATTTATCCCAATTATATTGGTCAGAGATTATTCTTTAGAAGTTGACGTTGTGAAATAATTTTAAAATTTCAAATTGAACTGCTATAGGATGTTTATTTGATTCGTCACTGGGTTTGGATAGTCTAAGCTGCTTACACGTTTTCTGGCAAAGCTTTATCTCGATGATAGCGCATTCTTTCCAATTTGTCATGTAATTGTTACGTAAATAAAATGGCGAGTATCTTAACATTCCTGACTCATGTCTAAGGCAACTGATAAACGATAGTCAGTCGTGAATTAACGAGAAGAAAAATTTAACAAAGAAAAGTCGTTTTATTCAAAAAACGTCTCGATTTCTTAGTTCATGCCGTATTTAATCTTTTGAATATTTGTTGGGGAAGTTGATTGTAATAGGTAACTTGCCTTTTTATACTATTACTTCATTATTTGTTGTTTTGAGTTATAACGTGTGAAGCAAAAATAGCCTAGCAGCGACTGCTTTGCTGTAGAAACGTATTGCAAACATTCCATATAGAGTTACAAGGTGTTTTAGTATCGCCCGGTAGCTTCCCAGATGTAGCTTCCCAGATGTGAGTACGGTATGACTATGAGAACGTTCACCTTGTCCCTGGTATTTAGAAACTGCAGCGGTGAATAATATTAAAACATTACTTTTATGGTTGATGATTATTCATATTGAATAAATTTTGTGTTACGTTTGTATCGTTGTTGATATGTCAAAAAAGTTGCAACCTTGATACTGCTGTAATACGTTACGCAATAGACCAGTTACGCACATCTAGAGATAGAACAGTGTTCGAACACGTGGTGTGGTCGTGTGTATGCTGGTGAGCGCATACATCGATAATTGGTCGTGACGTCAATTATCACCCCCGTTCATTTTTTCAAAGCCTAGTGTAATTTTATCAACATTTCCACGCAAAAGCGTAGTAGTTAATTGCTCCCGATTATTGTTTTGTTTTTGAAGTGGTACATGTATTGTGTGATTGCCGCTGATAAACGACTTAAACAGGAGCTGAATGTGAGAAGTCGGAAACGGGCGACTTCCACTTCGGATCAAATGCAGATGAAAATGATAAGACAATGCAGGAAGTTTTAAAAGGGCTTCGTTGTGTCTGATTATGCTCGGAGAGATAATTGGAATTATTGGGCGATTACAAACATGCTTTGTATCAACTAGTATAAGTAGTAATAGAAAACAACTACTTTGTATCACAAAATTCTCACAGTATCACATTAACAATGAATTACTTTTTGATTAATCGTAGCTCAGTTTTGTCATTCATTCGACCGACTCCAACTTGCAAAGGCCGAACAGCAAGGAGTATGTTTGTGGTAATAAGCGCCATGCTTATAACACCCTCGTACATTAGCGTGGTAAGAACAATGATTTAGATCCCAATCTTCTAGATCTCTTACTACCGTGTCAAGGTGAGCAAGGATGTCATCTTGAAAGATGGCAAAATCAAAATGAAAAGGCAATTAAAACAAAGTTTAAAAAACTCATCCTATCAAATATTTCAAGAATTAAACCTAGACTATCAACTTTGTGACTGTCTATCAAGTATCAACTCAGCAAAAGAAGATATTAGTCGTAATATCGTCAGTTTTACCACATTTCAAGATGGCGGCTTGCCTCACTCATTACTATCAGAGCCCTCTATAACGGAGTCAGATATCTAGTAGATTGGGTTCAAGGTCATTGGTTAACAATGATTCAAAGAATCATCGATTTCGGTCTGTGGTCTTTACAAGAACGAATCACGTGCACAGATAGTCATCGTTGTAATCTTAAATTAAAATTTATGGTCTATTCGATGACCTAGAATCCAATCTAGATAGCTGATTCCGCTGAAATTCCATAGTTACGAGTGAGGCAAGCCGCCATCTTGAAAGGTGGCAAAACTGACGATATTTAAGGCTAATATCTGCTTTTCCTGAGCTAATAGACAGTTGCAAAGTTGATAGTCTAGGTTTGATTTTCAAAATGTTTGATAGGATTGAGTTTTAAACCTTCTTTCAGCTGATTTTCATTTTTGTTTTGCTTTTGCCACCCTTTCAAGATGACATCCTTGTCTCACCTTAACACGGTAGTTAGACATCTAGAGGATTGAGAGCTAAATCATTTGTCTTTGAATTCAGCGCTGATGATGAACGCAGATTTTAGCAAGTACATGACAAAGGTTATTTAAAGTACATTCATTGTTACAGTCAAACTATTAAAAAACACTTCTCCATTCAATTCATATGCAGCAAATATATATTATACACGAAAATTGCTTGTTATACTTATATGCTGGACAATGAAGAGAATTTGTATTTGAATGTCAATTTTTCAATTGCTTTTTATATTCGCATTATGAACTTAAAGAATGTGTGTCGACCAAGATGCATTTCGCGTTAATCACAGCGTGTCGGCCATTTTGAGTGTCGAGAAAATGGCGGATTTTGTTATTGCAGCCTATGCAAGTTAGTCAAACGATAATAATTGATGTAAAATAAGGTTTTAGTCAATTTGCTAACTTTCAAATAAAGTTGGCGACGTTGGTGACGAAATTGAATTCAGTGTTCCGCAAGCTCAAAAGTAACGATGTAAACATGAACAAAAGTGCTCAACGTATCTTGGTTCACACATTCTTTAAGCTTGAACTAGTTTTTTATTAAACCACCGAGTGAATGTCCCTAAATGATCTCGTACTTTAATTTGTTAAAGTCATGTGTCAGTAATGATTTTCGTAGCTTTTTTATGCCACTTCAAGTACCAACAAATAATTCCTACTGTCGTACATATGTATGACGTGTGCGTCGACAATAAAAACCGTAGCCTTGGTATCGCAACGAGATTTACGTATTGCTGTTATAAATTCCGCAATTCGATAAAATGAATAAATCCAAATCCATAATATTTCAGTGTTGCCATAAATGAAAATGTTTTTCACCAGATCAAAGTGGAAGCTCATTCGACCGAGTCCGGTTAAAAAATATATGATACGTGATCACACAGGTGCTAACCATATTTAAAATAAAATGCGTTCTTGTGTCCTAGGACCAGTGATCAAGTTTTTTGTCTCGCAAAATCTCCTTGGGCAGTTCTCATTTTTAAGACGAATCAGTTAACGCTTGGAAATTTTCGGTGACGTATTTTCGGGAATCAGCTGAGTCTAATAAAGAGTTCACTGTAATGTCGTCGATGTCTGTTGGAGGTATGAGGTTTTGTCTGTTATGATTGGTCATGACGGATTTTGAGTAGTCAACTGAGTCCAATAAAGAATTCACTGTAATGTCGTCATCATCATTCATCAGGGATATTGAATAAGAATCATTTCTTTGATCGTCCATACTAGAGGAACTACTTTCACTAGAAAACGACGAGGAGCTTTGTACTCGAGGGCGAAAGCACTTCCATGAACGGGATTGGTCATCCGATGATTGACGTTTCTTTACGTCAACCTCCGAACTTTTCAGACAGTCAAAAAGATCGTTTCTATTCGTTGAAATCATGTCTTTATCGGTGTTCTCGTTTGGTAATTCAGCTTTTTGTCCACACCCGTCCATCTCGTATGGTATGGAAAGAAACTTATAGACGCGATGGTAGCCCTTTATCTATAAAACGAGTAAAGTATTTGTAATAGTTTCACGTTTCGTGATGAGAGGTGTTTGAAGCTTCAGTTAGCAAGAAAAACAGTTCGACGTACATGTGCGTCAATCTTACGAGAAAACATTCATAACAATCAATCAGAAAAATCTTTGAACATGCTGATCATGTTAGTCGACTGGCTGGTCAACTTTTAAAGAGTTGTCAGGACAAGAACCTCAACAAAGAATATGTTTGATGTGTGTTGAAATCTCTAATGGCAATTATTTGAAGTGTTCGTCATTTTGGTTATTTTTGGCGTGTAAAGATCATTGAGTGTTTTTTTAGTAATTTAGACATGTATTTTGCATAAACACCATTCATAAGCAAACTGATGGCTTCATACAATTTGACTTGATACTCTTTGGTGATGGCATTCTTGGAATTGATAAATTCAAGAAAGTGTCAAATGCGCAATTAGACCAGCATGTATAAAGCGTACTAAAATTATTGTTGTGCGAAAGGTAAGAATTCTTGGGAATTCACTTCAATATGACTTAACTTTGTATCAACCTTCGTCATACACACCATGGCAACAATGAAAATTTACACACTTATAAACTCACACGCTTAAATAAACACTTGAAGAAGTACACACTTGAATTTGGAGCTCGTTCATTGTTAGACATACCTTTTTGAGCAATCCTCTATCATAACAGGTTCTCATGGCTCGAAATAGCTTGAACTGGTCCATTTTTGGTCGATTCTTTACAGTTCCCCACAACTTGGCAAGTTCTTCCGTATCGTTAATTGAGAATAATCTTTCTTCCTTATTCGTCCATTCTATCACATGTTTACACTCCTCATCTTCTAACAGTCCGTACAAAAACTCCCACAAATACGGCGATTTTCTGCTGCTGTTACGTTTACTTTCTATATGCACAATAATAAAACAATTATTTACTCGTTCTCATTGAAAATCTACTCTAGATGTTTATGAAGTAATTCAACGCCCCTCCCTCCCTCATCTCTCGTGTGTTCCACCACTATCATTTTAAGTTTCTTAATCATTTGAAGAATGTTGGATTAGAGGCGACAGATACCCTTCGTGAGTCAAAACTAAAGCTAGATTAGGTTCCATTGGTTTAAGCTATACCTAATGAATTAATGAGAGATGTCCAAAATCAAGTTGACTCTGTGATTAAAAGAAAAAGTTAAGTCCTTACAAACTGGGAGTCTTAAATTTCATATGGTCGTTTTATGTAGTTTTATTTGTTTAATGTTTATGTTTGCATTTGTAAATTTATCATGACTGGTAGATATTAGGTTCTTGTAAGATGACATAAAAGAATTTAATGCAGAAGT